CTGTGCTCCCAGCTTCTTCTTTGCTCTCCGGGAGTTCCTTCACGGCCGAAACTACTCCGCAGATGGCCAGCAAGACCAGCCCTATGGCGCCATGTCGGGCGCCCATCATGGCCGCAACGGGGGGCCAGGACTCCAAAAATCGTACAGCTACCTGGAGCCAAACATCCCGGGTTGGAAGCGGAGACTGAGAGTTGCCCGACCTGACCCCATTTGGTCCAGGTTTTGAGGCAACGCCAGGATTGGAGTCATAATTCTCAGGGTGGTACCCTCTGGTAAATTAACATAGGCAGATAGGGGTTGGAAGACTAGTTTCCATTAAAAATTGGTGATTTTCAGTGTCTATGTTTATTTACCAGGGGGTAGTTGTTTTTTTTGTGTCAGGTTTTGTTTGCTGATCGGATCTTCATAGATTTCTTACTTGCTGCTTTGAAGGATGAGATGGAACTTGGGCACCAGCAAAGTCAGCCCATTGAAATATCATGTTGAAATGAACTGAAATTGAGGGAGTCGCCAATGTACAAACAAATGCTGGCAATTGCTTGTGCTGTTTCATTTCTTGTTGTCCCCTATGGATCTGAAATCCACCTATGTTTTTTTTCGGATTTTGCATGCTGGGTCCATCACATCCTGGTGTTATGGTGAAATCTCAGTGGATATTTCTGCTGAGCCACAAATGATGGTTTAGAAGCCCTTTTTAGTGATAACCATTCATAAACCATTCATAAAGATTGTATCAATCCTTTCAGCGTTTATGAATGGTTTATCCATAATGATTATCTCTTAGTGATAACGTTGGTGGTCAATAAACCATTCACAGCCACACTGAAAGGATCTTTGGCCACGGCAGCGGTGGGAACAAAAATCCTGTGTCCGCTGGTAGTTGATCTACTTCTCCAAATTTGGCTCTGTCACAACACAGGACGGGCCATGGTTAGTTAGCTGGGTCAGCTTACCCCATTTAGACGAATGAAATCAGCAAAACTGATACTAACTGACTCAGACTGACCCATCGAAGTACGATGAAGATCGAATTCACATGAATTCACCCAAGGCGCAAACTCACGTCCAAACTCACCCTGTGAACTGTGAACGCAGTCCTTCCCAGAGCAGTTCAGTCCATGCCAAAGTGACCATGGTCACTTGCCCAAAAACTGGTCCCGCTAAACATGGCCAAGAGTTATCTTTGCCAGCGTGCCTATCATTTTTTTGTTTGTTTCATGTTGTTTTCTATTATTTGCGCATTTGTTCATCATAAATGGTTGGTGGTATACCTACCCCTTTGAAAAATATGAAAGTCAGTTGGGATGATGACATTGCCAATATATGGAAAAATAAAAGCCATGTTCCAAAGCACCAACCAGATAAATAGTGGCATGCGGTAATAGGAGCGGCACTCGGACACATAAATTGCATCGGGTCTCTCCCATGTGAAACGGCAGCAAATCTGAGCAGCATGTCATGGAGGCCCAAAATAGCGGTTTCGTCGCGTCCTTTTTATCAACAGCCTGTGGTTTTTCAAAATCCATGGTTCATCATGCTGAAAGGTGTTTTTTGAGTCACTAGAGTCTAGATTGACCCGAAAAACAACTGAGAATCAACATGAACCGGGATGAACATCAATGAACATCCAACATCTCACCATGAAATCCTCAAAAAAAAACAGGAATTCCAACGTCCAAAGTCATACCAAGTCAGAATTCCCAATCTAAGAGGTGGTTACAACATGTTGCAACAACAAAATCCCATGGTTGTTTCCAAACTTTTCTAGAACATGGCAATAAACTATGGCTAACGGCTAACTTACAGTTTTGACACCCCCATCCCCGAAAAATGTAAGTTATATACAGTTGTTAAGGTCCCCTCCAGAAAAAAAAACAAGTTGCAGGGGGTGGGGATGATAACATTGTAATTAGATGTAATATTTTCCAATGTTCCCAATAATTGGAATGATAACTGTCCATTATCAACCATCCATCTTGGGGGGTAGCCCCCATGTATGGAAACCCCCAGGCCTCCCAAGTACATCATGCTGCAACCATCAATCCACATAATTTACTAGCATTAAGAACTAGTAATTGGGTACCACATATAATTAATGGTAATTGGTAATGTGGTAATTGCTAACATACATGTATTCTAGTAAAGCAATGATAGTGCTAAATCCTAACATGAATTAATATTCCCGTTAGTGATTCATTGCCAATATATTATTAGATATTACTAGTAATTCGGATTAATAAACTATATCTCAATGGTAATAAACTACATCATTAATTGGATAATATCCCAATTACTAACCGAGCCCTCCGCTTGGCCGCCTCCAGATGTTGCACCTCATGGTGCAAGGTATCCAAGCCCTGGGACCAGGTCGTTTTTCCGAACGGGACAGTTGGGGGAAAGCGCGTTTGGAAAAACGTGAGGAAAACATGGGAAAAATGAATGACTGGTTGGTGGTTTTTCGCCCTACCCCTCTGAAAAATGATGGAGTTGTGGTTATTATTCCCAATAATTATTTGGAAAAAAAAAGTTCCAAACCACCAACCAGAAAATGATGGAACATGGGGATTCAATCCGTGAAAATTGCGGATGAAACTTGATGAAACCACCGGAAAATTGCGATTTCATCAACACATGTGGACTTCACCGGCAGGATTTCCTACGCAACAAGGGATTGATACCCCACTCCATCTCATAGAGGAATATATGGTCTGGTCCTTAAAATAGGGTACCCCAAATATCACGGGTTTTTCTAAACATGTTCCGTTTTAAAGTGGCCATTACCCCAAATTCAGGCACACCAGCAACATCCCATGGTTGGACACCAGTTTTGTTAGTCAAATCTTCATGATTGGTGGACAAAAAAAGCAACATCTCTACCCTCTGGTTATGTCAAAATAGCTATTGAACATGGCCATTTATAGTGGATTTTCCCATTAAAAATTGTGATTTTCCATAGCTATGTTAGTTTACCAGAGGGTAAGGGCTCTCTTTTTTCGGGATCAAGACCGGAACTTCGTCAATGTTTGCTTCAATCAAGCCAGTGCTACAACGCGAGTTTGAATTATAATATACATGATATCTACCACTACCAGAAATAAAAAGAACAATGCATTAATGATCATGATCACCGTCACAATAATTATCATTGCCATTTCACTTGAACATATGGGTTGGTCAGAAAATAGATCGTCACATTCCATGACTCATTAATCATCACATTCCCTATGAACAAGTGCTATTTTAAATTTTGTAATTCCCCATTTTTCAACACACCGATATAATATGGTTGATAACGTATCCCATTATCTCCCCATTATGTTCCAGTAAATCCCATTAATCACAGTATTTGTTGGTTACCTCCCATGAAGTCATTGTTCGCTGCTTAAATTTCCATAAAATCACCACTTCTCTTAAGGTCAAATCGTATAACATCACCATGTTTGTCAGTTAAATGGGGGTTTCCATAAATGGTGGTACCCCTTTATCGCTGGATGGTTTCTTTCATGGAAAAATCCTGGTAGAATAGATCTGGTTGGTGGTTGAGCCCTACCCCTATGAAAAAATAGGAGTTCGTCAGTTGGGGTTATGACATTCCCAATATATGGAAAAATTAAGTCATGTTCCAAACCACCAACCAGTGGATGATTTGGGGGTACCCTCCGGTAAACAAACATAGCTATTGAAAATGGCCCAGTCGAAATAGTTGATTTACCCATTAATAGCATGGTGATGTTCCATCGTTTTTTGTATGTTTACCAGAGGGTAAATCCCATTAAATCCCAGTAAATCACCATTTTTCTTGGTGAAATCCCATTAAATCCCATTAAATCACATTAAATCCCAATTTTTTCGGAAACGTCCAAGTCTCATGGTGAAAATCCCGGTGAATCCTCCTCTCGGCTCGCCTGCTTCAGGCCTGTTCGAGTCTGACCCACAGCTCCAGTGTCCTCGAAGTTGTCCGACAAAATCGGCACGATTTGACCGAGAAAATGCTGGATTTCCACAAGGTGGGGCCCCCGGTCGATAGCGTTCAGTTGGTTTATACGTCCAATAACTATGGTTTATGGTACTTGTAACTATAGGTAATGAGGTTTATAAACCAACAAACATAACTGGGGGGTACCATCCTGCATGGGATTTTACTGGATTTTGGGCCATGGAGTTAGTGAAAACTAGTTATATAGTAGCCATGGATTATTTCATTGGGATTGTTTGAGGGTAACAAATCCCCAGTTACTAACCAAGAATCGGCAAAATCCCACGGCCCATCTAAGTATGGATTCTACGATGAAACCATGGTTTTTCTCACGTGGGACAAAACCCCTTTTGATGTCACCGTTGGATAAGCAAGATAAGCCAACCGCACGACTCTTGGTGAAACACCAGTGGATAACTCATCGCAATGTTTTTGGTTTAGCCAGCGCAAGAAAAATTCGGGGTATACCGGTATAGCCTAATTTCAATGGGGAAAAAACCCTAAACTTATCTGAAAATAGGCATTGGTCACTGAAAAAATCCCCTTCAGCTTTGAGGTCGTTGACATCGACAGAAGCTCCGGTGTCATGGCCGCTGGGAAATCCAAACGCAATGGAGCTTGGAATGGGAAAAACATAGGAAGACCAGAGGAAATCCATAACTGGTTGGTGGTTGAGCCCTACCCCTCTGAAAAATATGAGTTCGTCAAAAACCCTATGAATACTATACGTAGTTATAAGTTATAAGTACCATAAACCATAGCGAAATTGGATTTATTGAGATTCTGGTTGGTGGTTGAGCCCTACCCCTCTGAAAAATATGAATTCGTCAGTTGGGATGATGACATTCCCAATATATGGAAAAATAAAAAATGTTCCAAACCACCAACCAGATAAGATATATGGAAAATCCTCCATCAATGGACGTTTTAATGGAAAATCATGGAACTAAATGATGGAAAACGTATGGAAAACGTCACGTTTGATTGCCAGTATTAGGATGGTTGTTGCTTGCCCATGCCTAACTCACCCACCGGTTTCACCACGTTTCAGGGCCCGGGCCTTGTTCACCTTCTCATAATCTCCATGCAACTCCTCCTTGAGCTTCGCCTCTGCCTGCAGGTTAAAAGACGAACATCTGGAATGGAAATTCATCCGAAAACCCCGAAACTTATGGGGATGTGGAAGCTGTGATGAGAAATCGGGATTTCATGATTTTGACGGTGATTTATTGGGATTGAACTAGGAATCATATGGAAATTCATGTGATTTATTGGGATTTGATGGTGATAAAAAGAACAGATTTAACCACCAAAACTGATGATTCAGTGGGATTGGCCGATGTTTTCAATGGGATGTCAGACCCTAGTCATGGATAGTCCCCAAGAAAGTGGCTAGCAAAACCCCTGGAAATAAAAATGACACATAAGCCTGTGATTAAAACAATCATAAACCATCCCCAAATAAATCACCATTTGTAAAAAGTATGAACCACAACCAAATGGGTAGTTTATGACATTGTTTTAACCTCATCACTCTGTTTTTTTTGAAGCTGCTCGAAGATCCAGTTGAAGTACTTGGGCTATGGAGTCGATTGAATTGTTCATGGTCAGCAACGGAATTCTAAGCCCTCAAAAGCTGGGTAGATAATGGCTGATGACCACAGAACATGAAAACACACTAGCTGACTATCAGTTATGTATGCATGTATATATAATATAAATATATATATATATATGCAATCATATACATGGACCCTTCTCAAAAAAGGGATACCCCAAATCTTCCGAAATTAGATCATTTAAACTTGAAGCCCATGGTGACTTAGGGATCCCCCATTTCAAGAAACCCCCCATATGCATATCCCCCCTATGTTTGATGCTTAGGAACATTTTTGAAAACCCTATAAATCGGGCCGCCCCAGTTGTAAGTTGATTTAGATTCACCCAATGCTACAGTTATAAGATGTTGTAAGCATCAGAAACTGGACTTATAGCTTCACCAACTTAGCTATCGACAACTGGGGCCCCACAATTATGTTCATGGTTCTCAAAGGTTCTCAAAGGTTATTTTTTTACTCTGGCTACTGGTTACTATATGTTATTACTTTCAAATCGTCCCAGGAAATAGCCGACCTGGTAAACATACCAAAAACATCCAAAAACTATGAAAAATCACCATTTTTAATGGGCAAATCAACTACAAATGGCCATTTTCAATAGCTTTTTGTATGTTTACCAGAGGGTATATGAAAAAAAAAAACTAAATCGGGGCCCCACGTCATGGATCCATGGATCCATGGATCCATGGATCCCTCCACGGCCTCTTTGGCCACGCCTTCCACCTCTCCAAGCAGTTCTGAATCCTGCGCTAACGCTCACCCAAAGGCCCCCGGCCAGAAGTTGATTCAATGAGATTGAACCAAATAAAAACCTAGGGGTGTGATGGGATTTCACCACTCATGTGGATGCCGAAATTTTTGAGAGCTAGGTCAACCCCAGATCCCAAATTGCTTGACATAGCACGGGATTTCCACACTAGCAGCCACAAAACCCAAGGAAGAACTCTGATTGTAGCTCCAACCTGCTCCAACTAGCTCCCCATTTATGGAATATGGATACCTCCGAAGCAGACCCTGTTTGTGCTGGTTGAGGACTATTATCCCAACCAGAAGACACATCATTGAACATACAATGTGGGGCCCCCAGCTTATTAGTTTATCAATACTATATGCAGCTATAAGTACCACAAACCATAGTAAAATTGGAATTAAATTTGCACCAGCTTAGCTATCGTAAACGGGGGCCCCACATTGTAACAAATATGTAAAGGCCATCAGCCAGTTAGATACCTTCAAATAATAGGAAAATTGTAGCTGCTTCGCAAAAAACATCTCCATTTCTAGCAAAAGATTACCGGTAATTTCACAGTTCGCTATTGAAGGCAGGCAGCCATGGCGCATAGAAAATCATAGAAATAGTTGACCAAACAAAAAGATGGTGATTTTTCACTTCGCAAAGTGTAAATGCTTTCCAGACGCTCAAGGATGGCTCCTGTTTCCCATGTTTCCCTGGAGCCGCTGGTGGCGATGGCAGCTTCCCAGTGGGTTCCTGAGGAGGGATGGATGATGTAGGGCTTTCAGTAGATTTATCTATGGATTTTTTTGGGTCAATAACTACAGTAGAAGTTCCTGATCTGAAAGAACAATCTTTGGTTCAATTTCTGAGCCACCCATTTTGGATTAGATTCCTACTTTTAAGCTCCACCATTCCGGAATTTTTCAGTGCTTTTAAGGTGCTTCTTTTTTGAGGCTAGATTTGTGTATATATATATATATAGGGTTCTAGAAATTTGTACAATGTGTGTATGTATTTATGAATACTGATGAACATCCAATTAAAAATGTGATATGTTTTAATGATTTTAATGTGTGCTTATGTCTGGGAATAAAGTTTCTAATTTGTAAGATGTGTGGCAATATGTGGCAATCCATCTCCCAAAACATATTCAACATGATATCTTTGGATATGTGGCAAACGTCTGCAAATGATATTTAATAATGTAGTAAACATCGGGTATGAGTCACGCGGATAATTTCGATGAATCTACAGGTATGTATTTTGTATGAGTATTTTGACAGTCTGATTTACGGATATTCAAGCACCAATCATCGAAAATGTAAGGTCTGGATTCCTATACCATTCTATACCTTGAATTTCCCACCTCTCTAGTTTAAGTGAGGTGTTTTTTTCCATTTACCAACGATTTCGACATAACAAGTGAGTCACCGCATCGGCGGGTTGTGAGCCGATGGCGAATCTTAGGGTCTACTCTAGGGTAAACTAAGATAGGGTCTACTCTAGGGTAAACTAAGATAGGGGGAAATCCCTGGGGGAAAGCCCTGGGGAAAATGATCTAAAGATGATGGATTTTCATGGATTTTACAGATCGATTAATTAGTTTACAGGGTATGATATCTGATTAGATGTATCATGGACATGTGACATGTTTGACATGTTTGATACAAGGATATCCAAAGATCGCCTGCCTCTCTGCCTCGGCTAATCTACTCTCATCATCAGGGAATTCCTCATGTTCCATTGGATTCAAAAGATATCTTGTCCGGAATAATGTCAACCCCAGATTAATAACCCCGGGTTCTTTTTGACTATGGATAGTAATTACCTTTAAATTCGGATGCGCTGCGACTAAAACAGTACCCCACCAAGTAAACGGCCCAGGGTTTTATAATGTTCTATATATCCCGGGTTGACATTATACTAGCACTGCACTTTTTTCATGCCAGAAGGTCAAACATGTCAAAATTAATGCAATGAGAATTTGAACATCAAAGTAACAATGAATGGTACAAGGTGGTGCGGCCCAATTTTGAGTTGGTCTAACAGTTTAACCCCCACTAAGTGTAGATATTGTATCAATGTATCATGTTCACCCTAGTGGTTGGAGTCATGTTCACCAACTTAGCTAAGAACTGGGTAAACCAGAGCCTTGGTTTTACAGAAATCGAGACAACTAAAAACAAGTTCCACATAAATCCGGAGCACCTCTTGGGTTGCGCCAGCCCGAAAACACACATGGGCGCCATGATGTTCCAATGCAAATCTGACTACAAACAAGGATTCAATGGCCATGACTCAGGAACCGATTTATTGGAGGTACCTACCATATATAAGGCCTATTTTTTAGGCCTAAATTTCAGGGGATATCCCCACAAAATATGGCCAAAAATATGGTACTAACGTACCTTCATCAATTAGGATCCTGAAACTCCCAAGGATGGACACTCAGGCAATCACACTGATAGTCCGCAGTCTGTGTCTACAGACAACGGAAAAACGAAGCCCACCCTGCAGTCAGCCTATTGGCCAGAGAAGTATCAGAATTCGCAGTTCGACTGTAGGAACCAAAGGAAGGTAGCAACTGAAACTGGTTCATATCTAAAAAGAACATACCTTCGGCAATCCAAACAAAGGTAACCTGACCCAAAACAACAATCGCTCCCTTGATTCACAAAACACATTCAAACCCTCCATCCATACCCGTATGCAGCAGAACCTGACCCGGCCCCTGCAGCCTGAGACACTGTTGGCTCTGAGGGTTTTTCTTACTCATTGTCCTCCTCAAGCGTCTTTCCCTTCCAGCTGCAAAAGTGCCAGGCATGTTGCCAACAATTAACAGAAGTTGAACTTGCTATTGGTGTAGCAATCAAATCAAGCCAGCAGTGGCAGGTTAGACACTCTTGACATCCCTTGATGATGCATGACTCAGTGAACTTACCAATCACGCACTCCTAAATAAAACGTTCATTTTCAGTGACACTAAACAGCACACATATACAATTGTTCATTCTCGACTCTCCATGGCTTGCCAGTCCAATATACTTCCATTCCCAACGAAAACGGAACCCTACATGGTCCCTGCAGCCAGCCTGAGACACTTTTGGCTCTGAGGGCTGCTGTTCTTCATTGTCTTCCTCTTGAAGCGTCTTTTCCTCACCCTGCAAAAGAGCACAGCAGCGCCAGAATTCAACGGCCATTTGGACACGACTGCAGGAGCCAAATCAAGGTATATGGTAGTTGAATATGACGGAATTGCTTGAAACTAAACATTAAAAGAAACATAGCTTCAGAAACACCAAGAAGCCCCCTACTTTGACAATCCTTGTTTATGCTTGTTTCACAGACATGTCGGAACCCTCCCTCCATGTTAATCTGTCTGCCCCTTGCACATCCTCCCCAACGAAGGGTTCAACAGAAGCCGGTCCCTACCCGCCCCCTGCAGCCAGCCTTTGGCTCTGAGGGCTTCTCTTGCTCAGTGTCTTCCTCCTGACGCGTCTTCTCCTCCCAGCTGCAAAAGTGCCAGGCATGTTGCCAACAATTAACAGAAGTAGAAACATGCACATAGCAATCAAATCAAGCCAGCAGTGGCAGGTTAGACACTCTTGACATCCCTTGATGATGCATGACTCAGTGAACTTACCAATCACGCACTCCTAAATAAAACGTTCATTTTCAGTGACACTAAACAGCACACATATACAATTGTTCATTCTCGACTCTCCATGGCTTGCCAGTCCAATATACTTCCATTCCCAACGAAAACGGAACCCTACATGGTCCCTGCGGCCAGCCTGAGACACTTTTGGCTCTGAGGGCTGCTGTTCTTCATTGTCTTCCTCTTGAAGCGTCTTTTCCTCACCCTGCAAAAGAGCGCACCAGCGCCAGAATTCAACGGCCGTTTGGACACGACTGCAGGAGCCAAATCAAGGTATATGGTAGTTGAATATGACGGAATTGCTTGAAACTAAACATTAAAAGAAACATACTGTGGATGGAAGAAATCCTGCACCACCTTGGATGGTTAAACCCTATGAATAATGGGATAAACCACCTATTAACTGGTGCAGGATTTCTTCCATCCACCGTAGCTTCAGAAACCCCAAGAACACCCCTACTTTGACAATCCTTGTTTATGCTTTTTTCACAGACATGTCGGAACCCTCCCTCCATGTTAATCTGTCTGCCCCTTGCACATCCTCCCCAACGAAGGGTTCAACAGAAGCCGGTCCCTACCCGCCCCCTGCAGCCAGCCTTTGGCTCTGAGGGCTTCTCTTGCTCATTGTCTTCCTCCTGACGCGTCTTTTCCTACCAGCTGCAAAAGTGCCAGGCAGGTTGCCAGCAATTAACAGAAGTAGAAACATGCACACAGCAATCAAATCAAGCCAGCAGTGGCAGGTTAGACACTCTTGACACCCCTTGATGATGCATCACTCATCGAACTTATGAATCACGCACTCCTAAATAAAACGTTCATTTGCAGTGACACTAAACAGCACACATATACAATTGTTCATTCTCGACTCTCCATGGCTTGCCAGTCCAATATACTTCCATTCCCAACGAAAACGGAACCCTACATAGTCCCTGCAGCCAGCCTGAGACACTTTTGGCTCTGAGGGCTGCTGTTCTTCATTGTCTTCCTCTTGAATCGTCTTTTCCTCACCCTGCAAAAGAGCGCACCAGCGCCAGAATTCAACGGCCATTTGGACACGACTGCAGGAGCCAAATCAAGGTATATGGTAGTTGAATATGATGGAATTGCTTGAAACTAAACATTAAGAGAAACATAGCTTCAGAAACCCCAAGAAACCCCGTACTTTGACAATCCTTGTTTATGCTTGTTTCACAGACATGTCGGAACCCTCCCTCCATGTTAATCTGTCTGCCCCTTGCACATCCTCCCCAACGAAGGGTTCAACAGAAGCCGGTCCCTACCCGCCCCCTGCAGCCAGCCTTTGGCTCTGAGGGCTTCTCTTGCTCATTGTCTTCCTCCTGAACAATTAACGGAAGTAGAAACATGCACATAGCAATCAAATCAAGCCAGCAGTGGCAGGTTAGACACTCTTGACATCCCTTGATGATGCATCACTCATCGAACTTATGAATCACGCACTCCTAAATAAAACGTTCATTTTCAGTGACACTAAACAGCACACATATACAACTGTTCATTCCCGACTCTCCATGGCTTGCCAGTCTAATCTAATTAATTCCTTCCATTCCCAACGAAAACGGAACCCTACATGGTCCCTGCAGCCAGCCTGAGACACTTTTGGCTCTGAGGGCTGCTGTTCTTCATTGTCTTCCTCTTGAAGCGTCTTTTCCTCACCCTGCAAAAGAGCGCACCAGCGCCAGAATTCAACGGCCATTTGGACACGACTGCAGGAGCCAAATCAAGGTATATGGTAGTTGAATATGATGGAATTGCTTGAAACTAAACATTAAAAGAAACATAGCTTCAGAAACACCAAGAAGCCCCCTACTTTGAAAATCCTTGTTTATGTTTGTTTCACAGACATGTCGGAACCCTCCCTCCATGTTAATCTGTCTGCCCCTTGCCCATCCTCCCCAACGAAGTGTTCAACAGAAGCCGGTCCCTACCCGCCCCCTGCAGCCAGCCTTTGGCTCTGAGGGCTTCTCTTGCTCATTGTCTTCCTCCTGACGCGTCTTTTCCTACCAGCTGCAAAAGTGCCAGGCAGGTTGCCAGCAATTGACAGAAGTAGAAACATGCACATAGCAATCAAATCAAGCCAGCAGTGGCAGGTTAGACACTCTTGACACCCCTTGATGATGCATCACTCATCGAACTTATGAATCACGCACTCCTAAATAAAACGTTCATTTGCAGTGACACTAAACAGCACACATATACAACTGTTCATTCTCGACTCTCCATGGCTTGCCAGTCCAATATACTTCCATTCCCAACGAAAACGGAACCCTACATGGTCCCTGCAGCCAACCTGAGACACTTTTGGCTCTGAGGGCTGCTGTTCTTCATTGTCTTCCTCTTGAAGCGTCTTTTCCTCACCCTGCAAAAGAGCGCACCAGCGCCAGAATTCAACGGCCATTTGGACATGACTGCAGGAGCCAAATCAAGGTATATGGTAGTTGAATATGATGGAATTGCTTGAAACTAAACATTAAGAGAAACATAGCTTCAGAAACCCCAAGAAACCCCGTACTTTGACAATCCTTGTTTATGCTTTTTTCACAGACATGTCGGAACCCTCCCTCCATGTTAATCTGTCTGCCCCTTGCACATCCTCCCCAACGAAGGGTTCAACAGAAGCCGGTCCCTACCCGCCCCCTGCAGCCAGCCTTTGGCTCTGAGGGTTTCTCTTGCTCATTGTCTTCCTCCTGACGCGTCTTTTCCTACCAGCTGCAAAAGTGCCAGGCATGTTGCCAACAATTGACAGAAGTAGAAACATGCACATAGCAATCAAATCAAGCCGGCAGTGGCAGGTTAGACACTCTTGACACCCCTTGATGATGCATCACTCATCGAACTTATGAATCACGCACTCCTAAATAAAACGTTCATTTGCAGTGACACTAAACAGCACACATATACAATTGTGCATTCTCGACTCCCCATGGCTTGCCAGTCTAATCTAATTAATTCCTTCCATTCCCAACGAAAACGGAACCCTACATGGTCCCTGCAGCTAGCCTGAGACACTTTTGGCTCTGAGGGCTGCTGTTCTTCATTGTCTTCCTCTTGAAGCGTCTTTTCCTCACCCTGCAAAAGAGCGCACCAGCGCCAGAATTCAACGGCCATTTGGACACGACTGCAGGAGCCAAATCAAGGTATATGGTAGTTGAATATGATGGAATTGCTTGAAACTAAACATTAAGAGAAACATAGCTTCAGAAACCCCAAGAAGCCCCCTACATTGAAAATCCTTGTTTATGCTTGTTTCACAGACATGTCGGAACCCTCCCTCCATGTTAATCTGTCTGCCCCTTGCACATCCTCCCCAACGAAGGGTTCAACAGAAGCCGGTCCCTACCCGCCCCCTGCAGCCAGCCTTTGGCTCTGAGGGCTTCTCTTGCTCATTGTCTTCCTCCTGACGCGTCTTCTCCTACCAGCTGCAAAAGTGCCAGGCATGTTGCCAACAATTAACAGAAGTAGAAACATGCACATAGCAATCAAATCAAGCCAGCAGTGGCAGGTTAGACACTCTTGACACCCCTTGATGATGCATCCATCATCGAACTTATGAATCACGCACTCCTAAATAAAACGTTCATTTGCAGTGACACTAAACAGCACACATATACAACTGTGCATTCTCGACTCCCCATGGCTTGCCAGTCTAATATAATTAATTACTTCCGTTCCCAACGAAAACGGAACCCTACATGGTCCCTGCAGCTAGCCTGAGACACTTTTGGCTCTGAGGGCTGCTGTTCTTCATTGTCTTCCTCTTGAAGCGTCTTTTCCTCACCCTGCAAAAGAGCGCACCAGCGCCAGAATTCAACGGCCATTTGGACACGACTGCAGGAGCCAAATCAAGGTATATGGTAGTTGAATATGATGGAATTGCTTGAAACTAAACATTAAAAGAAACATAGCTTCAGAAACCCAAAGAACCCCCGTACTTTGAAAATCCTTGTTTATGCTTTTTTCACAGACATGTCGGAACCCTCCCTCCATGTTAATCTGTCTGCCCCTTGCCCATCCTCCCCAACGAAGGGTTCAACAGAAGCCGGTCCCTACCCGCCCCCTGCAGCCAGCCTTTGGCTCTGAGGGCTTCTCTTGCTCATTGTCTTCCTCCTGACGCGTCTTTTCCTACCAGCTGCAAAAGTGCCAGGCATGTTGCCAACAATTGACAGAAGACAGAAGTAGAAACATGCACATAGCAATCAAATCAAGCCAGCAGTGGCAGGTTAGACACTCTTGACACCCCTTGATGATGCATCACTCATCGAACTTATGAATCACGCACTCCTAAATAAAACGTTCATTTGCAGTGACACTAAACAGCACACATATACAATTGTTCATTCTCGACTCTCCATGGCTTGCCAGTCTACTATACTTCCATTCCTAACGAAAACGGAACCCTACATGGTCCCTGCAGCCGACCTGAGACACTTTTGGCTCTGAGGGCTGCTGTTCCTCATTGTCTTCCTCTTGAAGCGTCTTTTCCTCACCCTGCAAAAGAGCGCACCAGCGCCAGAATTCAACGGCCATTTGGACACGACTGCAGGAGCCAAATCAAGGTATATGGTAGTTGAATATGATGGAATTGCTTGAAACTAAACATGAAAAGAAACATAGCTTCAGAAACACCAAGAAGCCCCCTACTTTGAAAATCCTTGTTTATGTTTGTTTCACAGACATGTCGGAACCCTCCCTCCATGTTAATCTGTCTGCCCCGTGCAGAAGCCGGTCCCTACCCGCCCCCTGCAGCCAGCCTTTGGCTCTGAGGGCTTCTCTTGCTCATTGTCTTCCTCCTGACGCGTCTTTTCCTACCAGCTGCAAAAGTGCCAGGCATGTTGCCAACAATTGACAGAAGTAGAAACATGCTTATAGCAATCAAATCAAGCCGGCAGTGACAGGTTAGACACCCTTGACATCCCTTGATGATGCATCACTCATCGAACTTATGAATCACACACTCCTAAATAAAACATTCATTTGCAGTGACACTAAACAGCACACATATACAATTGTACATTCTCGACTCTCCATGGCTTGCCAGTCTAATATACTTCCATTCCAGCGAAAACGGAACCCTACATGGTCCCTGCAGCCAACCTGAGACACTTTTGGCTCTGAGGGCTGCTGTTGTTCATTGTCTTCCTCTTGAAGCGTCTTTTCCTCACCCTGCAAAGAGCGCAACAGCGCCAGAATTCAACGGCCGTTTGGACACGACTGCAGGAGTAAATCAAGCTATATAGTAGTTGACTTTGTTAGAATTGCTTCAAACATATTCAAAGTAAATATGAAATCAACCATACCATACCTTCAGAACCCGCGAGAACCTTTACTTAAGAAAACACATTCGCTGTTTATCCTTGCTTCACAGAATTGTCGGAACTCTCCATCCTTGTTCATCTAGAGAAGATGGTCCCTACACGGCCCTTGCAGCCAGCCTGAGACACGGCCCTTGGCTGTGAGGGCTTCTGTTGCTCATTGTCTTCGTCCTGAAGTGTCTGTTACTCCCAGATGCCAGATGTGCCAGGCATGTTGCCAACAATCAACAGAACTTGAACATGTAAAGTCACCAAATCAAGCCAGCACTGGGAGGGTAGACGGTTAGACGCTCTAAAAACATCCCTTGATGATGCATGACTCAGCAAACTTACAAATCACTTAATCTTTTAAATTGCACTGAAAAATGTTGCGTCACGAAAAACACCACACACGTACAATTGTTCCTTCCCGACTCTCCATTGGTTGCCAGTCGCATGCTTCAGCCATTCCAGTTGATTGTCTTCCTTACGATCAGCGTCAAGCTGCGTCAAGCTGAGAAAGCCCCAGAAAGCGGAACACTTTGGTTACCCTCTGGTAAACTAACATAGCTATGGAAAATCACCATGCTATTAATGGTTTTTTATCCACTATTTCAATGGCCATGGCTTCAATAGCTATGTTGACATAACCAGAGGGTAGAGATGTTTGATGACACAAAGCCGGATTTCAGGGTGTTCCATGGTGTTCCAACATATTCCAACGTATCCACGTTGGCTCCAATCGTCATGTTTGTATATTTCTGTTGCGAAGCTCATGCGGTTGGTGCCCCCAGTGATGTTAGTTTGTTTATATAAATTCACAAGCTATAGCCATATGCGAACCATGGTGCTGGAATATGAATCCCAACATTTGCCCTGTAAAAATCACCCAGTCATGTAGCATAAACCTAAGAATTAACCTTAGTTATACATCCACTTAGCTAAAGGTCCACTTTTTATCTTATTTAACCAACAAAACAGGATGCGGATATCAAGCATTTGAGAGATCATTGCAGGCTGATGCCCCAGTGAACCTTTAGCTAAGTGGATGTATAACTAAGGTTAATTGTTAAGTTTATGCTACATTTGGGTGATTTGTTGGGCAAATGGTAGTAAATATTCCATACATGGAGCATATGTCTATAGCTGGTGGTTATAGCTATGCCATATGCTCCATGCAATTATGGTATATCTACCTACATAGACTGGGTGATTTTGAGTATTTTTATGGGGCAAATGTTGGTCAATCTTCCAGCACCATGGAGCATATGGGCATGGGAGAATGCATGAAGGGGACTTAGTTCAAGATTAAGCAAATGTATATATTTTATCGTTACTAACCAGTGAACTAAATCGACCGCCCACCCAACTATGGCCACCATTAAAAGTTACCCTTAGCCAAGGTTTATCAGAAGTTTATCATCATCAAACATGGCTTGGTGGAAAATCCTATATATATATATATCGATTATGTTCCCATTAAGACCTCCATTTCAAGGGGATTTCCAATTGCCATGTTTGATTACCGGAGGGTACACCCGGACGTGCAAGTCAGTGCAATCCCCAAAACAACAGACAAACAGCATGTGACGCACCACATTCAGGAAGTCAGTGCAGTCAGTGCAAAACAAGGCTTAAAACACCATGTGGACGCTACATTGTGCTATAACTTAGCTTGGAAAGTATCACCATGTTTTGCTACCGGTCACCACCCATCTATCCCCCGGTCACCAGTCGTTTTTTGTTTCATGGCGATGCCACATGATCCTGAAATCGAATCTGTTAGGCAGCTTACCCGGCCTGGTTATGGCATACTAAAATAGCGCCATAGAAGCCATGGCCCTTTCGTCGAAGTTTTGTGGATAAAAACCCATGAGAAATGCATGGCTGGATCTTTCCCAGTTCGTTTTTTCTATGTTTACCAGATCAATGGCCATTTCAGGAACCTAAATTGGAGGTACTGTACCATATAAGGCCATATTTTCTGGGGATATTCCCTTACATAGGCCTTACATAGGCCTTATATATGGTAGGTACCTCCATTTTAGGATCCTGAAATTCCCATTGACCAGAGGGTAAACCAAGGAAGAGCCACCGGAAAACACATGGGCCAGTTGGTTCACTGGTGACTGGTGAGTTATCACCCTGGTGAAAGTTGATGCGTCCCCTGAGTCGAGTGGATTATTACTGTTATCCCATCTAGAACTGGTTGAACTTAGCCAAAAAATAGTCCATTCTATCCCATCTGTAGCCCATGACATCTATAAGCCATATGCGAAGCATGGTGCCGGAATATGAATCCCAACATTTGCCCTGTAAAAATCACCCAGTCATGTAGCTTTGCATATACCAGCCACCATGCTTCGCTTATATATGGCTAACTGGGTGAACTGGACTGCGAGCTTCGCATATGGCACCAGTGACGAAACTCCTGGGTGATATGGTTGAACATGGGATTCCCCCTCTCATGGATGGTCAAAACCTCCAGTATATAGGTTACCCGGCCTGGTTATGACATACATAAAGCTATTGAAGCCATGGCCTTTGAAATAGTGGATAAAAACCCATGAAAAATGCATGGTGATTGTCCAGTTCGTTATGTAAACGTTTACCAGAGGTTTGTATAATCCACAAACTAATCATCAACCAACCATCAATGATCACTTATATCCACTGTTTTTTTATCTCCATTGAGACTTCAAATCCCTATCATCAACCGCCTGACTGACGCATGGCGCATGCTGGCGTGCTGGCTGAGTGTCAGGTTCTGTGCTTGGCTCCGTGGTGCCACTTGCCTGGAAGAGGGGAGTGGTGGGCCAATTTGGGACGGCTGCTACTGGACCAAAAAAAACTGGCTACAAGGTCAGGCCCTCCAGTTGGTTACTCCCATGAACTATAGATCGTATCTAATATCTACCATAGATGAACCATAGATGTTCATAAATCACAGTTTTTCTTTGGTGAACTAAACCAACTTTGCTATCCTCTGGGGGCCTGACCTTGTAGTTGTAATGGTAAATGACCATTTTCACAGACCTTTTTAAACACGGCTGTTGAGGACATCTGAGTTGGGCCACAATTCTGAAAGATCAATCTCCGGGGGAAACTTTGATACTGGCCATTTCTTGTTTAAAAGTACCATCCAGATCAATCAAACGTGGGAATTGAAAATCTGCTTGGTGGTTTTTCGCCCTACCCCTCTGAAAAATCATGGAGTGAAAGTCAGTTGGGATGATGACATTCCCAATATGATGGGAAAAATAAACCAAATATTCCAAACCACCAATCAGAAATACCCCGTTGAGTTGGATGATATTTACATTTAAGTTTCAACCTCTGTTTAGTTTGGGGAGTTTCCAGCGAGCCACGTTTGATGACGTTTTTTAGGGTAAAGGGATGATTAGATCAGGGAAGACCCACCATTTGTAGATCATTTTCATAAGGTTTCCCCATGGGTTTTCCACATCTATAAAAGGTTTTACATCCCATGAGAAATCACCATTTTTGTCTGTTAAATCTTTAAATCCCATTAAATCACCTTTTTTGATGGGTTGTCCGGTTGTCCACATCTATGTTCTGTTAGCTCCCTATGGTTTGATCTATGCAGCCCGAGCCCGCACCTCATCCTTATCATCAAAGCCGGAGCTGGTCTCGAAACTTTTGTCATTCGTTTCCTGCGGGAGCGTTTTAAAGATGTGGGTTTCCATGGGGTATCCCCAATAGCTGGATGGTTTATAAGGGAAAGTCCTATTCAAATGGATGATTTAGGGGTACCCTCTGGTAAACTAACATAACTATGGAAAATCACCATTTTCAATGGGAAAACTCACTATAAATGGCCATTTTCAATAGCTATGTTAAATTACCAGAGGGTACCCCATTTTAGGAAACCTCCTTCCTTTTTTTCATAATCAGGGTGCCATTCAGGTCCAAGGAACATGGTTCAAGTGCCAATGGACCCTGAAATCAAGGCACTTGCAGCATAGTGTCATCAGTTGGGATGATGACATTCCATTCCCAATGAATGATGGGGAAGTCATAATCCAAATATTCCAAACCACCAACCAGATATGCATTTGTCAGAAATATATATATACAATATTATATATATACATATACATATATATAATATATATATATATTCCATTATATTCCCAAAATCACGAAACGTTAACCACCATCTTCCGTCTCGAAATTGACCCCGGAGTTGATCACCACTGTATCCCCATCCCTATCCAGTTGGTCATGTGTTCATCAATTTGTCTCCGTTCTCAACTAATGTTTAACCGTGTCTAGATACTTATACCTGATCAGCTTTGCTACTGTTTATGAAAAATGTCGGCATCATATTGTGGTGAAGCGTGAATTTGACATATTTTTTTCTGGATAACACTGCGAGCTCACTTTCTGGAAGTGCAAGAGTAGACTTACCTTCCTACTTCGTATGACACCCCCAACTTATCCACCTTCCTATTTAGCTTCGAATGAAAATCATGGACCCCTTCCATTGGAAAATCATCAAGTTATCCCTTTGAAAATTGCCATTTGGGTGAAGTATCCAACCAGTTTTCAGACAGCGCCAAACATTCCATTCCGTCTCAAAGATGTCCCAGTGAATTTCAATCACAAGAAGTTTCTTGCTTAGATCTACAAGGTGGTGCCCTCCAAGTTATGTGAACGTTGGTTTATAATCCCATGGCAACTAGTTCGATATATCACCTATAAACCTATAGTGAAATTGGAGTTATTTGCACCAACTGAACGCGTTTTCGTGGCCACGGGGGTACCACCTTGTAAGCTTTGCCAGTTTCGGCTTACCTCAGCCATCTCCCCATCTCTCCATCTCTCCATCCTCGCCGGTCTCAAGCGGTTTCTCAGTTGGTGCCTACGGAGCTGCCAGCCGTGCGACGTAGAGAAAATCGGGGTGTGTCAATGGGTATGGGCCCCAGCTACTTGAATGGAGATTTTCCTACAAGTCGTGGGCCCCCCCATTTTTTTACGATCGCGAATTGTTGGTGAACATGATTATATTATATGATTCCAATATATCTCTAGAGTTTATGATACGCAAATAACATCTTATAAAACGACGTTTTTTGTTAACGGGGTTTCCTGCTGAAATGAACCAGTGGGAACCATCAAAGAAATTGGGGCGAGCCGAGTTATGTGAAATGATTTTTAAGCGTAGATCATCAATGGATAGCCGAGAAAATTGCATTTTATACATATGACATATAGGTTTGTATAGGTTTGTAACTTTCACATTTTAATACATTTTACATGTTTTCATGGTTGACTGTCTTGCTGGATCGGCTGCCGCGCAGGCAGAAAAAAAACCTTTCGGACTCGTCAGCGTTCGACTTGTCACGATGTCGAAGCGTCCTGTCTTATGATCTTCTTGGAGCGCTCAGTCAAAGGGACTCTGTACAGTCATCTTACCCATGACGGATCCATGGTGCTGCTATATATGGTGTGCCATGGATCCCATCAATATACCCCCTTTATGTTAGCATTAATATACCAGCACCATGGATCCGTCATGGGTTATGGGATGAAATAGCTGCAACTGCTCGATTTTGCGAGGCAGAATCTCTCATCAATTTGAAAATGTCGATCTGTAGAGTTACAGGTAGCAATGAACACGTTCTGTACCACCGGATGATGGCTTTGATTGAGTCCAAGTACCCCACAAGAGTATGCCAGAGGAAGGCTCAACTGACATAAACTCTGGGCTGACTGGTCATAAACTACATCCCATCGGGTAGCTAGCATATAGGAAAAATATGGCCCATAGATGATTTACCCTCTGGTAAACTAACATAACTATGGAAAATCACCATTTTTTATGGGTAAATCCACTATAAATGGCCATTTTCAATAGCTTTTTGTATGTTTACCAGAGGGTATCTATGAAAAAAATGGGTGGAATTGCCAGTTCGCAAACTGTTAAAGTACCATAGGGTATCCAAAAGTTCGTCCCGGGTCACCTTGCGATAGTTGGCCAAATATTCCCCACTTATGTGGTGTCTCAGCTTGTCAGCATTCCGATTTTTCCGGCAAGGGAGTCAAGTACTAAACTATACGAAACTGTCCATTCTTTTCGTCCAGATGGTTTATCCATCATTTGATGGTTGACTCCACCATGATTCAACAATTTCCGTCGTTCAATGCATTTCAACAAGGTGGCCCCCCACCAGTTGTAAGTTGGTCTAGCTTCCCCCAATGAAATTGTAGATATGATATATCTACCATAAACCATCGTTATTGCATGTTGTTGCATGTAAAATTGCATTGATTCGCACCAGTGCAAAAGTGACAAGTCGCCAGCGAAATCCCTTCTGAAATCCCATGAAGAATCACCATTCTTGCTGCTAAAACATATGGATCTTTCATGATATTTCCATTTTTATGCTGGTACCCCTAAAAATTTATCGCTGGATTTTCTTTAGTTCGTTTCGAAAATCCCAATCGATTTTCGCTGGATGAGAACTGGGGGTACCTGGTCACTGCTGGTCGGCGACTCGCTGCTGGTCGGCGACTTGTCATCCTGAGTACATCGGTTTTTGGAACATGGCCAGGTTTTTGGAAAGCTCCATGGCAACTATGTCCTTATAAAGATTTATAAAGTATAATTACTATACTATTCACAAATATCAATAATGTTGTTTTCTTAATATGTATATATATATATTATGGATATATATATATATATATAATGTACCATTTGCATTTACAGTACATGATAGGATTCATTGGGGTTTTCCTGAGCAATAGTAGAAAATTTATAACAATAATCATAGCAAAAACAAGCATACAGTCTTATCATGCCAATGAATATCTACCATATTATGTATGTCTGCACTTAATATCTATGTAAAAGCATATGGAGGGTTCTTGAGTCATGATGGACCGTATTTCTTCCACTAAATGTTTGTTTGGTCTTTTTTTTCTGGAGACGCATGGTGAAAGGGAGTACTGTGCCCCAATTTTCAGAAACGCCCGTTTGTTTATTCTTGACTATCATCGGATGTCGGTGTTGACAAACTATTGAATTGAAGAATGAAAGCACTTTGCCAGACCCCGATGCTGCAAGAGAATAAGTAGAAATTGTAAGAGAAAAACATATTATATATAATATGTAACAAAGTCACAAATAGACAACGTGTGGAAGGCTCACTTTCCAGGCCAACAAACATGTTGGAGCCAACTTCATCAAACAACAGGTTAGCAAGGCGCAATTCTTTCCCTTTCAGGTCCCCTTATGTACAGAACTCAGAACACATTAGGATCTTTAGCTGTATATATATATATATACATGCATTATATGATGTAAATTTACGTCTGTCTGAAAATGGGGTATATATACCTGTATACGCATAACATGACCATATTGGAAGGTGAAAATGATGATTAGCCAATGGATTTGGAGGTTTTCACAACATGTTCAGACAAACCCATACATATCCACCATGTTTCACCATAAAATCAGATGAAATACGGCTTTATACCGGTATACCCAATAATAAACCACCATTGCGGATGGTGGCATTGGGTTTACCATCCCCCCTGCCGACCTTGTCGAAACCCGAGCCGGTCTCAAAGGCATTGTCATCTGCCTAGCGCAACGCGTTGCTGACGTGTACAACAAAGCGTTGGCGACTCGAAAATATAGGTCAGCCATGAAAAATAGATCTACGAAAGGCTTCATTGGTATACTAGTGGCGCATGTAATTCTATGTGAATCTTCATTCTAATTATTTCTGATTATAATTATATGTATATATATATATATGTTATTAATTATATGTATATGATTAGATATGGCTTGATTTTGTAGAAAATAGAAAAAAAACATATTGGAAATGCCACTTTTACACCACCAACAAACGGCCTGTGGGATCTGTGGAATCACACTGGCCAGCGGTAGGCCCTCCTAGGATCGTCACGATTTCACAGACATGATGGAATTCATGGGATTTGACATCAACTTATTGGTTGGTAATATACTATTAATATTATTAACATATGGTTAATATTAATGGTTATTTAATATGGTTTATGATGGTTAATATATATATATATATATTTGGTTGGTGGTGCAATTTTTTAGCATCTTGAAAAATGATGGAGTGAAAGTCAACGGGGTTGGGATGACATCCCATATATGAAATGGAAAATAAAAGCTATGTTTGAAACATTTTGAAACCACCAACCAGATATGTGTTTTATGCCTAGGGTTTTTTCTTTAATCTAACAGGAACGGGTGCTTCATGGGGGTGAACTATGATGTATAATGATTACTTTAAACGGTGACTTGATCCGCCTTTTCGTGTACATTTCACCCGGCATTTAAGTGCTGCCCTTGGACATGTGATCAACAAAAATAGGGGTTAAGTATAGCCCTCGTCTTGCCAATTCCCAATATTTTTTTTTGTATATAACCTCCAAATGCTCGATTGGTAGGGGATTCCAGCCACCAAAACCATGGGGAATTTGGATCCAAAATCCTCATAGATCTTTGGATCCTTTTGGCGACTGCGTTCAAGGCTTTCATTATCAGTGACCGACGCTTAAAAAATCTTGAAACAGTCTTCATGTAAAACTGTTGCGTTTTACGTAGGAAATGGATGGGAATGGGGCCTGGTATTATTATTGATAGTTACAATGTGGGGCCCCCAAGATAGCGTTCAGTTGGCTTATAACTCCAATAACTATGATTTATGGTACTTATAACTATGGGGTTTATAAACCAACTTATAAGTGGGGGGCCCCACATTGTAATTATTGTGGATCATTCCCATCCAGGAATCCATTCCCTACTTTACGAACTAAGCACCAGTAAGTCATCGAATGGAGCTGTCCTCCTCACCGTTGCTGCCCTTATCAGTCTCCTGGCGCAACGAAGCTTTACGAGGGAAGGGGCCGAGGCCTGGCCCATCTGGTTATGACTAACATAGCCATGGAAAATCACCATGTTTATCCATTTTTAATAGCTAAACCATGGTAAACCTCTATTTCTATGGGCCATGGCTTCCATGGCTATGGTTAAAGAGCCCTGGAAATATAGCAATTTTATTGGGGAGAATGATGCCATGGAATTTTTCTAGTCGAGCTGAGACCAGTGAGGCTGACTCGCTGACTGGCCCATATTGATCACTCGCTGAAGCCAACCCTGCAGTAAGAAATGATTGGTTCGTCAACTAAAGCCGTCAACCGCAGCGATGGGGACATGAAATGCATTCAATGAACAGTCCTGCTTGGTTGAGAATGAATCCAATGAATAAGAACGACATGATTAAATATGTTAGAAAACAACAATTATTGCGAACACCTGCTTAGGGAATTCAATAAACAATGATCAATGAATTATTGCAAATGAATGAACACAGATTATTCATCGTGGTAAAAAAACACAGATTACAAATCATGAATTCAATGAACAGTCATTCTTGAAAACAACAAGCCCCAGTTGTACTTAAGTGCATAGCTCGATTTTTTGCCAGACTTCGCCAGAGATTCCTGCAGCGGTTCCTACCCATGAATTCACCCAATCCAATCAGAAACCGTGCTAAAAATCCTCCAGTGTTTTTGCTGTTTTCCCATTTTTTTGTCTTACATCTTATGTTGAGTATGTTATTGAAAAAAACACCCGATCCTATATCTTATCTTGAGTTTTCAAGATTTTTTTTTGGCTGACTAAAACACCCAACATTTCTCGAACTCCAGTTTTTTTGCTAAAAAATACCGGTACCCCACTTTTTTGCTGATTCATCACCCAAAGTTTGCCCAACTTTGCTGATCAAACCCGCACCCCAGCCTCCGAAGTCTCACTGTTGGGACTCTCTTCCGTGGCATCTGCCTGCCGAATTCGACGAACTCGGCCATGCCATGCGAAACACCGCTGATACGCGAAGTGGGCGAAGTGGGGTGTGTCCACTTGTAACTGGGCAGACCGGGCTTGGTACCTGTTTTTTTGGGGAAAAAAAACTTCAACGGTTTCGAAACTCATTTTCCTGACGCAATTTGCAATTTTTGGAGGCGCGGCCCTTTTACAGACACACTCATGCAACGCATGCTATTAATGTTTAATAGCTATAAGGTGTCGACTTAACTCACATCACGCCGCTGAAGGCACATCCACATCCACATCATCATCATCATCATCATCATCATAATCCTTTATATGTGGTTTCAATTTATCATCATCTACAATTAATATACTGATCACACAAACCATCTATAGAAAAGTGATGAAAAGTGCATGTCAAACAGCAATTTGAGGTGTTGCATTTATCATCATCATCGTCATTAGTTTTCTTAATTACATCCCATTAAATCTCCATTTTGTTGGTTGAATCCCATGGGAAATCACGGTTGATGGTTTTTCATCCCCCTTCAACTGCCTCGCGGCTACCAGGTGAGGCCACCCCGTTTACGATAGCGAGATTTTAACGCACATCACTTCATTAAGTATGGGTTTATTGTAGAATCTATGGTTACTGGTTGGTGGTTGACCTACCCCTCTGAAAAATATGAGTTCGTTAGTTGGGATGATGACATTCCCAATATGATGGGAAAAATAAAATATCTTCCAGTCCGCACCAAGCAGGTTTTTATGGGTTTACAAGGCAACTTATAACTGGAGGATCCGACCTTGCAGGGATATTAATGTGGAATAAAAGTTGCGGGATACGATGAGAAAAATTCGCCTCATAGCTAACTGGAAAATCACCATTTTTAATGGGAAAATCCAGTATAAATGGCAATTTTCAATAGCTTTTTGTATGTTTACCAGAGGGTACGTTGCAGGTCAATGTTCCAACTTGATTTGTTTGTTTTTCGAGATTGCCATATTGGGTCATAGTAATCCAAAAAAACATGGCGCAGTATGGCTTATCATCCACCAAGCATCATTGACCAACTGGATGCCCAATATTTCCCAATACTGTGGATGGTTGCGAAATCCTGCACCAGTTGATTGCTGGTTTATCCGTCCCATATCCCATTGTAGGGTTTCAACCATCCTTTTGGTGGTGCAGGATTTCTCCACAATATGTGGGTATGGATCAATACCTATTAATACCATTTTTAGGGGGATGAACATCCATTTACCAGCTATTTTGATGTTCACCAGGGGGATAGGGTTTTGACCCATCCCCATGTTTCATGGTTTACCCCCGTTATTTGGTGGCGAATTTTCCCTTATCATCAACCACCATATTGGGCCACGGGGGTGCCTTGTCCAACTGCTGGATCTGACTCTGTACCAGTCCGTCCTCCTTCGAAGGGGGAGATGGGAGATGGGAATGGGGGATGGGTCAGGATACATTCCCCATATTATCTAGATTACCCTCTGGTAAACATACAAAAAGCTATTGAAAATGGCCATAGAAATAGTGGATTTTCCCATTAAAAATGGTGATTTTCCATAGTTATGTTAGTTTACCGGAGGGTATCTATCGATAGATATTTAAAAGATAGATGGATAGGGCAGTGTAATTAGATAGATGGATAGCCTTATCTATCTACCTATACATCTTTCTAAAAACTATCTATCTACCCTCCGGAGTCATCAAACCTGGCTAGCTTGAAAATCCTGGTTTCAATTCAGTTTTCATGGCAAAACTGGGAAAACCATCTAAATCGATATTGTCTATCTATCGATAAATAGACGAGGAATTGTAATTGGATAGATGAACAGCCTATTTATCTACCTATCCATCCATCTTTCTACAAACTATCTATCTAGCCCCCGTGGCAATCGAACATCCTAGTTTTAATGGGTTTTTTGATTCGAAAACTCCATCGAACTAAATGGTGGATGTTCCATTGTCACGTATGACTGCCGAAGGCTACCTATCTATCCATCCATTCATCCATCTACAAGTATCTACCCGGCCTGGTTATGTCAAAATAGCTATTGAAAATACCCTATTTATAGTTGATTTACCTATTCATAGCATGGTGATTTTCTTTAGTAATTTGTTAACGTTTACCAGGCCGGGTATCTCATGGCACTCCCTTCAGGCAAAAAAATGCGGATACGGAAGTCAGTTTTGGACCAACCAGGATTGGTCACAGATCATATCCCCACTAAAATGGCTTGCCAAATCTCCCGGTCAGTACATCACAGTAGTTTACCCTGTTCGAATCCATTGTTCTCTGCCAAATTCAAAACATATCACATTTGTTCGCACAGCAATCTCCGAAAAAAATAGAATAATCTATACATATATATATATATAAGAATTAACTTTACCACTATCTTGATCTATTTCAGTTGGATTGAACCATCTTACCGTTTTGACCTGGTCTTTGCTTCTTCCTGTGAAGCACCCATTTGCAGCTGTCCAAAGTCATGGGGGTACCCGGGGGTACCCCCAAATCATCCATTTTTTTGGATTTTTCCATTACCCTCTGGAAATTTGTTACAGTCTGCTATTGAAGCCACGGCCATAGAAATAGTTGATTTATGTTGATTTACCCATAAAAAGTTGTGATTTTCCATAGTTTTTTGTATGTTTACCAGAGGGTATAAACGATCCGGGTAGTGGGATCCCCCATGACTATGGAAACCCCCATATCGATCTCCCATGGGAGAAAACTCTCCCAAAGCCTCGCGTTGCAGCTGCTCCTGAGCGGTGAACGACTTTGTCACGGTGATGTCAAATGACGGTGGCTTTTTACCCTCTGGTAAACATACAAAAAACTATAAATACGTACCATATATAAAGCCTATTGTAGTGAAGTACACCAACGTAGATATAAGTACTCTCTGGTAAACTAACATAAATATATGGAAATTCACCATTTTTCATGGGAAAAACCACTATAAATTGGCAATTTGTCATAGCTATTTTGACACATAACCAGAGGGTAACCATCAAAAACTGGAATTACCGCTGATCAAAGATTGCAATGGAACATCTCCCCGAAAAAAGCTTCCAGTTCGATGATTTTGCAACTGAAACCTGCCTGGTTGGTGGTTGAGCCTACCCCTCTGAAAAATATGAGTTCGTCAATGGGAAGGATGACATCTCATATATGAAATGGAAAAAAACATGTTTGAAACCACCAACCAACTGCATTTTTAGTGGATTGTTCAATTGCCATGATGGTTGGTTTTTGCATCACAAACAGGGGAGGTTACCATGTTTGAACTATCCATGTGGGTTTATCATATGGTCATTTAGGTTTAACCAACAAAATGGGGGTGTCTAAAACATTGCAAAACACTATAAAAACCAACCAGTGGGGACTTTAATATACATAAATGGGAAAGTAAGGGGGAATGTGTACATATTACATAACAATCAATGGACATGATCTTAGGTTGTGTCTAAAAATGGATTGATTAGCCAAAACTGTGTCTTTCTGGTTGGGCAAATGATCCATCTTCGGGGCTTCCCGGCATGGAAAATGATGTCAATTTGGGAAAAATAGGGGGGCCCAAATTGGTGTACCATTTTCATGATGTGTATATATATATATACATTATACATGTACATTATAACATCCCTGGTTGGTGTTTGAGCCACCTCCCTTAAAAACAAAAAAGGCTCTTCAAGTGCTATCCCAGGATATGTCGGTGATCCGCTTGAAGTGGAACATATCAACTCGCTAGACCAGTGTATCCCCAATGTCGCTTTCCATCCAGTGATGGTTTCCATATGTTTCCATAAAAATGTGGTTCTCATTTCATGTTGGGGATGGGTCAAAATGAGATGGTAAACCATATGAAACTAATGTCCATAAAAATCTCATTTGGGGATGGGTCAAAACATGTCAAAACCCTATCCCCCTGTAGTTCACATCAAAATAGCTGGGATTTATGGATGTTCATCCCCCTAAAAATGGTATTAATAGGTATTGATCCATACCCATTTGTCTCGGAACCAGAATGTCAAAACGATGCCGGTCCATTGGTACCCCAAGATCATCTGAAAGCTGTGGCTTTTGATCCCCGTCTATTCCCGTCTGTTCGTTGTTTTTGTTGTTGTTGCTGCTGTTGTTGTTGTTGTATCTAAAGTGCTGTTCATGTTTAGGGTCAAGAGAACAACTCCCTACCCTCAGCTCTCATCTGCAACTATCGTTTGACTTTGCCAAACAATGTGTTACACCTCTTCCATCCAACGCTCGTTACGCTCAAAAATCCCCGGCTGAGGGCGATAAAAATTGCTGAAAGGTAACCGCCATGCTTCAACCAAATCCACCGGATTATCATGTTCCCCAAGAAATACCCTCCAGTAAATTCACAGTTCGACCCTGGCAGTCATCGGGGTTGGTTCAGATTAGTTTCCTCTAAAAATTTCCGGTGATTTTCAGGGTCCAACTGTTAATTTACCAGAGGGTATATCCACATAAATCCCATTTAATTCCCATTAAATCCCATTAAGTCCCTTTAAATCACCATTAAATCACCCTTTTTTGTGGGGAATGATGATCCCCTTGTTTCCTTTTTGCACCACAAAACCGACCTCTACAAGACAGGCCTTGGAGTTGGTGCAGTGATCAATCCATCATGATGTCATGGGTATATCGTATATCATACTCCGAGTTGATCATGGTCATGCTTCCACTAGTTATATCGTATGTCATATATATATACATATCCTATAAAGGAATTCATGGAATGATAGTAACTGGTTACAATATGGTATTGTTTTCTATAATGTTACATATGTTGTTTTCTGTTTCAAGCAGAAAACATACCCAGAATTACCCAGTCATGCAGTTACCTTTTTTGGACCAGCTGAGAAGTGTTCAAACCCGCCAGTCGGAGGATCTATCCACGAATTGCCCTGGTGGTTCCACTTGCGGTGATCGCAAGGCCCCATTCAGTAGGTTATACGGTTATCCGATCCATTATAACATATTATAACTATGGACTATAAGATCTATAAGATTCTATAGGTAGATTTATAACATATTATATAACTATGGTTGTTAAGCCAGTTAAATCCCATTAAATCCCATTTGAATCCATTTAAATCACCAATTAAATCCCATTAAATCACCACTAAAAAACATTTAAATCCATTTAAATCCATTTAAATCCATTTAAATCCGATTGAATCCTTTTAAATCCCATTATAAGTGGGATCCCTCCCCTCTGATTCATCAACCTGGCCACGACGGCCCTGGTCCTGTTCTGCCTGGGAGGCGTTTCGTTCGCGTCGTGTCCTGGCCATTTAGAGGGTACACCCCCATTCAGACGAAGCCAAAACGATTTAGAACCTGTTTTTTTTTTTAACCACCAACCAGAATGTGTCAGATTGCAAAATGGGTCACCAAAATGGGCACTTTGAATGATTTTTAAGTGAAACATCAGCGAATCATCACACCATCCCACAATGGGGGTCAAAGATGGTAACCCACCACCCGAATTGAGGTGTTGGGCATATACCCACCAGATGGGATGCAATCGGCAAATCCGACGGGAATGATTCGTTTGACCCTGAATTCGGCGGGAAATGGGAAACGGTGACCCGTTAGCCAATTGACCTATTTTGGGGCCAAATCGGGCAATTCCAAACGACCCATAAAATGGCTGAAATCAAGTTGTCTGTGTGCTTCATGTCCCATCGTTCCCATCCCATTCACTTTCATCCATCACAGCTACCCTCTGGTAATTTAACATTTTATGGAAAATTACCATTGTTCATGGGAAAATTCACTATAAATGGTGATTTTCAATAGCTATTTTGACATAACCAGAGGGTACATTTGTGGCACTGATTGATCATGATTAATCCCTGACGCGACTGGATCCATGGGGCCTGCATTTTTTCAGGCGGTCAGGCCCCCGCTCTGCCTTTTCTGGCAGATTCTGAGGGCATGGGCTGATGCATTCTTCAGGGGATGCCGATTGGCATCAACTTCAATGCTGTATGAAACGTTGTCCCACCCGAGACAGGTGTGTGTTTGTGTGCGGCTTCACAGATACAACTAATCAATTGGTGCTATTAACGACCCAAAAAAGGCAGAAGCGCCTTTTACATGTGTGATTCACATGTATTCACATAGCATGTCTTGTGATGCTTTGGGACCAAAATACCCCAATGCACATATGGGGGGGTTCTTTGAATGGGGGATCCCCAAGTTACAATGATGGTTGTTTCAATACTGAAACGGTCTTTTTTGACTTGGATGATGACTGGGGCACCCTTATAGTAGGAAACCTCCATATGTACATATGGAGGTTTCCTGAAATGGTGGTAGCCCTAGTCATCATCCATTTTAGATTGGGATTTCCCATTATAAATGATCGATTTCGGGCTGTCTCCATTTATGGAAAGCTCCATATACATATTCCACCTATTCACATGGCCAATCTTAGATACCCTGCAAAAAATGAGATTCTTTGCAGGTGAACGTAGATAATCCCATTGATACCAAAAGACTATAAAGTTAGGATTAGTTTCTACCCATCTAGGATTGAGCATGGTTGGCAGTATATCTGACTAAGTGTGAAACGTGCAAGTCTGAGTCTTAGTCATCTAGATTCAACATCCCTATGGATTCTATGGATCCAAACACTGTCTGAGAAGGTACTTATATAACCCTCCAAATTATAGTTAAACAAATACCCCAAACACTTCCTTTCAGAAGGTACGGCTGGATCTGAATTAAGGTCATTTGGGGATGATTTCCCTAAAATAAGCCATGATTCCAGGCTTCGGGAGAACAGGGTTCGGTCGTTATAATTTACCCAGATTTCATCGATATTTATGGATCTACACTACAGATATATCACCTATAAACGATAGTTATTGGAGTTATCACCAACTTAGCTATCAACCCGGGGCACCACCTTGTTTATGGGGATCTACTCGTGGCTTTCTCCTCGACTCCGCCAGCGATGAGGCATGCATGGCATGCGCAGCAGCCAGGTGCCGACCTATCGACAATGAGACCCTTTTTTGGACTCCACTGGAGATGATTAACTCATTGGATATGACAATGATTATTCCCATATAGAATTAGTTAATGTATTGATGACTATTAATTATTTATATTATATATATTATCCAATATATGATGACATAATTGCTTATTAAGGGATTTATCTGCTTAGTTATAGTTTTACACCTATGATGAAGCATTATGAACCACTCCCTACAGCTCCAAAGACCGAGACTGAGACTGTATGGATGGAGTTGTTTAACCTGGGGTCTACATAAACACCTTCTCAGAAGGTATAACTGGAGCACTCACTAGGGATTAATATCCATTGATTATGTAGTTTCTTGATTACCATTGATATATGAAAGTAGTTTATTATCATTGGGATATAGTTTACTCATCCGAATTACTAGTAATATCTAGTAATTATGTAGTTTATTAATTAGGTAATCTAACCCAGTTGATTATTAATTGATTATATTTTCCATTGATTATATTGGCAATAAATCAGTGGATATGACTATGAACTGATTACTGGAGTCGCACGAAATCAACATGTACTTCATTAAATCATGAAGATCTTTCATGCGACTTTTTTTGCAACAATGCAGGGGGACTTGACCAACAAATCTATTGGGCTTTAACACAAGGGATATGACATGATACTGGAAAAACCTCATCCAATTTTGCTGGATAATACCATTTTTCGCAACTGAAAATGAGGCAATTTTTCGGGATGATCCACCTGTACGTGAGACCATGGTTATAACTTGACCGTTCGATTGTTCCGAACTTTGCTTACGGCTATTGTGTGATAGAAATGGCAAAAAAAAACACATTGGTAGCCAACAACACTGGCTGATGGTGGGCTTTTTAGAAGCAGAAATCGTGGGTGACAATGGGTTGTAACCAGCAATCTGGGTAAATTACAATATTTCACCAACCTGAATAGTTCGGCCATTTGGGGATGATTTCCCTAACATTAACCATGATTTCCAGGCTTCGGGAGAACAGGGTTCGGTCGTTATACTTTACCCAGAGGAATGGATGATACCTATGGTTAGTTCAATGAGGTATCATCCATTCCTAGAAATCATCCATAGGACTTGTATCATCCATTCCTATCAATTTGTTGAGTCCTATGAGCTTCAATGCTTCATGGAATTCATAGGACTCAACAAATTGATCCCATGATACCCCATGGCTATTCGATCGCGAGGCTTGCGGTACCCTTTGTTTGCTAGCGAAGTTGCTTTGTTTGCTAGCGAAGTTTTGAAGCTATTGAACAGGAACTTAATGGTGATTTTATGGTGATTTAATGGGATTTTATAGTGATTCAATGGGATATTAATGGGATATACCCTCTGGTAAACATACAAAAAGCTATTGAAAATGGCCCAGTCGAAATAGTTGATTTACCCATTTTCATAGCATGGTGGATCTTTCCATAGTTTTCTGTAGACGTTTACCAGAGGGTATTGGATTTATGGTACCAGAATCCAGTACCTGTAATGATCAAGATTAACAGACCAACCTATAGCTGGGAGACATCAAATTGTGGATAGTAAGTACCCTGACTGCGATGCCGGATATTTTATTTGTAGATGTAGACCATTACCATTTGTTTTATATACTATTTCTGCAGTTCTACCTATCACAGTACTTTTTGGGTTTTGTCACCAACCTTGTTTGGCCATAAAGATTGTGGAATCAATCTGTGTTTGAACCACATGAGACACCGGCAAGACTGTAAAGTCCATCTTTGTGTCATGATTGGTGTAGCAGGGTGTTGTCACTGATATCACCTTTATTTTTGGTTACGTTGGCATACCTTGGCTACATTCACCATCTTCAGTCCTTGCTGCTAAAAACTATACTGGTCGGTGGTTTTATATAACCATCTTGACAAATATGAGTTCGTCAATTGGAAGGATGATCCCATATATTATGGACAATACAAAATGTTTGAAACCACCAACCAGTATACTGTTCAAAACAAAACCCGAGATGAACTTTTTGGATCATATACACGACATAGCCAATCCTTCATACCCTGCACGTTCGACAAGTGCAACTTTTGGCTCATGTTGGGTCAATATTCCTCCATAAAAATGGCAAAGGAACGGCAATTACCTACTCTTCAGTATGCTTCTTGCTCTACCCCACGGCACATGTTCTTGGTTTAACTACCAAATATTGATGGTGAAATACCCTTCACCAGTCAATTTACCACTTGTTGATGGCTGAATGCCTATGTTTTGACGATTAGATTTCATATTTTGATGATTGAATCAGTACACGAATCCATATTTTGCTGATGAATCAGTCAAATTCCAGATTTTGGATCATGGATCATGACATCCAAGTCCCACGAACATGTTTTTCGCCCGGTTCTTGCGGCACCACACGGCCCCTCTACGCCCCGGCCCCGGCCGCTCCAGTTTCTGTGGCCCCAAGCTGGGGCGGATGGGCACACGACGCGGCTCGGGCACCAGCATGGTCTCGCCATCGTCGAATTGGAGGAGGTATTTGGGATGGATGCTCCTGGGAATGCGTTTGGACGGTTGGTGGGCAAAAATGGTGATTTAATTGGGTAAAACTATTCTGCTAATGAACTAGAATTACGGGTCATAATGTATGTATACTATATATATAATGTGTGTGTGTGTCAGTATATGACTATATATGTCTATGTAGGTAATGAACTAGAAGTACGGGTCATTTTTATGACTATATAGGACTAGATTTAGTTGCTATACAAATGTGATTACAAAACTGTTTCTTACCCCCGGCCATCGCAACAAAAATTGACTATGAACCAACCATAGTGGGCTGAAATAGCTGGTGAAAACTAGTGGGATGTCACCAGGAAAAAGAGTGATGCAATGGGGAATTAGACAAGGAACTAGTTGATAATGACTGCCTATCCTGTAGCTGGTGATATTTGTGAGGCTGATATGACTGATATCTATATATATATATATATCTTTATCAATCTATCTATAGTTCTTTCTTTATCTTGCTTTATCTATCTGATCTATCTTTATCTATCGATCTATCTACCTATCATACTTGGTGGTACCATCGGTTTAACCAACGCAAATGCTACATATAGCAGCTATATGACCAACTCAAATCTAGGTATGTAAGTTGGTGTCTAACTGCTTGGTGGTGCAGGACCGAGGTGACTTTTTTTATGGGGGAAGAATATCATGGTCATCAATTTGGGGAAAACCTCATCTCATATTGTTTGTCCATTTCATAATCAATTTTGGAAAACCTTCTCATTTCTGGAAAAATATGGTACATCCCCATTTCATTCTGTTTTGTACCATCAGATCAATGGCCATTTCAGGAACCTAAATTGGAGGTACCTACCATATATAAGGCCTATGTTCAGGCCTAAATTTCAGGGGATATAGCCCCAAAATATGGTCTTATACGGTACTGCCGTAGCTCCATTTTAGGATCCAGTTTCATTCCCATTGATAAGTTGGGATATGGGGGGGTTTCCTAAAATAGGGGTATCCCTAATCATCAATCATCCAAGTCCTTAGAGCATTTTCTGATTGGTGGTATACCTACCCCTCTGAAAAATATGAGTTTGTCAATTGGGATGATGACATTCCCAACAAATGGAAAGTCATAAAAGTCATGTTCCAAACCACCAATCAGATTTTAGTATTGAAAGCCATGGAATTTTGGGTACCCTCTGGTAAACGTTTACGTAACGAACTGGAAAATCACCATGCTATTAATGGGTAAATCCACTATTTCTATGGCCATTTTCAATAGCTTTTTGTATGTTTACCAGAGGGTAACCATCATTTTAGGAAATCTACATATGGGGCCTCTATAACTAAGATTGTATATCCGCATAGAATTGGAACTGCACCCCCAGTATGATATTCTAAACGTGGTGATCCTCACATGTGGTGCCCCCCATCACATTTAAGGTTGCAAAGGGCTTCATGGTCCATCACTGTAAATACAGCAACTTGAAAGATCATCCCACGAATCCTAAATGGTAACGGTTAGGAACCATAGAACCCATTCATATATTCATTGGATTGGTTTAAGGGAAAATTTACAGGAAAGCCCCATATTTAATGGTAAAAACCATGGTTTCCTGTAGATTTTCCCTTAAACCAATCCAATGATATATGGGATAACCCCACTGAATGGAGACTTGCTAACTAGATCTAACTAGTTTTACTAACCACTTACGACTCGTGTGATGATCCTCCAAGTAATGCAGGAAGTGAAGGACAAAAAATCACAATGGGGCGAAGATGGGGATATAATATGATATAATATGATATAATATGATATAATATGATATAGTATGATATATATAATATAATATATAATATAATATATATGATATATATATATATGATATATATAGTATAATATATATATATATATATAATGAGATCAAACAGAATATTTTGCAATGTGGGCCACCGGTCGATGGCTGCTGGGTTGGTTAGGGGGATATCTCGAATTAGTTTGATGGAATTACAAATGAACTACAAATATTTATAAACCAACTACTGGTTGGTGGTATACCTACCCCTCTGAAAAATGATGGAGTTCGTCAGTTGGGATGATGACATTCCCAATATATGGAAAAATAAAAGTCATGTTCCAGACCACCAACCAGCAACTATCTAACATACCCTCTGGTAATTTAACATAGCTATGGAAAATCACCATTTTCAATGGGAAAATCCACTATTTCTATGGTCATTTTCAATAGCTTTTTGTATGTTTACCAGAGGGTAACTGGGGTACACCCCCCTTTTACGGGATTTGTTGCGAAACTCTTGGATTCAACTACTGTCCCGGTCCCAGGGATCCAACATGTAAGTCATGGACATCCATGGACATCCATGACTGGTTGGTGGTTGACCTACCCCTCTGAAAAATGATGGAGTTCGTCAGTTGGGATTATGACATTCCCAATATAATGGGAAAAATAAAAGCCAAATGTTCCAAACCACCAACCAGATTTATAGACCAACATAGACCAACTATCTAGCATAACTGGACATCCATGACGACTGGATGATTTGGGATACCCCCATGACAACTGTCGGAAACTTAACGTCGCGGGCCGTCCTTAACGTCGCGAATTCCCATCCTCCCAAGTCCGTCTCCACCCGGAAGCGTTGGCCCACCTGGCGCTCCAAAGCTATGCTGGTTGAATGGGATGAATCATCTCATGGAAAATGGCAGCTCCATGGGATTTCATAGAAGATATATATGATATATATATATATAATATATATATATATACCCTCTGGTTATTTAACATAGCCATGGAAGCCATGGCCCATTTATAGATGGTTTACCTATGAATCATGGTGATTTTCCATGGCTATGTTAGTCATAACCAGAGGGTAATCATATAATTACCCATAGGATCCATGTATGGTATATATGCTAACATTTACCATCAATATACCCCAAATGTTAGCATATATACCATACATAGATCCTATGGGTAATGGTTCAAAACAAGTGACCCCGAGTGCTGTGGCGCCAGGAGAACCATAGCCTTCACTCTTCGCAGTCTGTGAGGGGATGCCCCAAGAAATATGGAGAAATTGCGATTGCGAGTCATCCTGGGAATTTTGAAGGGGTACTGACTGTTCAAACAAAATCGTGTGATAAACCATGATGAACCCGAACAAAAACCAAAACATCGACACAATTTGCGCAACAGATTAGAGTACTAATAGGAACCATTCAGCCACTTTCACCGAGGTTTATCCATCGATAAGTCCGGAAAAAAAAATATAGATCAACACCAAATTCACAAAAAAATGAGAGTGACTTACACCAAGGTTACACTCAGTTCTACCAGAATTTTCCATAAATTGGTCAGTTGAACAACCAGGTTCTACCAGCATTTTCTGGCAAGATCTTCCAGAAAATCACCGCCTTCATCTCGGAGAGGTAGGTGGTGGCCTGCCACGGGCAACGGTTGGTCCATTGAAATGTCTTATTGGTGAGGATTTATTGGGAGTTAAGCAGAAAAATGGTGATTTGACGGGATTTACCTATGAACAATTGTGATTTAATAGGATTTTTATGGGATTTACCTATGGAAAATTGTGATTTAATGAGTTTTTTATGGGATTTACCTATGAACAATTGTGATTACATTTATATAATGGGATTTAACTATGAAACATTTTCGGAATTTCTGGGATTTAACCAAGTTAAAACTCTGATTTACTGGGAATTTTCCAGGAAGATTGGGGGATTTAAGCAAGCAAAAACATGTGACTTACTGAGATTTCTGGGAAACATGGGGATTTCAGGGACCTTAGGTGCCCTGCAGTTCTCAGTTGCTAGGGCATAACCTTGTACGCTGCGATGTTCAATAACATGGAAAATATGGGTCAAAACGGTGATTAAACGGTGAACAGACACATTTAAGTGACTAAAGTGACTAAGATGACTAAGCTAACTAAGCATCCAACATCAGGATATAAGGTGAGGAGAAGTCTACTGATCATGTTCCGGGCTTTCCCCGGTGTTCCAAGCCTCTGGTTGGATGTTTACCCCATGGTAATGGCCGTTGTTGAGTGTTTAGAACCTGTGAAATCCCATGGAATCCGCTGTGTTTTTGCAAAATCCCATGGACATAGCCGTAGACATAGGTTTTGATGGGTAACCGATCCATGTTTTTATGATAAATCTGGTGTGTGGGAGGAGTTCCAATCTACATATAAGATCATACAAGCAATCCCTGATGACCGACCAAACACCAATGGAAAATCAACCCAAAGTTCAGGATGTTGGGGACTCACTAGTGAGTTTTTCACATTATGATTGCTGGGTCGGCAACACAAGGTTTAATCTCTGGATCCCGCTGTACCTTCTTAGAGTTGCAAGAGTCACTACCTCCGAAAAAGCAAGATAGTATCAAATATGGATGCTTCCTTTTTAAATAATCACTACTGGGCTATGCTGTCATGACCAATGATGAGATCTGATATGTTTTCGCCAATGAGTATCCCTATTATTGGTCCATCCCCAACAAGCATCAATAAACCGTCAATGGTTTTTAAGGTTTATAGCCCAACTTGAGTAATCAACAAACATCATTTTTTGGTGGCTCACATGCCTGTAATGATCCACTTGGACATTTGACATGAAGATTGGAGGATTTTTAGATGATTTTTAGATGATTATGGATGATTTATGGAGGATTTATCTGGTTGGTGCTTTCAACCCCTCTGAAAAATGATGGAGTTTGTCAGTTGGGATGATGACATTCCCAATATGATGGAAAAAATAAAAGCCATGTTCCAAACCACCAATCAGATGAAGATATAACTGTCTTTTTCTGGGTGACATAAACCCCGCAAGAGAGCCTTGTTGATCGTTCGGTGCTCCTGGCAGCGACATTGATTAACGAGAAACCCTAAAGTCAGCAGGCGTGTGCCCTTCCAAATGTGTAAAGGATTGTAAAGGTCTGTTGTAGAAGCCAGCTAAACAAGCAAAACAAACCTGACCCCTGCTCCTTGCACTCTTCTTGTTTCTTGTATATGGCAAGAGGCCAACTCAACCACGATTCACCCATTTGTTGGGCCACCCCATGGTTGTACCCCAATCGACGGAGATTCCTCATCTGAACCCAGTGATGGATGCCTTTCCTCAATGACAAACACACTTTGTTTCGACAACTGTGCAACCAAACAAACCATGTTTGTTCTGAAATTCCTGAGTTTCAAACATGTGCTTCCTCTGAAATAAGGTCGTTTGTTTTTGCAGCAAGGAGACCCCAAAATTGAACTACCATCTTTTTCAGGTTGACTTACCATGGGGTTGTTTCAAAAACTAAGGCAGTTGCAACATGCTTCCCCTTTGCAGTGGCCAACTACCCTTGCAAACAAGTCATAGCTTGATAGTCTAGAAAACAACGAATGAACAAAGTCGTGAACTGAAAGCATGACTAAAAGTTAAGTAGTTAAGTCTAACTATGGTTTACTGATTAGTTAAGTCTAGCATGCTTCATAGTCTAGCTTCACCAGTCCTCCTTTTGCAGCAAGGACGAGGGCCAGGTCTTAAGTACCTAAAAAAGACAGCACCGCACCGTCGTACAGTGCGGGATTCTGTATGACTCATTGAAAATCTGGCATATTCATCTGGTTGATGGTTGAACCCTACCCCTCTGAAAAATAGTCAGTTGGTCAGTTGGGATGATGATTATTCTCAATATGATGGGAAAATAATCCAAATGTTCCAAACCACCAACCAGTCATGTATCATTGGATTGATTTAAGGGACAAATTACAAGAAACCTCTATATATTTGATGGTTTCTAAGCCATGGTTTCCTGTAGATGTTCCCGTAAACCAGTCCAATGAATGTAAAATCAGCCAATATTGATATTCAAACAGCCATAATTTTTTTACCACATGTTTTCATAGTCATACTGTGTGGAAACAAACATGGTGTGGTTGTTGAAGTAAAGCCTATGTATTGGTTGGATACATTAGCACAATGCACAACATATGGTCTTGGCTAGGCAAAACACGATCTACACAAGCAAAACCTATTCATGAAAGTATATATAAATGATTGGTTGTATATTGTACAAGTAATTAACATGAAATGAATAAGCTGCGGTCTCGCACGACTACAAAGTTTTTACAGATTGTAAAGAAGAATGAAGAAGCGAGATGCTTTTGACAGAGAGGCAGAATTGAAAAAAGGATAGTAGCGGAACAGGCAAACTTAAGTCATGAACAAGACCACTACCTGTATGGCAAACAAAGGAACATACGCTACCGTTGGAGCAACAGCATCAGTGGGTATGGCAAGACGATGAACCAGCATCGAGCATTAGAAGCCTTTTAAAGAAATGGATAGTTGATGTTGTATGTTACCTGCTATGTTTGTTGTGTTGTTGTTCCATGTCTGACCCCATGCATAGGAGATCGGATGCGTCCTAGGTTGGTATTCTTTTCAGCACCGCGACTGAAATCACACGCAAAGTCTCACTGAAACGCTTGTGAAGTGATTGAAATGAAGACTTCGAAGTGGTGGAAAGATTCATAGAATTGGATGATGGGACAATTTTAACCGGAAAACCCTATATTTGATGGTAAAAACCATGGTTTCCGGTTAAGATTTTCCCTTAAACCAATCCAGTGAAAGACTGGGTCTCACTGTTTGTGAGTCATGTCTATCGCTAGTAATGTGGTGAACCCAAAGACCATCCCATGAACCAACCATGACCGGGCACATTTGCCACTTAAGTTCCCAGAAATCCCTATGATTCCTAGTTTAAATCCCAGTAACATGTTTCTTGGTTCATGAGATCCAGGACTTTCTCCTGTTTAAATCCCATAAAACCTCCTATGTTTCATAGTTGAATCCCATTAAATCACCCTTTTTCCATAGGTAAATCCCATAAAAAATCTGGTTAAATCACAATTTTCCATAGCTAATTCCCATAAAAATCCCATTAAATCACCATGTTTTTCCGCTGAAATCCCCCCATGTCCGCTCCGCACCCTTCGAGTGTTCAGCACATCGCGCGCGGCATCTCCTCGGAGGATCTGACGGAAACCATCGTAGCCTTGAGATGAAGCAAAAAAAATGGTGTTATGGATACCATATGATATCAGTATTATTAAATTATTAACTATGGTTTATAACTCCAATTTCACTATGGTTTATGATACTTATTACGATAGTATTCATAGGGTTAAGAAATGGCGAAGAAATCTCACGAACTGGTTTATGATACGTAAATTACTATAGTTAATAACCAATAGTTATCATAAACTATAAAAATGGATATAAATTACTATAGTTATTAACTGTTGCTTATAAACCAACTTATAATTATCATCCATTATCATCCATTATCATCCATTATCATCCATTATCATCCATTATCATCCATTATCATACATTATCATCCATTATCATCCATTATCATCCATTATCATCCATTATCATCCATTATGATCCATTATCATCCATCATACTGTCCATTATTATAGTATTAGCCAGTATTATCAAAGACTTGGTTGGTTATAGTTGCTGGTAGTTATAGTTATATGAGATCTTAGTTATAGTTATAGTTATCATAGTTTCATTTTTTGGATCTATGATATAATTGCTTAGATGGTTAGTTATAGTTAGTTAGGCTTATATGGTTAGTTTTAGATATATACACCTATTATGAAGCATTATGAACTGGATCTAGGATTTTGATGGATTTTATGAAAAAGATTTTGTAAGTAGAATCGTAGAAACCAAAGATTTTGAAAGATTGTGTCAAAGATTTTGAGATTTTATCTTCAAAAAGATTAAGCATCTAAGCATCGTATCCTTTCATATTTTGGATCCAGGATTTTTTGGTAGAAGTATCTACCCTCTGGTAAACCAACATAGCTATGGAAAATCACCATTTTTAATGGGAAAACTCACTATAAATTGCCATTCTCAATAGCTATGTTAGTTTACCAGAGGGTATAAGACTTTATCCTTAAGTTGCTTCATGACCTGAGACTAAAATTCCTGCTTCATGACCACCTTGGTGATCCAGGCTTCAGCCGTTCATCTCCAGTGCACAATTTGTTTTTCGCGTTCCCGCCTAGGTGAAGGAGAAGCCAAAAGGTCAAGTAAGCTGCCTGCAGAGACTTTCGGCTTCAAATGTGCAACAAAAACCCATAAAAACCCACAGAACTGGACCAAAAATGGTGTTAACAACCTATGCAACATGAGATGGATTTGCAACCAAGGAGACTATGCAGATGTGTGTTTTTGGTGTTTTTACGTGAACATGACACTATCTTTGCGTGAACATGGTAAATTTCATGATCCTTCTGCGTGATCTATCTGCAACATGAAGCGGGTTGGAATTGTCTGCATCAGTCGTTTTGTAGGCTGTATAAACCATGTGCTTTTGCTTCTGGTTCAATCCGCCTTTGATTCAATATAACTATAACCTGTTTTTTGTTGGCACTGGTGCTGCCGATGAGCTCTATGATCTCTATGCTCAGGTCAGAGTTTGATTCAATAGAACCTGTAACAAACAATTCTCCAAATATTAAATCGATTGTTCTGATGTATGCCAAAAAATGTATGGCTGCGGTGTTCAAAATCCCTGTGGGTTGATAATTACAGGGGAATCCCATTCTCAAGCAATATGAAATAGTATGAAGGAAAGACAAAGATTTTAAACCATAAATAACCATCATATCCGGTTTTGAACCATTATATCATATAATATCTCCTATTAAAATCCATTAAGTCACCATTTTTCTTTGTCAAATACCTGGTGTGACCATACCCCAACATGCTGGTCGACATCGCAGCTAACAACCCAAGCTGGTGAGCAGTTCATATTGACAGTATGTGATACTATTTCATAGATCTATATCATATATATATAATATACATATATTACGCATGACTGTAAACTAGATATGATGTATATGTATACATATACCATATATATATATATATATGTATGTATACATATATACATATTGCATAATATAGAGGTACGCATATCATGTGCATCTGAAATAGATACGATCCCACGCCTTCATGGTGCCACACTCCTCATCCGGCACCCTCACAACGGGATGCCCGTCGGATTGCGTGGAAATCCGCCACACGATCCATGAAGGCTTTAGTGATAAAATGATCCATGGCTAGATATCCATTTCTCTGTCAGAAATCCAAATTCATGGATCGTGTTCATTTCCCATATGTTGAAGCTCACAGTATGGCTATATCCTTTGAGTAAATGGATTCATCGACTTAGATGGGCCGAAGCGGATTAGCGATTCCTGGTTAGGATTCCTGGGGATTAACTAACCCCCTATATAAAAACCCATGAGATTAGCTAAATGATTAGTAACTGGGGATTTGTTACCCTCTATATCCCAATTATAATCCACTTACTAACTAGTTAACTAACTCCATGGCCCATCTAAGTAGCGGAAAAGATGTTCTTTTTTACCCACCACATCGCTCGGCCGTTCCGAAATGCTTTCCGCCGGTGTCAATTTTCCAATTCGAAAATCTGTGGGTCCAGAGGGTTGTTGACCCATACACGTATCGTATCGTCATGGGTTTCATACCATCGTTTTCAGGGGTGTACCAAAACACCAACAATAAACTGCCGATCGTCGGACATCTCCATCCCATCCGAATTGTCGGACCTGCCAGACGGTCCTAAAGAAGTTGATGTGTTTCACAAAACCTCAGTGGCTTTCTGGACGATGAAAGGAATATTCAGGGCTTCACTGCAGCGTGATGCCCCCACATGTTTTTTTGTTGCTTTACAACCCCCTTGGGTATACAGTATATACATATGGTGATTTCCTGAAATAGGGGTACCCCCAAATCATCCATTTTGGTATTTTCCATGAAATAAACCATCCATCCAGCTAATCCGGGGTACCTCCATTTCTGGAAAACCCAAGATAGCTAAGTTGGTGAACATAACTCCAATTTCACTATGGTTTATGGTACTTATTACTATAGTTAACCAGTCATATCTACTATAGTGAAATTGGAGTTACAGTATGTATACACCATATTATTAAGTCCAATATTTCGTGGTTTTCCTGGTGGTTATATCCCACAAGATATAATACTTATCATACTTATCATGATTCTAAAGCACCTCAGCTACCGGATGCTACCGAGGTAGCAACTCATTCTGCTCCAGGCAGCTGATATATTACATTAGTGGGCCATGTTTGGGGGGTAGTAAATGCTTATATTTTATATATTATAATATATATATATATTATAATATATATATATATTATAATATATATATATATATATATATTATTATATATATATATTATAATATATATATAATTATAATATATATACGTACATACATATGTATATAAATATATTAGTATAATATATATACGTAATATCATTATAATTTTAATATGTATGTATATATTGTATATATATATATTATAATATATATAAGCCATTCCACACAGGGAGTGTTTGGGGAATTAGAAAGGTACCGTTTGGTGATCATATCAGATACCTTTCTTCGTTGACGACGAACGAGACTTGGCGTTTCCACCGGTGTCGCTTCCATCCCGAACGAGAGTTCTTTGCTGCTTGGATCTTCTCCCAATACCTCCAATTGATTTACAATAATATATATAGTAAAATATAATTGATGTATAATATGTTTATAATTGATTGATAATTTATTTGTTACTGTAATTGAAAATCCACCATTTATAATATCTTATAATGTGTTACAATCTATATAGTTAACTTTCCATGACTTTCCCATTATTTATAATCTAAACTTGACTGTCCTATTATTTCCCATGAACACCTCCATGTGTAGGGTATTTTCCAGTGCAATGTTTGATTACCAGAGGCTCACCGGAAATACCTGGGGACTCTGGCGCACGCGGTGGCGCTGTTCGCCACGAAGGGTGGCGAACTTGTTTTTTGGGCGAGCCGAGAATCAGCGGAAATTGTCCGAAGTCCCAAAAACGATAGATAGGAAGTTGGTAAAATCCGATTCTGCAAATTTGGTCAATTGAAGCTGTTCAAGTTCTGTTTGGGTTCCTAAAAATAGGTGCATTCAATGTCCGCAGCGGAAGTCTTGAAGTGAGCCAAAGCAGTGGAACATGGCCAGCCGTGTCCGTGCTCCTTTGCGACAGCCTTCAGGAGCCCGGTTACCCGCCATCGACCCACTTTTTGCCCATCGCCCAGCCGCTTCTCTGCTCAAAGGGCTGCCCTTGGGTCCCACCATATCACCAGCAGAAACCGCTTTCGGTGGTCAGTTTGTCCAAGTTGCTTGTTGCTTGTGCTTGAAATCACTATGCCACCTTGGATCTAAGATGATAAGATGGCAGAGATATCAGATGTGTATAAAAAGTTGAGTAACTTTATCAATCAACATCACTGGAACCATCTTTCAGCTACTGACCCATGTCATTTCCATGTTGATACATCGGCACTTGGGTATATACTTGAATACCTCAGCAGCTATTTTCCAACCAGATATGGTCAAATTGAAGATCATCTGAATGTCTTTCCAGGTAAATGCAAGGTACAGCATTGTATAGCTATGTAAATATACCCCATATGCTCAATGAACGGTATATTTACCTACATGTCTACACATTTTGGAGGTTGATGAATGTTGCATGGTCAATATTCCAGCACCGTGGACCATATGATTTGTGGGTACCATATATTTACGGATGATCATTACTAACAGTCCCTTTCACCCATAGCTCACGTCGACGGCCGGTGAATTTCCGGTACCCAACGGGTCAGCAGTGCTGTACACTTTGTCCCAGAAGTTTTTTTTGGTCGTGGGCGAAGCTGCAATGCTGCGAAGCTGCGAGGTTCAGGTTGAGGCAACTGGGTTTTACCTAGCAGCATCTAGCATCTACGCACCAATCCTTTCGGTTGCTCATCCGTTGCCACACCATGAACCTCACGCCAAGCATCGGCATTTCTGATGCACGAAGCGCCGGTAGCGTCGGCGCCACGAATCACCGTTCAGCTGGCGGTAAAGCGAGGCGGCAACGCTGGCGGCAAAAACTGTATAGAACTGAAGTGAGGCATTGTGGTGACTGTGGTGATAACGAAGTTGCTCATGCTTAACATTAATCGTACTTGCTGGTGAAAGATAGGTCAATCGATTCACATTCAACTCAAAGATGAAAATTGGAAACTACAAATATATACAGTTTTTCCTATAGTAAAGTATGTAAAGTGAAAGAAGCTTAACATAATACGCAACCATCATCATGTTCGATTCTACTAGTAGTCTTAGTTCACAAGTCGACAGTCCAGTCACTTCAGAATATCGGGATGGTCATGTTTCAGTCAAGCATCAAAATCATCAAAGCTCAGGTGACGGTTCATAAGTTGGTTTATAAAGCCATTAACTAGTTCGTTATATCTACCATAAACTATAGTTTTTTCAGCCACTTATCCACTGAAATAAGGCGTTTCTGAACGCTCTTCTTTTTTTTTGGCCTCATCAAAGCTCAGGTGATGGTTCCTCAAATTTACAAGAATCCATCAGAGCCTTGTTCCAAGTGGCCTCACACTTCAAACTGTGAAGCCAACGTCCAGACTGGTAACATCTACACCTGGAGAGATGGGGGTAAGGGCCAGCCAGGGGTCCAACATGGACATGTTGGGATATGGGAAATCTTTGGGGATCTTGCAGTGAACTAAATCTAACTTAGCTATCAACTATATCAATCTCATGAACTCCCACATGAAATCACCATGTTTGCTGGTTGAATTCGCAGACTTAGCAGTCTTAGCAGCCCTCGAAATTCACAGCCACCGGCCATACCGTTCCCAGCCTCGCACATGGATATTTATCTATAGGATATATAATACTAACTATGGAATATTGTATATAATATATACCCTCTGGTTATTTAACATAGCGATGGAAAATTGCCCATTTATAGATGATTTTCCCACTAAAACCTCCATTTATCAGGGATTTTCCATGGCTATGTTAAATAACCAGAGGGTATTATATACTATACATAACTAGAGGACCTGGTATTTCTAAGTATATATCTTAATCAGTTGGGATGATCAAAATCCCAACTCCAAAATGGAAAAAACATCCATGTTCCAAACCACCAACCAGAATATTTCAACTATCTAACATAACTGGGGTGTAACTTTCCACGGGATTTGTTCGAAACTGTTGGATTCAACGACCATCCCAGTCCCAGTGATCCATTCGTCGAACCCTCACCTGGCGCCCTCCTGCAGCAGTTTCACCAGATACTGCGGCAGCATGCCGCTGTCGTCGGGGATGGGCAAGCCCACGGAGGCCGGGTAGGTGGCGCAGTTGAAGCAGCTCTGACCCCACAGGTGGTCGCCTTGGGAAGGCCCTAGAAAAGGGGGTGAAAGATATGGGAAAATAATGGAAAATGTCAAGAAAACGTGGGGTTTTAGTTGGGTTTATGTGTGTTTGGTGGATTTTATGATGTTTTGGTGGGATTTGCATGGTTTTATTTAAGCATGATAAGAGTCGCTATATCATATGGTAAAGAATAAGGGAAATCACCCAGATAATGAATTAATCAAGGAAAAAAGGAGAAAAAGTGATTATTAATGCTTATTATTCAAAAAATATTGAAGCTGATGGTTGTCATGGGGAATCCCAGTGCATGGACTATGGTCTATTAGGGTAGTCCCCAATATTTGAAGGATAGTGTAACTGCCAGGGATGTTATACTATATAATATCATACTGGAGGTTCCCACTTCAACAATATAAAGCCCGTAGTCGTAAAACACCTAAAAAATCAAAAGAACCCTTACATATCCATATATACCATCATGACTATTCCCCAGTCACAGGAAATAATCACCCCCATCAAATCAGTCATCCACATGAAAAAACATAGATCAAACCATATTTCAAGCGTGTAAATCCAGATAAAACCGATCAAAACCCATAAAAAAAGTGTTCACTCACACATTTCACCACCAATTCCAAACCATTCTCTTTATTCGAATTTGAAATGTGTATATATAAGATATAAGTATATATCAGAATCATCCCCGTATCCCATTTGGGCTATCCTATTTGGGGGTTTCCGTAAATGGGTGCATCCCAATAATCCCAATAGCTGGATGGTTTATAAATGCAGAAACTTCATGGAAAGTCCTAAAAAATAAAAATGGAAAGTCTGTTTCATGTTGAGAAAGTAGATCTTAAGATTAGCTACCTGGTAGGTGTCTAATATATTATGGGATACCCTCTGGTAAGATGATGTGGGCCCCAACTTCCTTCGGAAAGCCTCCCATTTTTCCACCGCGTCACACGTGGAGCTCTCCTTCTGTCGATATGTCCTGGGCGCCTCCGGCGGAAAGGCGTAGAGCTTCGACGGCTCAAGGCCCGTGCTGCGGAGATCCTGCAGGACCTGGCTGAAGCCGCAGTCCGCGTGGAGACCTCGACGCTTTCGCACCGGGGAAACCGGGGGAAAGCTGGGGAAGATGGAGGGAAATACCATGGAAAATGAGGAAAAATGTGAAAACGGTTGGGAAATATATGGAAAAATGAGGAAAAATGATGGAACATTGGGAACATGTGGTGAAATATCATGGAAAATGACGCACAATTGTGGAACAAAATGGTAAATACCATGGAACATGAAGACTCATTGTGGAAACCACGTGGTAAATACACCATGGAAACATGGGATTGCTGGAATTTCACCATGGAAATCCCATGGAAGGAACTCATGGGGATTTGACCCACTTCGCTTGTTCATCTGGTAAAGTCCCCACAGCCTTATCCGCTTATCCAAGCTGATATTCAATAGCCTTTCAATATCTTTCAATCCTGGATGCACATGAAACGTTTGGTATAAAGTGTATAAAGTATACGTCTTCCCACACAAAATATTGTGTAAAAAACACATGTATTTCTGCAACGTTCACAAACAGAAATAACATCATCAATAAAACAATTTCTACATCCCCCAATGACATTCCATCGAATCCCATGACAAATCCACCACTTTGTGTTTCGTTGGACTTTGAAAATCTCCTCCACCCGCAGCCAAAAACCACCGAGCCACATCGGTCATTGGGAATGTCCCAAAAAACCAAGATCTGTCCGAAGGCGGACTGCGTCGCATCCTCGAACTCCGCAGCATCATCAGCGACCTGATCCGCCGATTCGGCGATCCGGGGAGATTCGTTTCCGGAAAAAGGTGGTGCCGGTCGATAGCTAGGTTGGTGAACATAACTCTAATAAGTAGGACTTATAGTAGATGTATCTATAATGTTCACATGGCGTTAATAAACCCCCCCTCAATAAAGTACGCCAACTTCCGGTTCATATTGATAAACCACCCCGTAATAAAGTACGCCAACTCTTTTTTCCCGTTTTTTTCCGTTTTTTCCCTTTAGTATTCGTTTTCAATTAGGCAATTCATTTGGGAATGCATAGGTCTGATCTTTTTTATATTAACGATAGTTGAATGTTTGGCCCTAACTTTATTCTGATGCTCTTAATGTTTGAGGGGGGGGTTATTAATACGATGTTGACATTAGTTAATGGGATTATAAACCAACCTCTGACTTGGGGGGCACCACCTTGTTAAGTTTTTTGATGGCGATTTGACCAAGAAAAATAGGCAAGTCATTGGGATTTCGGATACCAACAATGCGAACCATGGTGCTGGAATATGCAAACCTACATTTTTCTGGGCCATTTTTGATTGGGGTAAATGTCGGGATTCATATTCCAGCACCATTGGACCATGGTTCGCATTGGCATAAGTTGAGTCTCAAGTGGTGATGAGATTCATGGGATTAACCAGAGACAACTGGGGTCCGACCGATGTTGCCACACGAAGGGAGTTATGAGTTATGTCTTTCGTGAGTGGTTTGGAACCCCAAAACTTGGATGGTGTTATAACATGTTATAACCCCTAGCCATTGTATCTAATTCTGGCAACATCTAAGTTGCTTCATGGCAAAAACTATTTTTCTGTTGATAAGACCCATCTAGGCACGCAATGCCTTTCCCATGAAATCCTCATGTGACTCTTTAGGTTTAAGCCTCCGTTTTTGGATGTTTAGGTTTCACTTCCGGCCAGATGCCATCAGCAGTTGACTAACCGACCATGGCCCAGCAAAACCCAACATTTCTGTTGATGAATTCTCGCATTTTGCCACGTAGCAATTGACCGACTGACTCACAATGGCCCATCCAAGTACTTTCCAGCATCATTGCAGATTGTTGGTTACTGAGTTATAATCACCTTTTGTTGGTGGATATCCAGATTAATGCAGGGTCCATACAATGTGGTGCCCCACAGTGATAAGCTATGTTGAATGATTCGGCTCACAGTTGACTTTGGAATACATCTACAGTCAGATGGGCTTAGAAACCACCTTTTAACTGGGAGGCACCATACACCACATTGTAATACCAAAGGAGCCGTGGTCAAAACCGTCTATGAATACCGGGCGGTTAGTATACCAGGTCATGGATGATGATTTTTGTGTCGTATCATTCCCGACTGAGTCATCCACTGACAGTTTTGAACACAGCTCAATTTGTCTGGATAAATTGGAATAATTCACCAACCATCACCAACCTGAATTAAAGCCATCAAGTGGGATAGTTACCCAAAAACACTCATCATAATTTACAGTGACGTAGCAGCGTGAGGTCGTTGTATCTTACCAAGATAGGCCCCGCCTGTTTTAGATTGGTTCCTAAACACCTTGGATAAACATCAGCTTCAACAGATTAGCAGCCACTACTCATCACCTTCAACATATCTTCCAAATCTTTATATATACCAATGATTTACTGTATTTATCACGCAAGAAAAATAATAATACAACCACAAGTCATATCTGCAATGATTACATGATATATCCAAACATGATATTCATCCACAATATATCAACCAGTCTTGTGAAGTCAAATCCCAGACATCATAATCCATTAATGGGTTTAACCTAATTGATTTACCAGAGATACCCCATGAAATATCCCAAGTATTCCACAAGTTTTGTTGGTGAAGTCACCCATGATCCTTACCATCTGATGGGGTTCCCATGGAAAAATAACCAATGAGTGTATATACATAAATTAACACAACCAATATAGCTATGATAGCTACTATGGCATATCATATCATGGTATATCATAGTATGTTCTTTTTGTTAAACAATATGTGTACAAGGTGGTGCCCCCTAGTTATAAGTTGATTTATAATCCCATTAACTGTAGATATATCTACCATTCAAGTCCTAGTCAAATTAGAGATATGTTCACCAACTGAACGCTATCTTGGGGGCACCACATTGTAGAAAGAACTACAATATGGCTTTTGATATCTTTTTTTTCTTTCCCCGCCGTAACTGCCATCCCATCACCAAGGTGCCCGCCCCGCAAAGCGTTCCCCGTCCAGCAAGGTGTTCACCAGCGCATGGGTGTCGTGCAGCAGGGGCGTGTCCGGGGTGAAGCCATAGATGGTCTGCGGACGTTCAAACGGCTGAGTTATAACCCAGATCGGATCCATGGTGCCGCTATATATGGTAACATGGATCCCATCCATATATCCCAAATGTTAACTGTTAGCATATATACCAGCACCATGGATCCGATGGGTAATGACTGGAAATATCATGGTTTGAACGTTTCATCAACATTAAGTCGTGTTTTTTTCGAGATTTAATGGGATTTAGTGGGAGTGTGACTGATATGAATCATCCAAAATGTGCAATCCAAACTTGCGATTCCATGATATCTTACCATTGGAAAATCATGTGTGTTCATGGTTGATTTTCATGGGTAGTCCCAGTTTCACCTGCCCCGAACATCTGGATCAGTGGATTGACCATTTCATGGGGTTGACAATTTTTCTCCATTCCCAGTCCCTGGTACTTAGATGGGCCATGGAGTTAGGGAAAACTATTTAATAAATGGATTATTTCATTGGGATGTAGAGGGTAACAAATCCCCAGTTACTAACCAGTTAGTTAATCCCATGGCCCATCTAAGTATACCCTGGTATACCCTGGTCTTCTGCTGCGTGCATTTCAATGGGCCATGATATGCCGAACAGGTCGAACAGGTCAGGCGGTCAGGTCGATGAAAAAATCCAATTTTGGAGCACTCAGCATTTCCATATTTCCCAAGAATATGAGGTTTAAACGTGGCAATGGAAAACAAAAACAAACTATAAATAAAGTAGGATTATAAAGGTCTATATCTGGAAAAATCATCGAGAACTGTCCGGCACGCCATGTACGAACTCCGAATTCCCACAATGGATGTCGAAAACAACCAATATATTGGGTACATTTGGGTAATCCTCTATCATCAACCAGCTAGGGGTAGATCGCAGCCAGTGCTCATCTAAACTTATTGAAGAATATCAAGATCTAAAACAGCTCAGTTGCCCAACTAATCCCATTGTATCATATTCCAGTAAATCACCATATTGGGAGTGTTTCATCACCGTTTTGATTGCCCTCCGATAATCAAAAATGGCAATTGAAAGTCCACCAGTTACAGACGATCTCCTCACTTAAACCTCCGTTTGTGGTGAATTTTCCAGCCTGCCACATTGATGACACCGGAGGGTAAGTCACTGCCTCCCGTGGCATCCCTGGATGCACAACACATCCGTTTCGCCCTTGCGTCACTCTCTGCTCAGCCAATAAAGTAAGGTGGAAACAATAGAATAAACATCTACAAATAGTGGATTTGATCTTGCACTGCCGAGCAGTCACCACCGTATTCTGGTTCGCCCCAAGCAACGACTGACCCATCGGCCAAGATCGCGGCAAACGCTCCATTGCGTGTGGCCTGAATTTGCTGCACATTCCTCAGCTGATCTTGCACTGCAGAACAATCACCGCCAAAATTTGGAGAGCCCCAGGTAACCACCGATCCATCTGCCAAGATTGCGGCAAATGCACCGTTACGTGCGGACTGAATTTGCTGCACGTTCCTCAGCTGGTCTTGCACTGCAGAACAATCACCGCCACACTCTGGATCGCCCCAGGCAACCACAGATCCATCGACCAAAATAGCGGCAAATGCACTAGCTGCGGCCTGAATTCGTTGCACATTCCTCAGCTGATCTTGAACTGCGGAACAGTCACCACCGAGTTCTGGATCGCCCCAGGTAACCACTGATCTATCGCCCGAGATTGCTGCAAATGCAGCTGTTGTGGCCTGAATTTGCTGAACATTCTTGAGCTGACCTTGAACTGCTGAGCAGTCACCACCACGGTGTGGAAAACCCCAGGCAACCACCGATCCATCGGCCAAGATCGCCGCAAAGGCATAAAGTGTTGCCTGAATTTCCTGCACATTCCTGAGCTGATCTTGAACTGTGGAGCAGTCACCACCATCGTCTGGTTCGCCCCAAGCAACCACCTGGTTGCCTCCACAGCACCACATTGCAAAGGCTGCGTGTGTTGCTGCTACTTTCACTTGTTGCGCCACGGCCGTTAGGTGCTCACCGTCTTGCACCCCTGAAGCTTTCAAAGAGTCCTCAGGGTTGGTCAGCACATGCCCCTCCAGAGTGACAAGTTTCAGGAAGCCCTTTCGGAAAGTTCTTTGGGCCAGAAGTTTCAAGTCCCCCACTTTGGAGTGTTCAGGGAGCAACAGAGTTTCCCCGGAACCACTCGGGAACGAGATGTTTATTCGAAGCATTGGAAGATGAAATGAAGGTCCACTCAATCTACTGTCGAGAAGTATACTCCGCGCAAAGTCTCGAGCCGTTTTGCAACAGTTTTACCCGCAAATGTGAGTTGGCTATTGGCTATCGTGAGGGCGAGATGCACCCCAACAAAAAAGGAATGGTAGAGATATCCCACAACAGCTGTCTGAAGAAGGAATCGTCATGAATCAACAACCCCAAGATACCACGGATTGCTCATCCGTATGCTTGGATGGCTAGAAGGCTGGGTACCCTCTGGTAATCATGGCAAAATGGCAATGAAAAAAAAGACATCACCCTGGAAAATCATGGGACATCCGAAAAAATGGGCTGATCTTCAATTTTTGCCAGGTTTTTCATTCTCAAATTGGCCTGGCGAAGACGGCGTCCCCCCCGGCGCCCGCCTGCGGTTCCTGGTGGTATCGGAGCCCCACATGCCCCGTCCAGCGGAAGTGCGGCGCGCTCTCGTCGTAGTTCAGCTGGTCGCCGGCGAAGCCCACGAGCTGCGCCGTGGACGACACCGGGGGCAGCTCGAGGCCTGGCATCGGAAATGGGATAAATCACCATGGAACATGGGGAGTTGACCATGGAAAATGACGTAAAATGACATATCTAAACAGTTACAGCCATGAGTTGTTGAAGTTGACTTAAGACTTAAGATATAGAATTTGTCATTTATGTTCAATAGAATGAGGAGTACGATACATGAGATTGGATAAGTCAATTACTTCATGAGTTCTTGGAGTTGACTCTTTCATCATCAAGAAACAGTTGGTTCGTAAAGGCCTCAAACTGTGGATAAAGATTTCATGTACTGTAAATACAGGTTTTTTTTACCAAATCTGATCATCATGACAATGCAAAAAAAACAGCGGGTATCTGCCAGCCCAACGACCTTATTAATAAACAAGTCTATCATGAAAATTGGTGGATTATCTAAGGGCCCCGTCACAGTAGACACGTAGACAGTCTTTGTATTGCGATAATGGTCAAAGATAATCCCCTCAACAGGTGAGTCATGAAGAAAATACCTTTGCTGATCGGCTTTAAGGAGTTATACTACCTGGTTACTGGGGATTACGGTAACCCATAGGGAAATCTATCGATCAACTAACATAATGACGGCTAGGGGTATTGCTCACTTAAAGCTCTATCAAGGCCCTATGACTACTATGGAAGTCTATGGATGAAGGTTGTTAACCACCATCAACCAGCCGCTGAAAAGAACTCCGGGGGTTAACCCCCTCGGGTCCAGAGGTGCTGCCATCGATCACGAGTAGCAGTGTATTGTAGCCTCTGATAAGCTAACACAACTATGGAAAATCAGCATATTAATAGCAAAATCAACTATGTCTATGGGCGGTTTTCAATAGCTATGTAACAAATTACCGTAAATTACCAGAGAGTAATCAGTTTTTGTCAGGAAAAATGCAAAGATCAGGCCCAATGCTTGCTGCTCTGGTGAAATCTAAAACGAGCCAAGTGTTAGGCAGCTAGGGATCATGTGATGGTTAAGTCATGGGGGATCCCCGGTCGTCACCATTACTACAAGGCTCATCCACCACTGGATGATGACTGTCCCATTTGAGGAAACCTCCAGTTGGAGAGATATCCCAGCTCCTACGTGGTCCGTGCCCCGCAAGTTATGTGAATGTTGGTTTATAATCCCATGAACTAGTTCGATATATCACCCATTCACTAGTTCGATATATCACCATATTAATCACCTACATAAACCATAGTAATCCCATTGTAACTGGTTCGATATATCTACCACGAGTCCTACAAGTCGTGGTGCCCCCGTTTACGATAGCGTTCAGTTGGGGGCTACATAACTCCAATGTCACTATGGCTTATGGTACGCAAATAACTATAGTATTCATAGGGTTTATAAACCAACGTTCACATCACTGGGGGAGGGCCCACATTGTAGTGAAATTCGAGTTATAAACGCACCTTAACTGAACCCTATCGAATCTTTGGGCACCACTTAAAACGTGGTAGTGAAAAACCAGGGTCCCTGGCTCCATCGTGGTCCTATATCTACCATAAACCGAGAAAAGTTATTTTAAAAAAAACGGCACCACATCCCCAAATGATATTCCATAATTGTTAGTTGTATATATATATATATATGATTATATGTCCCAGATGCTCCATGGTGCTGGAATATTTACCTACATTTACCCCCAAAATAGCTCAATATTCCAGCACCATGGAGCATGTGGCTATGTATACCCCATAGGATCCATGTATGGTATATATGCCAACATTTACCATCAGTATACCCCAGTCATGTTAGCATATATACCAGCACCATAGATCCGTCAGCATTACCCTCTGGTAATTTAACATAGCTATGGAAAATCACCATTTTTAATGGGAAAATCCACTATAAATGGCCATTTTCAATAGCTGTTTTGACATAACCAGAGGGTAAACCATGGGAATTTGGGACACTCCCGGAGAGGTGGAAGTTTCTTCCCGGCCTAAGCTCCGTGTCCAGCACAGCAGCCAAACGCGAAAAAAATTCTTCATCGCCGTCATGGTGAGTCTGCAGAGATCAGTTTCTGTATTGCATATATTTATCTGTACATAATACATATATATATATATATAGAGAGAGAGAGAATTATATAGATATGATATATAGATTAGGAAGTTTCTATGTGTATGTATATATATATATCATATCATATCATATCATATCATATCTGTATATTACCATTTCAGTTTTCATCCCATGTTAATGATGTTGATGCTCTGGTTGCGCATGGTGTAACAGGTGTTCGATGACATGTGGGATCTCTCAAGAATCGCACTAAACCGATCTGGTTCAACCTGCATGCAACAGACACTTCCTGCGTTGGATGGAGCTACTTCAAGTAAAGCCAGCTGCGACACGGAAGCAGCCAACAGTTTTGCAGCAAGTCAAATCAAATCCGTCAGCAGGCACTACTACGTCACTGTGCCGGCTGTATCTTTGGCAGGTAGTGGGAACCGTTGCTATCAATTGCCAATTGCTTGTGGGTCAACATTGCTGAAAGACACATTTGCTCATGGTTCAATAGTCATCAATAGTCATCAATATTTCCTAGACTTGCAATCACCTCCTGAAGAGGTTTTTGAAGCAAAGTCTTTCCAGGTCGCTGGGGAAATCCATCAGCAAGCAGCTCATCAAAGGGGTTGCTCACGTTGCTCACTGTGACTGGGTAGAAAAAAAAGTAGGATGATCCATTTAAAAAAAAAACATTCTCCTCCCTCAAAGTGGCGATCACTTACCTAAAATGGTTTGGGACAACCCTGCTCAGTTTACCCCTTTTTTGGGGATTTTTTTGGATGGTACACTCGATTCAACTCCCCAGAAAGCTGAAACCATGAGGCTCAGGTGGTCAATCTTTCACACCGCTTGTAGCGACGCGACGAGCTGTGCAACGGCTGCCACTCAGTTTGACTGAGGGCCATAACTGACTAAGGTGAACCAGGCATAACCAGGCAATGCAAAATGTATCTGTTGGGCATAATTCTTGGTGGTTTCTGGCAATTTGGTGTGCAATGTGTGCAACCGAATTCATCTGAAACTAGTTGGATTCCGGGCGTTGAAATCTGGAAAAAAAACAGTTCTGAGGTACTGACCATCCAAGTAGAATCGTGGTCCAAATTCATCCAGCTCGGGCCAGGAAAAAAGTGAGGCACAGCATATCTCGCATTCTGGATCTTTGCAACTGCACTCTTTCAACTGAGATCAGAAAACTTGCATTTTAGGATTTATACATTTCCGAAACAAATCTGAAACCACAAAATTCATGAAGACTAGCGCCTCTCTCCCTATGATGCCGTCCAATTTTCACAACAAAATTCCAGGGGCTGGGCGTGAAGAACCATGAAGGACTCATGCAAAGAGGAACCTCCCAGCTATCAATTCTATAACTATCCATCTATCATCAAACTATACCCACAATAAACACGGTAGGTAATATAGAAAGTAATATTTCTGGAGGTTGCGTTTCCTCTGTTTCGTTTTTTGCCTAGCGCAGTTCTATAGCCTAGCACCAACTTACCTAGGACAACTGAGCGCCCGAAGCCTGACTCAAGCCATGCCTGGCTCTACGTGGCGTATCCACCAGTCACAGCCTGCCGTGACCTCGCGGAGCTGACGGTGGTTTGGGCGACCGGGAAACCATCCTGGGGGGAAAATGATGTCCTGCTCCAGGAAGGTTTTGGTTAAAATGGTTCCAGGAAGGTTCATTGAGTTGCATGGGGACTTACTATTTACTATTAGTTGTATAGTCTGTATAGTTCAAATATGTTCAAATGAAACCTCTAGAGTAGACTAACATAACTGCAGATTACCCAAAGAAATAGTTGATGTACCGAACTGAAAGATGGTGATTTTCCCGTTCGCTTTGTTAGTTTACCAAAGGGTGACCAAAGGAAGTCACCTCGAACGGATGGCCCACGGCCAAGGCCCCCCACTCGCCCACCGGAGCGGCTTGCGCCGGCGCCAACTGCCCGGCAGCCTGGTCACGGTTGGAGATGGGGGTGGGTTAAGCAATGTTCTGGGTAAATTATAACTGGTTGGTGGTTTAAACCATCTTGAAAAATATGAAAGTCACAATGGGAAGGATTATCCCTAAATGTTCCAAGCCACCACCCAGATCATATTTCACTAACCTGAATTCTTGGGCCATAAAAGGGGATGATTTTCCTAAAATCATCGTGATTCCAGGCTTCGGGAGAACAGGCTTCGGTCGCTTGGCGAAATCCAACGGAATCCCCTGCAAAAAATGATCGTTTCATTCATCACTTGGCGATCTATCGCCACATGGAACTGTTGGTTTACCCAAGGGTACTATGTTCACGAACAAATATGCTGATTTCATGGGGTTTAACTCACAGATATGGTGATACAATGGGATTTGACCGTCACAAATTATGGTGATTTTGCCAACAAAAATGGTAAATTTTATAATGGGATGGAGTGAGATTTATTTATATAATGGGATATGATGGGAATATAATATGTTACAACCAACCAATAGGCAAGAATCGTCTATAAACGTGGTATTAAACCAACCATGTCGTGGGATGTAATAGGGATATGATGGAGAGATATAACAGGACAATACAATGGGCTGGGATACCGCGCAACGGTGTATTAATGTATGACAAGGATGTAAAACATGTATAACCCATAAGCTCTAGGGTGATTGAATATTTCCCAACATTTACCCCAATGAAAAAATATCATAAAGGTAAATATACAATACATTGTGCATATGGTATGGAATATGAGGGAGTGAAATGAAATTCAGGGAATCAACGTGTTATAAGTAAGGAAAATTAATATGGACCTTGGCAATAAAAATGACAAGTCTGTTCATGATTTCAGCAATGATCTATCCTAATCGATCATCAACAGTTCGTTTAAAATCAAATACATGTGGATTGAAGATACACTCTAGTAATCTGACATAGCTATGGAAAATCACCATGTCAATAGGTAAATCATGGAACCAAATGGGCCATCTATACCATAGCTATGTAACACATTACTGGAGGGTAATTTTGATTGAAACATATTGAAACAATGTGTGGCTTTCAAGACTGAAACTGTTTTTCCAATTTTCTTCCATTGCAGTGGTCAATTTGGATCATCAAGTTGAATGGACCTTTAAAGATGGACCAACAAAAATAGGACGTACCCTCTGGTTATTTGACATAGCGATGGTATAGATGGCCCATTGAGATAGATGTTTTATGATGATTTACCTATTAAGAATGATGATTTTCCTCGCTACCTGAATTTCACCACCAGACGGTAAAGATATGTCATCAGTTGTTTCTGGACACGGTCTTAGACCCTCGGTGTACGCGGAAAAGCAGTCCATGGATCCCATGAATCTTTATCTGGTTGGTGGTTTTTCGCCCTACCCCTCTGAAAAATGATGGAGTGAAAGTCAGTTGGGATGATGACATTCCCAATATGATGGGAAAAATAATCCATTCATGTTCCAAACCACCAAGCAGTTATAGATTTAAGACTAGAACCAGAGATATAACTGATATAACCACCTACCAGTTATCTGCATCAGCACCAGCAGTTGGTCAGAAATCTCCGCACCACATTCGTATTGAGTTCGGTGCTGCGTTCACGACTATCGATACCGTATCATGTTTACCAGAAATGTATCGTTGTAGCATTGTGATGTCTATAAGGATACTACCCTCTGGTTATGTCAAAATAGCTATTGAAAATGGTGATTTATAGTGGATTTACCCATTGAAAATGGTGATTTTCCATAGTTTTTTGTATGTTTACCAGGCCGGGTAAATTCGATCTAGTTTATCATGCTGATATCATGCAGTGTAGATGTCCTATTATCTCCATGACAAATACCGTGGTTATATAACTATATACTATTCATAGTAGACTGGTGTAATGATATCATGGGTTGTTTATCACGTGTCCTGATTATATGTAAATTTACCTCTTAAACGTCGTGATTGGTTCAATCGCTATGGCAACAAGTTACCAAAAGGTCTATATGTGTTTCATATAATATGCATGGTAAAATACATAGACATAGAACATCAAATGTCTACAATATCTAGATATAAAAGTTTGCACTTATGTACAATGGTCTAATTATAATGTAATATAGATTAAAAGAAAATAACACATGGAGTATAATATGATATGTTAATACAAACAATATATAATACTTCTACTGCGTATGCATTGAATTGACTATATACCTGTATAGAAGTGAAGTGGTGAACCATTTATATCAAAACTATATGATCATATGATCACCATATAGAAAGGAAATCCCTAGTAACATCTATAAAGCGCCCTTTAAATACCATAAATCACCATATTTCCATTATTCATTGATTCTGAAATCTAATATGATAATATCCCATATGATATAATACTTCTATATGCATTGATTATCATGTAAACGGACCATTTAATCACCATCAATTCACTGTTGAAAAATCTGATTTAGACAATGTCAAGCACTGTTGAATGGCTACAATATCTAGATAATGTCAAGGAGATATTGGATATATATGATATGTCCTAGAAAAAAAACATAAATCACTATCTATATCTATATTTCCGTTTAATTCTAAAATTGATGACGTCAGAATCATATTCATCATAGATATATTCTTCACAATTAATTGTCATTTATTCACTTAAATGTATTGATTATTATATGGTGAAATATAACATGAATTAAATATATATATACCATGATTTATGGTGATTTTATCCATCATTAAAATCATTATAATCATTGTAGTTAATCCGTCCATTACAGCACTAAGACGAACATTGAATATATCAAATGTCCTCACAGATTATACATTTTTCATACTATCTTTGATAATATTCATCATTATAATCATTCAAATCATTATATTTATATAAAAGCATTATAATCAGTAAAATCATTTTAATCAGTAAAATCATTTTAATCATTACAATCATTACAATCATTACAATCATTATAATCATTCTAAATTATACGTAATCATTATAATATCCATCCACTACCGCACTATAAACATGGAATATATCAAAGGTCATCACAGATTATACGTATAGTTTTCATACTATCTTTGAAGATATCATTAGAATCATTCCCTAGTGCTCCAAATACCATCTGAGAAGGTGTTTAGACACCAAAAAACAACTCCAAATATGGTCTCAGTCTCCGTGTTTGGAGCTGTAGGGAATGGTTCATAATGGTTCATAATAGGTGTATAACAATAACTAAACATATAAGCCTGACTATAACTAACCAAATAAGCAATTACATCATCAAACATATTCCAAAATTGTTGACATATTAGTCACCATATAATAGTTACCACATTAGTTGCCACTAACTAACCATATCTAAGTCATCAAAGAACAAAAACAACATCTCCGGACGCCTGTGGCCGCGTCACCGCCATGCGCACCGAGGCGTCGATTGCCAGATCCTCCTGGGAAAACCGTGGAAAACCATGGTGAAACCAGGGGAAACGATGGAAAATATGGTGGTAAACCATGGTTAAACTACGGGAAAATATGGAAAATATGGACACATAGAGAGTAAACCATGGTGAAATTACTGGAAAATATGGAAACTATAATTAAACATGGTGGTTCAACCATGTTTTTTCGCCACTTCATGATAGTTGAAGTCTCCAAAACTCATCAGAACCTACATAAAAATTCTTATACAAAGTGGTGGATTTGACTGGTTTGACTGGTTTGGCTCTTTTAACTCAACTAATGATAGTGAATTTAATCTAGCAAAAAGAAACTGCTAGAGCCAACCATTGAGAATGATTCTGAACTCCACTCTGGTAAACTAACATAGCTATGGTATAGATGGGCAATTTATAGTTGATTTATCCTTAAACATCCTTAAACCATGGCGATGTTCCATAGCAAACTGTTGGTTTACCCAAGTGGGATCGGCTCCGATACGGGATGGCATCCCAGCGGTGATTCAGATGAGGTGATGGCAGTTTTTTCGGGTAAATATTGGATGAAATAGATCTTTTATATATTCAATGGGAATTTCAGGATCCTAAATTGGAGGTACCTACCTTATATAAGGCCTAAGTAAGGGAATATGACTTGAAAAATGACCTACCCTCTGGTAATTTAACATAGCCATGGAAAATCCACATCTATAGATGGTTTACCTATCAAAAATGGTGATTTTCCATGGCTATGTTAAATAACCAGAGGGTATATTTTATCTGGTTGGTGGTATACCATTCCCCCCCTGAAAAATATCACTTCGTCAGATTGGGTCATCATCCCAACTACGAATCTGGGAAAATAAAACATGTTCTAAACCACCAATCAGTTATATTTGGTAGTTAAAACTTATACTAATTTTCTATATATGGTAGGTATATATGGTGGTTATATATGTTTAACCACCAATAATGTTCTAAACTTTGGGTAACTTATACTAATTCATTAACATGAAAAGTTCGGCCAGCGTTCTTGGGATAATATCCCCTAAACATAATTCCAGATAGGGAGAACAGTAAGGTCACTATGATTTAGCCAGAATATATTGTATACCCGGGACTTATCCCAGTTTACTGGTTGACCCATGTAAAGTGTATGACTGGGATCTATGATTTTCCCATTTAAAACAGGCCCCTATTCTCTTCTCTGATTTCTTCTCTTCTGACTCGTTCTCTTCTCTGATTTCTTCTCTTCTGACTCGTTCTCTTCTCTGACTTCTTCCCTCTGACTTCTTCTCTTCTGACTTCTGACTCTTTCTCTTCTCTGACTTCTTCCCTCTGACTTCTTCTCTTCTGACCCGTTCTCTTCTCTGACTTCTTCCCTCTGACTTCTTCTCTTCTGACTCTTTCTCTTCTCTGACTTCTTCCCTCTGACTTCTTCTCTTCTGACCCGCTCTCTTCTCTGACTCTTTCCACCTCTGCTGCTTCATCTGTCCATATTGTCGGAAGTTTGACTTCTAAACTTTCCTTGGTCACTATTTGGAGGTTACCCCCGAATTCATCAACCAGGTTTGTTAATTCCAGGGTTGAGCTTAAGAAAGTTGCCAGAACATGATGTGCGTAAAAGGCTCCCTGGGCGCACCGCAAAGCTGTCTGACGCAAGTCACCAGTTTTCCATCGGCCAATAAAGTGTGAAAACGGTAATGTAAAAATAGAAAAGAATTGACAGCATTTAGCAACTACAAATAATCGACTTGATCTTGCACTGTCGAGCAGTCACCACCCCTCTGTGGAAGGCCCCAAGCAACCACCGATCCATCAGCCAAGATCGCCGCAAAAGCGCTGTGTGCAGCCTGAATTTGCTGCACATTATTCAGCTGACATTGAACTCTTGAGCAGTCACCACCATGGTCTGGATGGCCCCAGGAAACCACCGATCCATCTGCCAAGATTGTGGCAAATGCACCGCTACGTGTGGACTGAATTTGCTGCACGTTCCTCAGCTGATCTTGCACTGCAGAACAATCACCGCCACACTCTGGATCGCCCCAGGCAACCACCGATCCATCTGCCAAGATTGCTGCAAATGCCATGTCTGTGGCCTGAATTTGCTGCACGTTCCTCAGCTGGTCTTGCACTGCAGAACAATCACCGGCACACTCTGGATCGCCCCAGGCAACCACCGATCCATCTGCCAAGATTGCGGCAAATGCACCATAATATGCGGACTGAATTTGCTGCACGTTCCTCAGCTGGTCTTGCACTGCAGAACAATCACCGCCCCAATCTGGATTGCCCCAGGCAATCACTGATCCATCGGCCAAGATTACGGCAAATGCCATTTCTGTGGCCTGAATTTGCTGCACGTTCCTCAGCTGATCTTGAACTGCGGAACAGTCACCACCATGGTCTGGTACCCCCCCAGGCAATCACTGATCCATCGGCCAAGATTGCGGCAAATGCCATGTTTGTGGCCTGAATTTGCTGCACGTTCCTCAGCTGATCTTGAACTGCGGAACAGTCACCACCATGGTCTATATTCCCCCAGGCAATCACTGATCCATCGGCCAAGATTGCGGCAAATGCCATGTTTGTGGCCTGAATTTGCTGCACGTTCCCCAGCCTCTTGCCTGCAGAACAATCACCGCACCACCCTTGATGGCCCCAGGCAACCACGGATCCATCTGCCAAGATTGCGGCAAATCCACCGCTACGTGTGGACTGAATTTGCTGCACGTTCCTCAGCTGATCTTGAACTGCGGAGCAGTCACCACCATAGTTTGGATTGCCCCAGGCAATCACTGATCCATCAGCCAAGATTGCGGCAAATGCCCCGTCTGTGGCTTGAACCTGCACCACATTTTTCAGCTGATCTTGAACTGCGGAACAGTCACCACCTTGGTCTGGACTCCCCCAGGTAACCATCTGGTTGCCTCCACAGCAAAACACAGCAAAGGCTGCTACTGTTGCACTTACGTTCGCTTGTTGCGCCACAGCTGTCAGGCACTCTTCTTCTTGGATCCCTGCAGCTTGCAAAGAGTCCTCAGGGTTGATCAGTGCATCTCCCTCCGCAGTGATGAGCTTCAGGAAGCCCTTTCCGAAAGTTTTTTGGGCCAGAAGTTTCAAGTCTCCCACTTTGGAGTGTTCGGGGAGCAACAGAGTTTCCCCAGAACCACTCGGGAACGAGACGTTTATTCGAAGCATTGGAAGATAAAATAAAAAGTCCACTCAATCTACTGTCAAGAACTACAGTCTGTGCAAAGTCTCGAGCCGTTTTGCCACAGTTTGACCCACAAATACGTGAGTTAGCTATTTTTCATGTCGAGATGCACCCCAACAACAAAGGAATGGGAGTACAAATATCCCCCAACAGCTGTCTGAAGAAAAGGAATTGCCATGAATCAACCACCCAAGATGCCACGGGTTGTACATCCGTGGGCCCAAACGAGGCCTAGAAGGCTCTATGTAGTATTCTATGGTAATTCCCAGACAATCCATGTATGCAATATTTCCATATCTATGGCCATCAGCAATACATAGCAATTCTTGGAATTTCTTGGATACATTCTCAGAATCATGGTAATGGAGAAAAAAGCAACAAAAATGTAATGGAAAATAACGGGGGAAATAGGTGATCTTCGCCAGGTCAAAAACCTGTGACCAGCGACCATCCTCGGTGGCGTCTGGCCATTTCAGATATTCAATTTATATAATTCTACTTAGATGGGCCATGGGATTAACGATTCCTGGTTAGTAACTGGGGATTTGTTACCCTCTATATCCCAATTATAATCCATTTACTAACTAGTTAACTAACTCCATGGCCCATCTAAGTATCAGTTGAATGGCAATCATCAAGTACCCCGTCTTCAGAAAACATCTCTACAGCAATGTCAGTACCCCAGTACATGTCATATCCAAACTAATATTTCTACAGTTGTCTAAAACATGTCTGCTGAGATATCTACATGGTAATACGCAATAGGATCCACCATCAACAAACATGTTTATAGATTTTACAAACCATCAAGATGAAGGTTTCTATAGATTGCTAGATATAGATTTTAATAGGACCATTGATGGTTTATATACATGTTTAATAGCTTTCTATAAACCATCAACCCATGTGTGCCGACCTTGGCCAGTGATATTGAACGTGATGTCTAAATTTTGCATGAAAATGTCTCTTATTTTGCACCTGAAAATCTAGAGTTCCAAAAAAAATAAGGTGTGACCTTTTGATGGTATGTTTCACTATGTTAGAGCCTTCAAACAGCAGGGAAGTCTGAAGCAAAAGTGGCAAGTAGAATCAAGAAAAATTGATATATCGAGAACCAACACAAGTGGCAGAGTACCCCGAAAATTGAATGATTCTGCACCAAAAAGGACCAACAGCTGTGGCACCCGCATAGAGATTGTTGCGTAAACATGTCGAATCCCCTAGAAATGTGGGTTAGTTGGCGGTTTCAACCCATCATCGAAATATGATCGTCAATGGGGAACCATCATCCAATTTTGGATGCGAAGAATGTACAGTATGTATGTAAGGTAATGTAATGTAATGTAATGTAATGTAATGTAATGTAATGTAATGTAATGTAATGTACGTATGTATGTACGTATGTATGTATGTATTATGTATATAATTGAATGGATAAAGATATATATATATATATATGACACCACCAACCAAATCATTGTCTGTCTATGTATATATATATATACTTGCATATTCCATTGAATCCCGTGTCCCATTTTGGCTGGTTATATCCCATGTTCAGTAGATCATGTGTGTGGGACACATCATAGTCCCATTGAAACCAATTTTCATCCTCAAATTGACACAATGTTTAAATCCCAATACGTCCTTGGCGAATCTTCTTAATGCTGCATGTTGCTATGGCTGGCTATGGTTGCTACTCCCATTGGTTGGTTGGTACCCATCCAGTCGGTTTGATATCTAATGGTCATATAAAATATCCCTATACTTCGTGGTTCTATGAAGCCAATATCTCACGAAAAACCATATCTATATCCACGCATTAAAATTCCGCTTTATCATGGTTTATCCATGTTTATCCCCAAAATCCATCGGCAGGGAGGCTCCAGAACTTTGTCCACCTCGACTTCTGCCTGCACCAACACCAACTTAGCATGGCAAATCAAAACCCGAGCACCCTAAATATAATCTGGTTGGTGGTTTCAACCCCTCTGAAAAATATGAAAGTCAGTTGGGATTATTGTTCCCAATATAATGGGGAAAAAAAATCATGTTCCAAACCACCAACCAGTGGTGTTTATTCATGTTGATTCCCCCAGTTGGAAATAGGTTTTGATCCAGCCCCATATGGAGTTGGTTGAGTTTCACCCAGTGAACTGGTTGCAACTACAATAAACCCTGGGAGATTTTCGCGGTGAATATGAGTTATTTGTAAGCCAACTTAGCTAACTAGGGCTTCACATCGTATGGTGAATCACAAATAGAATCTCAATTTTTGTGGTGAATCTCCCAGTTTCAACCCAATATGCTCCCAGTATCTTTAAACATCTCCAGTACGGTTGGTCAAAAATACATAGCATTCGCCAACGTTGCTACAACGACTCCCGGTGTCTCCACAAAAGGGCACCCCTTTATATATATATAGCCATGGAAAAACGCCATGGAAAAACCATCGAATCCATTGCATGTGTCTGGGTAAATTATAATAATTCATTCACCTGAATCTTGCGGCCATTTTGGGATGATTCCCCTAACATAAACCATGATTTCCAGTGAGGGAGACCAGTGAGGTCGTGATCAAATTTACCCAGATGTCTTGTCTCCATCATCCATGACATTGATTCCATTGATCATGGATTCCCATGTCATTGATGGCCCCATTGTCATAAAAAGAATACCCCATTAGGTTGCAAATCTTGGATACCCTGCAAAAAAATAAATTCTTTGCTGGTGAACGTAGATATTCCCATTCATACCAAAAGACTAGTTAGGATTAAAATACAGATCTAAGATTCACCTAGATATCCCTAGTTATTTCAGTGGGATGTGGGATTACATCATCCATGTCTAGGGTGAACCCGGGATGATTATTCAACCCCCATTTCCATCATCGATCATCGATGGATTCAACACATCACCACCTCGTTGGTTCCGTTGGTTCCGGGCCTCCTCTTCCAACTCGGGACCATCCTGGGACGAGTGTCAAAGGTTTCGGAAAGTTCGGTCACCGCCATTTTTCATGGGATGTGCATGGGATTCTCATGGTAATTTCATGGGTTTATGGTAATGAATTATTACTTTTTCTGGGGTTTTCATGGTAATTTAATGGGATTCAATGGGCATTTATTCATATAAAATTACATAGATGATGGGGATATATGGAACATTTACCCTCATGTAAACGTTTACATAGATACGGAAAAACCACCAGTGCCATGTAGATCATGTTCCGAACCACAGCCACCATGGGTGGTAACCACTGCTCCAAAGATCTTTTTAAGCGGCCGCAAAAAATTGGGGCAACGAACTTCCCCAAATTCTTTGGGGCAACGAATTCCCTCTGGTTTAGTTAGGTACGGTATATCATGGTATATCCATATATATCCATATATATATATATATCCCATATGCGGTTTAGTTCAACTACCTTACCTCAAGATCAAGTGGTTTCTGTTACCATAACTTTTGGAAGTTTGATCCCTCATTTTTAGGTCCCTTTCTGGTCGTCCCTTGCCTCCGATGAAAAAATGCCATACTATCATACAAACCAAGTTTCAGCTGTTCAAGGACGGTCAAAATATCACATTGTTGGTTATCTATATATATACATATATATATATATATACATATATATATACATATATATATATATACATATATGTATATAATAAATGTATATGCTCCGGTAATCAAATCCGGCAATGGAAATTCCCTATAGATGATGTTCCCATGAAAAATCGTTCATTTATACGCGATGTTTTTCATTGCCATGGTTCCCAAAGGGTGTCCCCATGAAATCCCCGTTTTTCATCACCCATTTCTGTTGCAGATAAAAGACAACGAAATTCACAAATCGCCGCCCCACAGCTCTTCCCAGCGTCCATCTCTTCCATTCCTTCATCCAACATTTCCTCAATCAAACCCGCGCGCATCATCTCACGCTTCATGGAACTGATCGACTCCTGCATTCGGTGGCTTAAGCTGGGACCTGGGATACGATGAAATCCAAGCACCAACGCATAAAAAAATGGTGATATGATGGGATTTCATGGGACTCAATGGTGATTTAAGGGGATTTAATGGATTTGTTTATGCTGATTTTATGGGATTGAATGGGATTTTATGGGGATTTTATGGTGATATGATGGGATTTCATTGGACTTCATGGGATATAGAACTAACTTGATATATGATATGATGGGGATTCGCACCACAAAGAAAGCAGTTTTGATGGAAGCCGGTGGTCAAAACATCACTGCCCACTCGTGGAGGAAGGGCCCCCCAAAGGAGATCGGCAAGTTGCCCCTTCTGACTGCAGGCTACTTGTTGAATTAATGGTGGATATATTTGGGTAAATTATAATAATTCACTAACCTGAATAGTTCGGCCATTTGGGGATGATTCCCCTTACTAACCATGATTCCAGTGAGGGAGACCAGTGAGGTCGTTATAATTTGCCCAGATATATACTATGGGGGTACATGGTACGGGAGCCCCTTTGGCATCACTTTTCAAGCCCCCAGTTTTGGGCCCCCACCGGCCATGTTTTGTCACACTATCTTCCAGTTGTGCAGTTTGAGAAAATTGGCATGGAAGCTGTCCAGACGGCATGGCTTCTGCAGCTAGCACTGCTCACAGCTCGTCGCAGAAAACATAATTTGACTATATCTATAGCCATGTCGTCTGCCGCCGCTGGTATGGAAAGGGATGCTGCGGAAGGTGCTGCTGTAGCCCATGTGCCCGGGATGGATGACCGTATAGCTGCTTTGAAAGCTGAAAGGCAGGCCTTGAAACGCCAGCTGCAGCAAACCAGTCGAGAAGTCAAGGCCCAGGCTGGTTCAATTTCATCCTTGTGTGCCATGTTTGTGTTGGTGAAGCTGTATTGACATTCCATCGTGCCACTTGCACCTTCATCTTTCCCATCTCAAGTTTTTTTTGGTGAAGCTGCATTGCACCTGCATCGCACCACTTGTACTTTCAATCTTTTTGTTTCAGCTCTGTGCCAGGAGAAAGAACGACGCAGAGTCCTGAAATCGGCGGGCAAACTGAGCACCCAAGACCTCTCGTGGCTCCTGGCCTTCGAAATGACCCGTCAGCAGTAGCAGCTTCTTCAAAACTATATGTCTCACTGAAGCACTTGTGACTCCTGTCTCCCGAGGAGTCAGCAGCAGTTTCCTCAAAACTATATGTCTCACTGAAGCACTTGAGACTGCTGTCTCTAAAGGAGTCAGACAGGAATGTGGTGAAGTCACACGCGGCAGGTTACCTAACGACTGCTGTCTCCCAAGGCATCAAAAACACGTTTTTGCGTGCTTTGGCACCTGTTTTTGCTGTGGCCCCAAAAAACTACTAAGGATACTTCCAACCATTTTCGCAGACTTCGTATTGGCACGGCAGAGTCACAGCTCATGCACGCATGAAAAACTACTAACCCGTGAAATTGAAATCACAATGGCTTGGACGCAAAACTACTAAGGATTTCTGCCAATTGAAAAGAAATAGAAGAAAGTGTTTCCTTTTTTGTCCATTGAACAATTCCTTAGTAGTTTTGCCACCGAGCCAATACAAAGTTTGAAATTCCCCTTAGTAGTTTTCACACAGAAGCATAGTAGTTTTGCGGCAGAGCCAATATAAAGTTGTGACATCGTGCTTAGTAGCTTCACACGGAAGCATGCTAGTGTTGCAGTGGAGCCAATGCAAAGATTGACATCGCCATTTGAACCTTTTAGCCTTGCAGCTACGATGTGCCAGCTGCAGTGCTGGTCTGTGTTTCTACCTAATTACTAATTCAAAAGCCAACGGCCAGTGAAGCATTTCATCTTGCAGCTGTGATGTGCCACCTGCAGTGACGGCACATGTGTTTCTTCCTAATTCAAAGGGCCTTTCCGGCCACATGTTGGCCCCCCCCTGCACCCCCCGGAATCAAGGTTGACGAAAATGTCTTGCTGTGAAGACCTGACGCTTTGGAAGTTGCCTGCTGCAGTGATTAACACCAGGAAACAACATTGATCCTGGGGGTGCGGGGGGGGAGCCGCTGCTTTGACCCTATACGTGGGGCCTCGTGCTGTGTGTGCAAAAGGTCTGAATTTGGGGTCGCTAACGGACGCTGATTTCAGCCCTCTTCATTGAGGGCCCTCCTTGTGACAGCACAAACCTGCATGATGTGGAGAGATAACCAGCAGTGTTTTTCCATAACAGTGTCATAACACAAACTCACATGATTGGACGGCTCATCATCATTGTTCGGTCTTGCCTGCTCCTCACAGGTCGCCTCTCCTCGATGTTTTTTCCTGGACGCAGCCATATGAATCAAGTCTTGCCGCGCTGACTGCATGCAACAGCAATATAGTTTTTGTTTTTTGCATGAGCCAGACATGAATTTGTATGCTTTGAAATGCCGAGGCCATGCTTTGGCCGCACTCATTAGGTCATCTTCCTTGCTTCCATTCGAATTCAGCTGTATCAGACAGGATTGGTTTGACATGACACGAATGTTTTCAATGAGTCTGCCGACAGATAGTTTTTCTGCGGTCAGTCATGCAGCCGCCCTGTGGTGTGGCCGAAGGCACATCTGATGCCAGGGTGTCAGACTTGAAGGAAGCCTTGGTGCAGAAGGGCAAAGCACTGAAAGCGGCTTGTCGGCAGAATGCCAAAAAACGGAAAAGGTTGCACTGTGCCGGCCTTGGAGTGGCAGCCCGCAAAACTGCGGTAGCTGTTTACATGCTGTCGAATTTTAACATGGATTTGACTCTCCACATGGCTTGTGCTTTGACAACGATATCCTATGGCAGCAATGGGTACCCCACGGCAGCTTTGATCCAAGAGATGTTGCTGACGACGCCGCTGCCAGATTTGACCGCTTTGGGTGACACAGCTTCACGCAAAGCGCAAGCCTTCCTGGCCGAAGCAGCCACGGAGCAGTGGGTCTATGACTGCAATACGAATCATGGTCAAGCACCTTCTGCGATGGACACGTTTTTGAAGTGGGAGGAGGCCTTCCATGGCCAGAAGCTGGACATGGGTGTGCCAAACAAACGCATGGTCAATAAGTGGGTGCAGCGCTGGCGGGCTCGGTGGGGCGTCCGCCGGAAGGTGCTGAAGCAAGTTGTTAGCAGAGAGCCCGCTGTACTGCGCGACAAGGCGCGGGCCAGCCAACTTACAACATTTTGTCTTCTTTTTTTGGGTTGGGTGGCTCCATTTTTGGGGCCGGAATGTGGCCCCAAAAATGGGTCCCCCTCATGTTTCATGCCTGTATAAGCCTACTTAATCCCGGTTGGGCGGTCCCATTTTTGGGGCCAGAATCTGGCACCAAAAATAGGCCCCCATTTTCAATCAATTTCTTCCCTCGGAATTATATTTGGGGAACCTATATATAATAAGGCTTTGTCTTTCACTTCCTGCAGCGCTTGAGCAGGTCATGACATTTTGGCGGACCATCTGCTATTGCCACAGCAGGTTCGCGGACAGGGAGCTGCTTTTTATAAATCTGGATGAGGCTAGCGTCGGCCACACCATGACACCGCCTATTGGATGTGTGGCAAAGCCACGGACAGCAGGTGGCAAACAGCCGCATGCACAGGTGCTGAAGCAACATGTTCGAGGTGCGTGGACTTATGTCAGCGTGATTTGCAACTGCAAGCACATCCAAGGGAAGTTCCCTCATTTTCTCATTGGCACCCAGGTGAAACTCACGAAGAAGCTCTTGCGCGCCCAGCGCGCTTTGCCACAAACTCGTTTGCGTGTTTTGCGGCAAAAGTCCGCTTGGACCTCTGCTGCCAACAGTGCCCAAATTCTCAAAGAGATCGCAGAAGTGCTGCAAAGTTTTCCGTCAAAACAAGGCGTTGTACTCCTTGATTGTGCGCCGGCGCAACTGCCACGGCAGGTCATGGCAATGGCACGCAAGTGCAAGCTGCAGCTTGTATATATCCCAGCGCAGACAACGGATTACCTACAGCCGCTTGATCTGCAAGGCTTCTCCCCTTTTAACCAATATTTGAAAAGGAAGCACCAGGAGTTGCGCTCATATTCAGAGCATGGTTTAGTGCCTCCTCTGGCCTGGCTATGGCAGTGCATGCAAGCCCCACACGAATTTTGGGCAGCTCGGCAATGGCAGAAAAGCTTCGATGCAGTGGCCAGGTCAAGTGCACAAAGCGCTTCAACACTTGATGGGTGCAGGGGTGCCTTGGCCTGGGCCTGACAGGCCGACACCCCAGCAGATGCAGTGCGTTTGGCCAGCGCGACGCCAAATGGCGCACGCGTATAAGGCTCTTTTTCTTTGATGCTGCCGCTCCGGGTGGATCCAAAAGATTTGCAGACGTGGGTGGCACTAGAGGACAAAGATTTTTTTCCATAATACTATGGGGGTACATGGTACGGGAGCCCCTTTGGCATCACTTTTCAAGCCCCCAGTTTTGGGCCCCCACCGGCCATGTTTTGTCACACTATCTTCCAGTTGTGCAGTTTGAGAAAATTGGCATGGAAGCTGTCCAGACGGCATGGCTTCTGCAGCTAGCACTGCTCACAGCTCGTCGCAGAAAACATAATTTGACTATATCTATAGCCATGTCGTCTGCCGCCGCTGGTATGGAAAGGGATGCTGCGGAAGGTGCTGCTGTAGCCCATGTGCCCGGGATGGATGACCGTATAGCTGCTTTGAAAGCTGAAAGGCAGGCCTTGAAACGCCAGCTGCAGCAAACCAGTCGAGAAGTCAAGGCCCAGGCTGGTTCAATTTCATCCTTGTGTGCCATGTTTGTGTTGGTGAAGCTGTATTGACATTCCATCGTGCCACTTGCACCTTCATCTTTCCCATCTCAAGTTTTTTTTGGTGAAGCTGCATTGCACCTGCATCGCACCACTTGTACTTTCAATCTTTTTGTTTCAGCTCTGTGCCAGGAGAAAGAACGACGCAGAGTCCTGAAATCGGCGGGCAAACTGAGCACCCAAGACCTCTCGTGGCTCCTGGCCTTCAAAATGACCCGTCAGCAGTAGCAGCTTCTTCAAAACTATATGTCTCACTGAAGCACTTGTGACTCCTGTCTCCCGAGGAGTCAGCAGCAGTTTCCTCAAAACTATATGTCTCACTGAAGCACTTGAGACTGCTGTCTCTAAAGGAGTCAGACAGGAATGTGGTGAAGTCACACGCGGCAGGTTACCTAACGACTGCTGTCTCCCAAGGCATCAAAAACACGTTTTTGCGTGCTTTGGCACCTGTTTTTGCTGTGGCCCCAAAAAACTACTAAGGATACTTCCAACCATTTTCGCAGACTTCGTATTGGCACGGCAGAGTCACAGCTCATGCACGCATGAAAAACTACTAACCCGTGAAATTGAAATCACAATGGCTTGGACGCAAAACTACTAAGGAATTCTGCCAATTGAAAAGAAATAGAAGAAAGTGTTTCCTTTTTTGTCCATTGAACAATTCCTTAGTAGTTTTGCCACCGAGCCAATACAAAGTTTGAAATTCCCCTTAGTAGTTTTTACACAGAAGCATAGTAGTTTTGCGGCAGAGCCAATATAAAGTTGTGACATCGTGCTTAGTAGCTTCACACGGAAGCATGCAAAGATTGACATCGCCATTTGAACCTTTTAGCCTTGCAGCTACGATGTGCCAGCTGCAGTGCTGGTCTGTGTTTCTACCTAATTACTAATTCAAAAGCCAACGGCCAGTGAAGCATTTCATCTTGCAGCTGTGATGTGCCACCTGCAGTGACGGCACATGTGTTTCTTCCTAATTCAAAGGGCCTTTCCGGCCACATGTTGGCCCCCCCCTGCACCCCCCGGAATCAAGGTTGACGAAAATGTCTTGCTGTGAAGACCTGACGCTTTGGAAGTTGCCTGCTGCAGTGATTAACACCAGGAAACAACATTGATCCTGGGGGTGCGGGGGGGGAGCCGCTGCTTTGACCCTATACGTGGGGCCTCGTGCTGTGTGCGCAAAAGGTCTGAATTTGGGGTCGCTAACGGACGCTGATTTCAGCCCTCTTCATTGAGGGCCCTCCTTGTATATATATATATATGTGACTATATGTCTATAGTTCGCCTGTAAACCACTTTAGAACTTCTACATACTTATACCTCAGGGGCATCATTTTGTAGGGAGCCTGAGGAGAGTTCAAGCAGGATGAAACCAACAAGAGGAAGTTGGTTGAAGGGTTACAAAAGAGATATAACTATATAAAGTAAAGCTCGCACTGGCTTTTTTCCAAAATTCTTAGTACACCTTCAAGCATGGTTTTTGTTCAACCATAGTTTCCCCAAAATACCATGGCTTTTCAACCATAGAAATGCTTTTTTCCATGAATCTTGTTTGGGGAAACTATCAGCCAATTCCACTAGATGATCCTGGAAATCCCCCTGGATGGTAGGGCCCAACCATGCCCAACCCCTCTGAAAAATGATGGATTTGGTGAGTTGGGATGATGACATTCCCAATATTTTCTGGAAAAATTTAAAAAAAAGTTCCAAACCACCAACCAGTGACTATAAATTTCAATGGAGGTTGTACTTGGAATATCATCTACAAATGGTGAAGTTCAACCACAAAGGAGGTCACTTTTGAGGGGACCGTAGTGGACAGGCCATATCCATCTTGTTGATCCATTTTGTTGGGTGGTAAATACCGAGTTTTTTCATCATTGAGGGTCCAGGCAGACACAGTGCCATTGGTGCCATCATCTGCAGTTGCTACCACCTCTGGCCCCAAGCCATGAACATTCTCACACTTCCCCTGAGTTTAGGCGATGAAAAGACTGAAAACTGAGTTCTTGCTGTTGTTTCAGTGGCCAAAACTTGACCAATTGATGAAGCCTGGCTTCGTCTCCAAGGCCTTACCTTTTTGCAGTTTTTTCTTCACCCCCATCGGTTTCGAGTCATGGACCCCAAAATGTTTCATCCAAGTGGTCAGTTTCAATGGGGGATGGTTGAAAGATATACTCCAACCAAAAAAGAAACACCAACCTTGGAATGGAACTTCAGGGAACAATTCAATCGGCTTTGTCTGAGCAATGCATGATGAATTACGCAAAACAACGCCATCATGTCATAGACAAAATATGAGAATAAAGCATATAATTCATCCGAAAGATGTGGGGCACAGTGCGGTAAACTAACATGACTATGGAAAATCACCATTCTCAATAGGTGAAATCAACTCTAAATGGGCCAAACACTTGTTAGTTTACCAGAGGGCACTTCCCTTTAATCACCATTGAATCACCATTCAATTACCATTTCATCACCATTTAATTCTGCTTTTTCCAAGTAATCATCTTTAGTAATTTGTTACAGTTCGCTATTGGAGCCATGGCCCATAGAAATAGTTGATTTACCCATTAAAAATTGTGATTTTCCATCGTTTTTTGTTAACGTGTACCGGCGGCCGGGTCATCACCTTCCCTTCCCGTGGCCGAAATCTGCGTTTTCTCCTCCATCTCGGGGATGCGAACCAAGGAATTCATCTGCTTCATCACCTCCAAGTACCAAAGGTTGGGTATGTGGCTTGGCGCACAGAAAATTACAATAACTAGGATTTATGGTAGTTATAACTATAATAACTATAGTTAGATTGAGTTATAAACCAACTTATAACGTTTGGGGGCACCACATTGTATGTGGCTTCTTCTCAGGAATTCATCTGGTCATGCGTTTTTTTTCGGATTCTGGGACCAAAAGTTGGGGGGACTACCTAGATGGGCCATGGGATTTTGCCGATTCCTGGTTAGTCACAGGGGATTTGTGACCCTCAAAAAATCCCAATGAAATAATCCATTTACGAACTAGTTTTCCCTAACTCCATGGCCCATCTAAGTATATCCACATAGGTCGTGAACATGTTGGGTATAGTGGATCATTCTATGGATATAATGGGTATAATTTGGAGAATGCATTGGGTATAGAATGACAAACAGTTTGGTAGAAAATGGTCATTCTATAGCCAAGTGTCATTCCATCCATAGTATATTGGGTATATCAACTCATATTGGGTATGTATGGTAGAAGATTGTCATTCTATACCCAATGTAGTGATTGGTTCGCCACGATGTGGTGCCCCTCCACTTATGTGCGTTGACTTGTGTTGACCCAGCTAGTTATAAATATGTCCACTCTGAACCCGATTGATATTAGTTGTAAACCACTTCTGCAATACGTCCCCATTAAAACCCATAAAATGGTTGGTTTGTAGTCTTATTGATTAAGATCCATTGAATCAACATAAAATCGTTGTTTAAAATACATTGAAACCCTTGGTTTACCTTTTTTCAACACAATTCACATAGTAGATCACCATAAATCACTACTAAATCACACTTTTCCCCAGCCATTATGATATCACCATGATATCATCTCAATCATATCACCATTCATCACCCTTAAATCCCACTGAATCACCATTTGTGTTGGGTAAATTATCATTTAATTCCATTAAGCGCAAAAAAATCCTAGTCAAGTCCCATTCAAGCCCATGAAATCACACTTTCCTCCTGTATTCCTAGTAGAAATCCAAATTGAATTCCCAGCAATTTCATCATTTTTTCATTAGAAATCCCACCAAAGCACCATGAATTTCATCATTTTTCATGATAAATCCCAGTAAATCACCATGGATCTTATCATTTTTCCATATTTCCCAAGTGAAATGGTGAAATCCTCATGTTTTGGCTGGTGGTTTCAACCCCGAAAAATAACACATATACCCTCTGGTAATTTAACATAGCTATTGAAAATGGCCATTATAAGGTATTTTCCCATTAAAAAGGGTGATTTTCCAATATTTTCCATAGTTTTTTGTATGTTTACCAGAGGGTAAAACATGTTCCAAACCACCCAGTTGGTCACCAGTTGTTGACCCAAACATCCCCCCCCGACCTCGCCTCGGTGGATTTGCTCATGGAGTCACTGAGCCGCATGGTGGCCGCTGTCGTCTCCAACTCCGCAGCAGCCTCGATGAAAACTGGTGGCTTTTTAGGAGGTTTCCAGCTGGAATTTTCAGGGAAATTTATGGGAAAATTATCATTAAAAAACATCATTGAATCCCCATAAAATCATCATTAATCCATATCAATCCCATGAAGAATCATCATCTGGTTGGTGGTAGAGCCCAACCCCTCTGAAAAATATGGGTTCGTCAGTTGGGATGATGACATTCCCAATATGATGGGAAAAATAAAAGTCATGTTCCAAACCACCAACCAGATAGGGTTTTATATGGTGTTAATGTCAAAAAACACGGTTGAACTCATGGGTTTTAATGGGTTTCATAGGATATTACTCGGTTTTTTTGGTGGTGATGGGATTTCTATTGGATTTGATTGGGATCTGTTCGGATTTATTTGATTGGAACTCATGGCGATGCAATTGGCATAAAAATGGTGGCTGAATGGAATTGAACCGAAAAAGATTTTAATCAGATGCAACCAAGAAAACTTGGGAATTACTATTTGTAGGGGATATTTTAGGGGATAGAACCAATCAAGAATTTTCCAATGAAACTAACCATCAGATGATTTTCCAACAGCTGTTGTTTTTTTACCAGCAAGGCTATAGGGTATGAATTGGATTTGAGCCCCGTCACCCATCTCATTGTACTAGCTGGTTGTTGCTATGCTGGTTAACGATTTCCCTACTATGGGTGTTCATAATCCACAATGAATTAGGTAGTATACCCAGTGCCAATCTTAGATACTCTGCAAAAAATCGAATTCTTAGCTGGTTAGTAGATAATCCCATTGATACCGCGAGTCGGACTGCGTGTCAACGCAGAACACAGCAACCCCGGGCCGCAATGGCGAGAGGCTGGGCAACTCAGATGCATACAAAGACTGCACATTCAACACTCGTGAACGCACAACTACGAGTTAGAAATGAAACAAAAACATGCCACAAATTAGTCTTGGCTACGGCACTCGGACAGCATCTCGTAGCATTACACATTCTATCCATTGCTGTTCCAAGTACCAACCACACCAAAGGTCCTCAGAGTATGCATCCAGACACAGGGCCGCCTGACCGATTCTGTTCTAAGGGTATCCATATCCTGTCCGTCAACCCAGCTCGGTCATTTGCCTGCGGAAACGCATCACGACGATCAAGGGAAAGATTCCTCTGGCTTCCAAAGTTCAACCATTGAATAGCCCATGCGATAAGTTCCAAAACTTGTGAGCCTTGAAATTGGACACATTCTCAGAAAACATAACTCCAGAACGGAGCAATGCGGCAAAAAACATGGCAGAAACTTTCGACATCCCTTCTGATCTTTCAGAGGACCAAGGGCTGCATCAACCAAGAACCGAGCGGGACACGGCACAGACAAGGCAATCATTTCCAAGGCAAAGGCCCTCCAAATCCAGTAGAGAGAATTGACCCTGGCATTCTGGACCGCGACAGCAACATAATTCGAAGTCGCCCGTCAACCACCGCACCCAACAGAACACATTGTGAATTTTCAGACAAAGCCTGATCCCACTGCGCATTGGTGACCACCACCTTGACATGCATCTAGCTTCTGGGGCGCATCCGCATTCACTCAAATTCATATCCAGAAAAGTCTGCCTCAAGTAGTGCGTCATCCATGACATCGCCTTCAACCGAAACTCCAGCTTGATTCATAGATACAACATTGGACATGCAGAAACTGTAGTCATCCCATAACTGGCACAAACACACCAAGGACTTCAAGCACAGTTCTGCAGCGAAAGGCATCACCTTAGCAACTGCTTCATCCATTGCGCTAAAACCCCTGGCCCAACTGGTTGGGGTGTGCCAACCCCATAACGGCCACGCCGCGTGAAGGCTTGGGCCGTGTGGCTATCCCATTGATACCAAAAGACTAAAGGATTAAACTCCCCATCTAAGATTGACCTAGTAACTCCCAACAACTTAACCAATCAACCAAGGTATTTTATTCATGGTTCTTTGACCGAGACCAAAGTCATGGTGATTGCTAGTGGGATCTCACTTCAACTGACACTGTGAGTCGTATTGTATGGGATAAATGGGAATTATATCGTAGTTCTTAAGTGACTATAGTAGTTATATTATAATTATAGCTGATCATGGGAATATGCCGGGAGGGTGAAGCCTCCATGGCTAGCGAGGAGATTTCTCAGCCAGCCACCTTTGATAAGTATATATATATATAGATTAAGTCCAAATTTTTAACTCCCATGAAATCAGCTAAACCATAGTTAAACCCCATGAAACCCTGTGAAATACCATGGTTTCATGATTCAATCACCATCAACTCCCATTAGAAATCACCATTTTTCTTGCGGTAAATCCTATGAACATCGGGTCGCCCGGGCGGACTGCATGATGGAGCGGCTGGTGTAGAGCCGCGCCTTAAGGTGGGCTCAAGAAATTTAACTCAGGTGTCTAGGGTGTATATTATGATGGATCTACATATTATATATATAACGAATAGGGGGTTCTAGTGGATCTAAAAATGATACTTAGAATTATGATATGTTTTAGATATATACATATTCTAGTTCATATTTTTCTAATCTAACTAGGGGTGGCTTTCTCATGGATGAGTATGTATATTTACATATATATTATGATGTATATATATATATATATATTATACGTACATATGTTTCGATGGTGTGCAAACCCAAAAAATGGTGGGGGGCGATCCTCTTTTTGATGGTGCAGTTGATGTTATCTTCATGGCTGAAATCACAGCCATAAGTTGGGATATACCCGGCATGGTAACATACAAAAAGCTATTGAAAATGGCCCAGTCGAAAAAGTTGTTTTACCCATTAAAAGCATAGTGATTTTTCAGTTCGTTATGTAAACGTTTACCAGAGGATAAGCCTTGTGAATATAGCCATATACCCACGGTTACTACACCAGGCGCCTCTAAGGTTACCTTACGCCTGGTTATACAGTGGATAGTGAAGGTTTTTCATACAGCAAGTGTTCCGTAAATCAACATCCGTAAAATCACCACAGCCAATAGTGATACCCTCTGGTAAACATACAAAAAACTATGGAAAATCACCATTTTTAATGGGTAAATCCACTAAACATGTGGTATTTTCCATGGCTATGTGAAATAACCACGTGGTAATTGAATAATGATAAATCCACAAGTGCCATCACCACATCCATCATCATTCATCAATATAAATAGATGATAGTCACCACATGGTTGGCGATTTTCAGGTGGCAATCATTCCATGAGGAAATGGGGGGACCCCCAGTTCTCATCCAGCTATTCGATTGAGATTTTCCACTATACACCATCCAGCGACTGGTATTGGGGTACCACCATTTTAGTACCACCATTTTGGTACCACCATTTTAGGAAACCAAAAAAAAAAACGTGATATTCCTATTCTGCTGTTTCGGTCATGGTCATGCCCAGGGCTGTGTCGACAAAAGCCCACTAACTGCGGCACTGGCGATATATCCCCACCATAACCCAATTATGGTTGGATTACACTCCCGTAAATTAACAGTTCGACCCTGCCAGATAGGGCTTGGACGATTTGTTTCCACTCAAAATGGTTGATTTTCAGGGTCTGTGTTAATTTGCCAGAGGGTAAATACCATGAAATCAGCATGTTAGAGCCACTTTGTTTGTCTGCCGTGTTTGGCCTTTGAAAAGGGCGAAAAAAACATGAAATCACCAGCTTCGTAGGCTAAATCAGCATGTTTCATCCCGTTGGATCACCATATTCTTGTTTAATTTCCATTTACCCTCTGGTAATTTAACATAGCTATGGGAAATCACAATTTTTAATGGGAAAATCCACTATTAATGGCCATTTTTAATAGCTATGTTAAATTACCAGAGGGTAATCACCATTTTTGCTAGCCAAAATGCCATGAAATCATCCTTTCGCTTCCCCAAATCACCATTAAAAAAAAAAACAACCATTTCGATCCCTATGAAAGCACCATCCGTCAATCCGTCGCGGCCTTGCCCTTGCCAGAGCGGACCAGAGACTTAGCCAACATCCTGACGAAGCCATGACTGTCACCATGGGATTTTGGAATTTATGAAGGATTTATGGAGGATACCATGAAATTACCATATGTTGTTGGTGAAATTGGATGAAATTACCATATTTTGTTGGTGAAATTGGATGAAATTACCATATTTTGTTGGGAGGTAACCAGCAATCTGGGTAAATTATAATAATTCACCAACCTGAATCTTGCGGCCATAAAAGGGGATGATTCCTCTATAAAAACCAGGATTCCAGGGTTCGGGAGAACAGGGTTCGGTCGTGATCAAATTTACCCAAATTTTTATGGAGGATACCATGGAAACTACCATATTTGTTCTGGTGAAATTGGATGACATTGCTGAAATCCCTCGGTTTGTCATGTTTTTTGTTTGTTGGCTAAATCGACAAGAATGCCGTGCTTTGTTTGGGGGGAACCGGGAAAAAATGGTGAAAGGGATCCAGCCAATCTTACTGTCCAGTTTGATCTATCAGTGAAAATAGTGAAATGATTAATCAGGTGACATCTAATATCTGGTCATTTAGATGGCAAAATGGCAAAAATGATGGTTCAATGGGACGAAATGATGATTTAATGGGAAAAAAACAATACTAGGATTGAACCATCAGACATGGTGATTTCATCGGGTTTTGCCAATGGCATTCACTGGTGAAAAATTCACCAACCATGATGGGATTTCATGGGATTCAATGGGGAAATCGTCTATAAATGGAGGACTTTCCATTGCCAGAGGCTAACATGGTTAAAAATGGTGCTACAATGGGGTATAATGGGAAGATTTCGATATACCCTCCGGTAATTCAAAAGTTTGAGATGGAAAATCATGATTAAAAATCATAGGGAAATCATCGAACCTATTCTTGGCCATTTATAGATAATATATATATATATATATGTGTGTTAAATTGCTGGGGGGTAGTTCTTGGTCTCATATTGATATGACTATATATATATATACCACAGTTATTTATATTACAATTTCACAATTATTGCTTAGCTTTTGTAGTCTTAGATATGTTGACTTCTTTCTAGCTGGTGTAGTATATACATATAATATATATATATACATCCATTGTCCATTATATTAATATCCATTTATAGCAATAGATTGGGTAGTATACAGCTGGGATAGGACGAGATCAATGGATGCATTTTTGGGGGGGAAACAGTTACCTACCCGTTACCTTTTACAGGATTTCATTTGGAACATTTAGCAAATGAGTGTCATCACTTTGCCAATTTTTGTGTCAAGTGGGATTCTCAGCATCCTAAAATTCTCGAAATGGAGGTACGTTAGTACCATATTTTTGGCCAGATTTTCTGGGGATATTCTCTTACAAAGGCATAAAAAATAGGCCATTGATGTAGTGTTTTCTTGTAGTTTGTTCTATGCTTGTCTATCAGAATCTCGATCTTCGATGACACCACAGTAACTTCCAGCTTTACATCTCTACCGTTGGCTTCTGTGCCAGGCGGGGGAGAAATTTCTGTTGAAAAACCACTCTGTGAGAACTTCGCTTAAAGAAGCTTGCCAGTTTCGTAGAACCTGTTCCTCTGCTGAGCGTGCTTGTTGGGCTGGACTTGATAGTTATAAGTACGTAGTTGTAAGGTGGTTTCTCTTCACCAAATCTCTAGATATGTTCATCATTGCCCTCTGGTAAACTAAATTAACTATGGAAAATCACATGTTTTTCTTGGGTATATCAACTATAAATAAAACCAACTTTCTCAACCAACTATTGAAGTACCACTTCCAACTGAGTGACAACACTCAACTGCTGCTATCCGACTGTACCCAACATTTTCTGGCTGAATATCATCAGAATTCACCAACCTGAAATGTATGTTTTGTTTGGGATAATTCTTGCAGCATAAACAATGATAATCATGTGCTGTGTCGCAGTGAGGTCGTTATGATCCCCACTTTGGGTAGGTTAAACCATCCTTTTCTGTTGCTTGGATGCAATGAAACTCTCATCTGTTGCTAGTTTAACCCCCCAACGAAAAGAAAAGAACACATCGGTACTTGGGTGGGCCATGCACTTACAGCATATAACTGGTTAATCAGGTATCCCCCTATCAATGGTTTATAATTAGGTGAGTTCACCCACTAAAATTAACCAGTCAACTAACTCCGTGGTTGGTTCAGAAGGATTCCATTGTGGATGATGATCCCGAAAAATACCTGGTGATATATCCCCCTATAGCAACCAACCAACAAGGTTTTTTTGCAGCCACTGCGAAAAAAAAAGGTATCCCCCTGCTCCAAAATGCTCCAGAGACCCAGGGTACAAGGGGGAAAATTGGGCAAATTAAGGGGTAACATTCAAAAAAGAAACGCCAAAAGTGGTTCTCACTTACCATAACTATCATGTGGTTTGGAAACTGTACGAGTATAGCTCCAACTGCTTCCCCAAAATAATCAAAGTAGATAACCATCAGCTCAGCTCACCTCCCTCCACCGTATACATTCGGTTATAATTAGGTATGTCAACTTAAGATCGCATTGAATCCCCATAAAATCATCATTAATCCATATCAACCGCATGGAGAATCATCATCTGGTTGGTGGTTGACCTACCCCCCTGAAAAATATGAGTTCGTCAGATGGGATCATCATCCCAACTATTGGGGAAAATATAAGATGTTCCAAACCACCAACCAGATCACCGTGTTTTTGGTGATGAAAAAAAACTCCCGAAGGTCTCTACCGTTTCCGCAACCCTGCGGCGAACTTTGCCCAGTCTCTGGATGCTCTTGGGATCGCCATTGGCCTTGGCCATGTCCTGGTCCAAGAAAGTTCACGCCACAACAGACAAGCAACAAAACGGAGGAGTTCACCAACAATCATGTATGGCTTTAGAGCCCGGGCAAAACGAGCCCATGCAATTTTCCACAGTCTTGAATTAATTATCAGAAAGACGATTTGCTCATATTTGTCACTAAATTGTCCTTATTTTTTCACTATGTTTCACTATGTTTCATTATTTGCCACTATTGCTCACTATTTTGCATTATGTTTATCCACATTTATTCTTCTCTATTTTTCATTAAGTCTCACTATTTTTCACTATTTTTTCATAATTCTCAAGATTGTGGAAAATAGCATGGGCTCGTTTTGCCCGGGCTCTAAAGCTATACATGAAACAAAGTCGGTGATTCAGTGGGACTGGACCCACGGTTTGTCATACTGATTTCATGGGAGTTAACCAACATTGAGCAACACAATATTGTCATTTAGGGATATTTAGGCGAATATAATGTGATACATAATGATTGTGTGTGTGATACCAGTAGTACCGCACAAGGCGGTGGCGGAAGTTTCAAAAATAGGAAACCTATAGGAGAGTTTGGTTGTTGTGAATCAAGGATGGCAGAGCGAAGCCACTGATGGATTGAAAGGTGCTTGATCTCTCTCACTCTTTCTCTCTCTTTCTCTGCCTATCTACCTAACTACCTATCTATTTTCTATGTATCTATCCAGCTATCGATCTATCTATCTATCTATCTATCTATGTATCTATCTATCTCTCCATGTATCGATCGATGTATCTATTGATGTATCTATCTATCTATCTATCTGTCTGTCTGTCTGTCTGTCTGTCTGTCTATCTATCTATCTATCTTTCTGTCGGTGTGTCTGTCTATCTGTCTAGCCATCTAGCTATCTATCTCATCTACCCAGCTGGCCTCTCTCTCTCTCTCTATCTCTTTCATCTAATTACCTACCTATCTATCTATCTACCTACCTGTCTATCTATCTCTCCCTTTCATCTGTCTATCTGTCTAGCTGTCTACCTGTCTATCTGTGTTGCAGTGTCATTCAGTGTAATGTAGTGTGGTGTAGTGTAATTTAGTGTAGTGGAGTGTACTGGAGTGTAATGTAGTGTAATGTAGTGTACTGGAGTGTAGTGTATTGAATGTCCTGTAATGTAGTGTCTTGAAGCGAAGCGACATCTGAACCTCCAAAAAGTGGTCCGAACCCCTAGTGCTTTGTACATTTTGACGCTACAACGGCATGCACTTTTTCGACATCTCAACTTCCAAAAGTGGTCCGACGCTGGTGTGTTTTCTGCATTTTGACTTCGAAATGTGCTTCGCGCCACAACGACGTGCACTTTTTCAACATCCGAACTTCCAAAAGTGGCGCGAACATGTGGTGCTTTGTCCATTTTGACTTGGAAATGTGCTTTGCGCCACAACGACGTGCACTTTTTCAACATCCGAACCTCCAAAAGTGGCGCCAACATGTGGTGTCTTGTATATTTTGACTTCGAAATGTGCTTCGCGCCACAACGACGTGCACTTTTTCAACATCCGAACCTCCAAAAAGTGGCGCAAACATGTGGTGATTTGTACATTTTGACTTGGAAATGTGCTTCGCGCCACAACGACGTGCACTTTTTCAACATCCGAACCTCCAAAAGTGGCGCAAACATGTGGTGATTTGTACATTTTGACTTGGAAAATGTGCTTCGCGCCACAACGGCGTGCACTTTTACCACATGACAACTTCCAAAAGTGGTCCGTAGCTGAGGTGTTTTGTACATTTTGACTTGGAAATGTGCTTCGCGCTACAACGGCGTGCACTTTTTCGACATCACAACTTCCAAAAGTGGTCCGACAATGGTGTGCTTTGTACATTTTGACTTGGAAATGTGCTTCGCGCCACAACGGCGTGCACTTTTTCGACATCTCAACTTCCAAAAGTGGTCCGAACCTGGTGTGCTTTGTACATTTTGACTTGGAAATGTGCTTCGCGCCACAACGGCGTGCACTTTTTCGACATCTCAACTTCCAAAAGTGGTCCGACCATGGTGTGTTTTGTACATTTTGACTTCAAATGTGCTTCGCGCCACAACGGCGTGCAATTTTTCATCTCTCATCTGGCCAGCTGGCTCCGCACCCGCCGCTTTAGCGAGCCTACTTTTCGACCCTCCGGAGCCCCAAATCATTGGAAAAACACAGTGTTTCGCGACTTTCCTACCTTTTCACGCATCTGCATCTTCTTTCTTCTTACTCTTACTCTTCTTTCTTCTAATCTTTCTCTTCTCTCTGCCTCTTCCCTGCTCTGCTTTTCATCTGTCCATATTGTCGGAAGTTTGACTTCTAAACTTCCTTCGATAATGGGAAAATCAAATCTACAGCCAGTAACAACCAGCAATAATCCCTTCACCCTGTTACTAAACCCCCCCAAATGATAAAAACTAGGGTCCGTCTCCAATTTTGGAAAATTTGCGGTTGGTCAATTTGACGTTTAATTGATCCCCTTCAGAAAACAATTTAAAAATGAAGCCACCATTTGTGGGCTTCACCCCCTAATAATAAAAACTAGTCAGCTCCAGTGTGTTTTTTATTAGGGTCCGTTTTTGAAGGTCGAAAAAAAAAAGAATTTATATTAATGTTTTCACTTTAATATTAGGGGAAAGCTTCGAAATCCAATTTTTTGCAATATTTCAATTAGAATTTAAAAGGAAATTTAATCGATATTGAAATAGAAAAAAATAGTTTTTTATATTAAGGTTTTTAATTTAGTATTAGGGGAAAGCTTCGAAATCCAATTTTTGGCAATATTTCAATTAGATTTTAAAATGAAATTAAATTTAATCAATTTTGAAATAGAAAAAAATAGTTTGTTACGTTAGGGTTTTTAATTTAGTATTGGGAAGCTTCGCACCTTAATAATACCCCCTAATAATGAAAACTACCTGAGGTGTTTATTATTTGGGATGGGGGCTTAGTATAGGGGGAACGGCTTATACTTATACTGCAATTTATATATAATCAACAATCAATTTTAATACAACAATGAATAGTCCTTGGGGTACCAATGGACCATAAAGACCAAATCTTACTGATCTGAGACCGTCTATTTGGTTGATAATTGTGACCCGTACCCATGTACAGTGCATACAGTACAAGTACCTCTGGAGAAAAAAACGTGATGGGATGTCAAACGATCGTCCAATTGTGATTGAAAAAGAAATCGTCCAAGATTTATTTACTATGAAAAACATGGCCAGAAAGACCCACATCCAGAGGGGGCCCCACCTCCCAACTTGTGGAGGTGAGGAAATCCATGTAGTGAATTACAAGAGTATCAAGGGTTATGTATATTATATATATAATATACTGTATACCCATTATAGTAGTGAATTGCTATAGTTCTACCATGATTACTACCATAGTTAGAGCCAAAAAAATCATCCATGGTCTGCCCCAAGATGTCAAGCCCTGAAATGGTGAGGTGGGCTGAGCTGAATCACTGAAGAATTTCAACCAGTTGAACAGATTCTAGATTGATGATCATGCCATCTTGTATCCTTGAGTTGCGGCTGGTGATGATATCCTTTTCTTTTGGTGGCTACCCAATCGTTGTCCCAAAGACTGCATGAAAAATGACTGAAAGCCGTGGGCTCAGAGATCAGCACCTTGATCTCTTTTCGGATCTTATCTTCCTCTTGCTCGATCTTCCTGACAAAGGTGGCACTCAGTTTGTTGGCTAAGTTGGTTCAGAATGGTTCATAACTAGGTAAACTATGGCTTTATAATGGCACGAACTATAGGGTTCATACTTACATAATGGATAATAATGGATATCACTACCCGTCCGGTAATCAAACCTGGCAATGGACAATTCCCTATCAACGGGGAATTTTTAGCTGGGAAACTCATCATTCACGAAATCAGTGATTTTCCAGCCATGTTGGGTTACCGGAGGGCATAGTTAGGTGGATTTTGAACCAACAAACATAACAGGGGGGTAGCATTAATGTCGGGCTGTGACCCTGTGCGGGATGATGGTTGGATTTGGCGCATATCTTCAAACCTAGGATTGCCTTCTCTACGTCGTTGTTCAAAATGTTCTAGTACCCATAAAAGATATGTATCTTATAGCCGCGTATACTTGATTTGAGTATGTTTAGCCCATTCTTATGGGTACAAACTGAGTATCTTCTTAGTTTCAGTTCCGTCTATTAGGTCTTAATCAAAACAAAACTCAGATTTTCCTGGTTCCATTAACACTTCTTCGAATTGGATGAGGAGACAGCAGCCTGGAAAAGAATCCTTTTTTCATCGCTGGTTGAAAGATGCCACCCCGTCCAGTCATGACATCAGATTTCTGCTCCCTTTCAAGTCTTTTTCCAAAGTGAAACAAAACGTACTGTGGATGGAAGAAATCCTGCACCAGTTGATAAATGGTTTATCCCATTGTTTATAGGGTCCCATTGTTTATAGGGTTTCAACCATCCAAGGTGGTCAAAGATGTTCTGCTGAAAAACTTGCTGGTGTGTTCAGCGCGCTAAGAGTCAAAGCTCTTTTGTCGGATACAGGGTAAACCAATCGACCTATTTATATCTGGTTGGTGGTTTCAACCCCTCTGAAAAATATGAAAGTCAGTCGGGATGATTATTCCCAATATATGGGTAAATAAAAAATGTTCCAAACCACCAACAAGATATATATATATATACATATGTATACATAATCCAAAACAGGCAGGACATCAAAGTGTATGGCTACGGTGAATCGAGTCAACTTGATCAACTTGTCTCCCCACCGACCCACTGGCACAGTCAAGTTGGTCTGGAAATGGTACATCTTAGTGGATTGCCTCCCTGCATAGTAAAATGGGTTGTGAAATGCGCGGTGCCGCTTTAACTCACAACTAACACAACTGGGTTGGTGATGGAAAAAACTACGGTCGATTAAGAAAGAAACTTAAGACTAGGGGGCATCACCTGGTATAACCACCGATTCCATTTCCCAAACCATGGGTTGTTTTTTATGTTTGGTCTTGTATCCCCATGATATTCCACTTGCATCCCATCAAACTAACATATATAACCTTGTTGGTCAAATCAGCATTCAATCACCTTTTTTTTGATGAAATCCCATTGCATCCCATGAAATCACAATTTTTCGCCATGGTTAAACCCCATTCAATCCCATCAGATCCGATATTTCATTCCTTAAATCCTGATGAAATCACCATTCTTCATTGCTGAAAAATCCCCTAAATTCACCATGTTGAAATATGTTGAAATCCCATCATGAAACCTCCACTTTTTCCGAGTTAAGTCCCCAATGTTCATAGTTCAATCCCATGATATCACCATGAATTTAGCATTTTTTGTTGGTGAACTCCTCCGTTTGTGTTGCTGATCACCCTGCCCAACCCGTTCCAATCGCCGCCTAATGCTCCGATCCACGCCGCGCACTTCGCTGCGCAGCTTCCGTTGCCAGTCGCGCACCATTTCCTTCGCCGACTCCTGCAGTTCTTGGGGGACTGGGGGCTGGGGACTGGGTGAAGCAAAAACCCTTTACGCTGATTTGATGGTGATCTTTCATGCTCATTGGTGATTCAAGGTGGTGCCCCAGTGTCAGCGAAGTTCGTGGATCAATTGACCAGGGTGTATGGTATAGTTATGGCTATGGCTATAGTAAAATAGTTATAGGGTTGCTCCCAACGTCTCCCAACACCCCGGCCCCAGATACAAGGGCGGTTATAAATTATAAATGGTTAGTTACAGAGGTAAATTGACCCATTTTCCGCCCCCTTGTGGCTACAATTTACTTCTAATTGAGCGGAACAACCTTGAGACAGTTAAGTGGGTTAATAAACCAACACTGGGAGGCAACACCTCGCCTGTTAAGGAATATAACATGATAGAACTCATTTCTTCAGCGGTCAACTAACTCCACAACCCTGAGAAAACATGGGCTGGTGGATTTGTTCCATGATGATCGGGCCACCCATGCGGGCAAATAGTGCCTAATTAGGAAATAGTTAGTTAACTCTAAGGAGAGATGAAAGGAAATGTCAAACAGATGCAGATTGTGCACACAAGCCATATATTTCGTCACACATTCATCCGTTTTTAAAAGAAACACGCCCTTGGTTGAAATTCGTTTCTGAAACAAACTGATTAAACATACTAGATACTTCCCATTTCCAAAAGCTGACCCTGTCAGCTGTATGACTTCGATGACGAAAAAACACACTTGGCCGGCCATCTCAAAAAGCTCACCCGTTTTTTTTCAGCTCTCTGGGTTTGTTTCAAAATGGGGTCGTTACCCAAACTGTTGATTAGCATATGGCTATCCGATGCTATTCGGCCGAATCTGACATACCCTGGCCCTAACCACTGTATAGGCGAAGGAAGTTCAGAAGTCAAACTTCCGACAATATGGACAAATGGAAAAGCAGAGGTGGGAAGAGTCAGAGAAGAGAAGAGAAGAGAAGGGAAGGGAAGAGAAGAGAAGAGAAGAGAAGAAGAGAGAAGAGAAGAAGAGAGAAGAGAAGAAGAGAAGAAGAGAGAAGAGAAGAAGAGAAGAAGAAAGAAGGAAGAAGAAAGAAGGAAGAAGAAAGAAGAAAGAATAAAGAAGAAAGAAGAAGAAAGAAGAAAGAAGATCAAAAAAGAGGAAGAGTCAGAGGAAGAGTCAGAGGAAGAGTCAGAGGAAGAGTCAGAGGAAGAGTCAGAGGAAGAGTCAGAGGAAAGAAGATGCAGGCGTGCGAAAAGGTACAGTATAAAAATCGCAATTCACTCTGTTTTTCCAGGCTCCGGAGGGTGGAAAAATAGGTTGGTAAAGCGGCGGGTCCGGAGCCATCTGGCCAAATGAGAGATGAAAAATTGCACGCCGTTGTGGCGCGAAGCACATTTCGAAGTCAAAAGTGTTAAAAGCTGACGGTCTCGGACCACTTTTCGAAGTTGAGATGTTTTTAAAGTGCATGGCGTTGCCGTGCGAAGCACATTTGGAAGTCAAATGTATAAAACACCTCATGTTCGGACCACTTTTGGAAGTTGAGATGTTTGAAAGGCTAGCGTCGTTGTGGCGGGAAGCACATTTCGAAGTCAAAATCTACAAAACACACCAGGTTCCGAGCACTTTTAGAAGTTGAGATATTGAAAAACTGCACACCGTTGTGGCGCGATGTGGTTTTGCCTGGCAGGCGCAAAGGATTCCGTATACCTTGCCAAAGGTGAGCAAATCGTGAGAATTTTGTAGCAGTTTCAATAACGTTCGCAGGCGTGGGACATTTGAAGATGATCTGCAAAGATGCATTTCGCTTGGCAGGGGCAGTACAAGAGACATGTTCATCAGAGATGTTAGGAGGTCAGGGCGCTGATTTCCTGATATGGGTTGCATTTTTGAGCATGAGACCTTTAGGTTTGCCAAGATGATTTTGCGTGACAGGTGCTGCACTTCGTATGACCTGGCATCACCTTTTCGTGACAGGCGCAGCACTTTAGACAGATGGAGTGGAAAAATCGCAAACAGCATTGGTACGAGGCCATCAGCATCAGCACTAAAGTTTCCATGTTCGAAGCAAGTCTCGCAGAATTGCTGTGTTTTTGATGCTGTCAACTGCGAAAAATGAGGAAGTCTTGCAGAATTTTGCGTCGTTTTTGACGCTGTCAACGTCGAAATTGAGGAAGTCTCGTAGACTTGCTTCGTTTTTGATGTCGTCAAGTTCAAAACTTGAGGAAGTCTCGTAGAATTGCTTCGTTTTCAAGTTTGCAGATTGACAGATAAATAGACAACTGCCACTACAACTACCACTACACTACACTGCTACTACAACTAATATTTATACTACACTAAGTACACTACCCTACACTAATTACATCTAATTACGCTACACTACACGCATTACACTACTACTACTACTACTACTACTACTACTACTACTACCACAACAGCTACTACTACAACTACACTACAGGAATTACACACTGCAGTGCGCTGCAGCTACAATTCAAATACAACTACAACTACAACTACACGACATTGCACAACACTACACTACACTAGTTACATTACATTGCATTACATTACATTACACTACAACTGCAAATGCAACTGCAACTACACTACATTAATTACACTACGCTACAACTACAACTCCACTACACTACAACTACAACTCCACTACACTACAACTACAACTACAACTGCACTACGCCACACTACATCCAGCAGTTGTGGTGAGGTGACCATCGCAACCATTGCAACCACTCCAAAAAACACAACTCCAACCACCTGGTCACCTTTCGATCCATCAGTGAATTCGCTCTGCCATCCGTGATTCACAACAACCAACCTCTCCTATATGTTTCCTATTTTTGAAACTTCTGCCACCGCCTTGTGCGGTACTACTGGTAGTAATAGTCGTAAACTGGATAGTAATACTAAACACCCTAACATATATTAATATATACTGTATATAATTACCCTACTTTCAGACACACCCATCTTTTTTTGACAGATGGTTGATTGATAGTTGGTTGATCCACTCTGGCACTTTTGTTGACTTGCAGAAAACAATTGCGAAACATTGCTTTGGTGGAGCGAACAACTCGGCAATTATCTGCCGAAGCTCTATGGGCGAGGAAACCCTTATGTAAACATGGAGAGATGGGTCAAAACTGCCGCACGAAAACAAATAGAATGGTCTATACATTGATGAAGTGTTCATCATCCAATTCTATTCTTCTTGGTGTCTCTTGACCCAAGATCAAACTTACAAATACTGGAGCTCATCTTGAACTGCAGAATAGTCACCACCATACTGTGGATTGCCCCAGGCAACCACCGATCCATCGGCCAGGATGGCGGCAAATGCGCAAGCTGTGGCCTGTATTTGCTGCACATTCCTCAGCTGGTCTTGAACTGCGGAGCAGTCACCGCCATTGTCTGGATTGCCCCAGGCAACCACTGATCCATTGGCCAAAATCGCAGCAAATGCGCTATCTGTCGCCTGAAGCTGCTGCACATTCCTGAGCTGATCTACAACTGCAGAGCTGTCACCACCATTGCCTGGATAGCCCCAGCAAACCACCGATCTGTCAGCCAAGATTGCCGCAAACGCGCCATCACGTGTGGCCTGAATTTGATGCACGTTCTGGAGCTGATCCTTTACTGCCGAGCAGTCAGCACCAAAGCGTTGATCGCCCCAGGTAACCACTGATCCGTTGGTCAAGATTGCGGCAAATGCGCCACCCGCTGTGGCCTGAATTTGTTCCACATTCACAAGCTGCTCTTGAACTGCTGAGCAGTCACCACCCCTCTCTGGATGGCCCCAAGCAGCCACCGATCCATCTCCCAAGATCGCTGCAAATGCCTGAATTGACGCCTGAATTTGCTCCACGTTCCTGAGCTGATTGTGAACGGCAGAGCAGTCACCACCGTCGTCTGGACTGCCCCAGGCAACCACCGATCCATCGGCCAGGATGGCGGCAAATGCGCAAGCTGTGGCCTGTATTTGCTGCACATTCCTCAGCTGGTCTTGAACTGCAGAGCAGTCACCGCCATTGTGTGGATTGCCCCAGGCAACCACTGATCCATTGGCCAAAATCGCAGCAAATGCGCTATTTGTGGCCTGAAGCTGCTGCACATTCCTGAGCTGATCTACAACTGCAGAGCAGTCACCGCCATTGTATGAATTGCCCCAGGTAAGTACCGATCCACCGGCCAAAATCGCAGCAAGTGCGCCATCTGTGGCTTGGAGCTGCTGCACATTTCTGAGCTGATCTCGAACTGCTGAGCAGTCACCACCCTGGTGTTCATTGCCCCAGGCAGCCACTGATCCATCGGCAAGGATCGCTGCGAATGCACCATTTGTTGTGGACTGAACCTGCTGCACATTCCTGAGCTGCAGTTTCCTCTGTGCACCAAATTCAAAGCCGCCCCAAGCAACGATCTGGTTTCCTCCACAGCACAAAGCAAATGCTCCCGGATTTGCAGCTACTATCGCTCCCTGCGCCACGGCTGTTAGGTGCTCTCCATCTTTCACCGCAGCTTGCAAAGGCTCCTCAGGGTCTGTCAGGACACGTCCCTCCACAGTAACCAGTTTCAGGAAGCCCTTGCTGAAAGTTTTTCTGACCAGAAGTTTCAAGTCCCCCACTTTGGAGTGCTCAGGAAGCAGCAGAGTTTCTCCAGAACCACTCGGGAACGATACATTGATGTGAAGCATGAACGAAGACGATTCCGACACAGATTCGTTGCACTCAGAAGACAATACTATATACCCTATGGTTATTTACTAGTATAAGTATAAGATATATAGTATAAGTAAATCATTGTGTTTATCTGTATATATATATAATGGAAATTCCAATCACAATATATTGTGCAACATCTCGAGCCAGAGGCGCTACCAAAGTCTGCGGAACTGGGAGTACATGATCTTATCATTACGTTACACGGTACACATTGCATTTTACACGGAACACAAACACGTTGCCTGACACGTTTGCAACTACTTACAGAACATATCACCTCACACATCTCAATACATTGCAGTATGTTACATTATCTTATATTGTACATAACACGTTACATGTTGCATGGCATTACATACTACATCACACATCACATTTTACAAGACATTACATACTACAGTACGCATTGCATTACACATTACCTTACACATCACATTGCATATTTTAAGTTACACATTCCGTTCGTTTTTACATCAAATTCGATTCCATTACAGACACATGCGTAATAGAATCTATAGTGGTACTCCAGTGGTACTATAGTGGTACTATCAAACACTATATTACTATATTACCATACACTATAGTACCACTATTCTACTATGTTTGCAAACACATGCATCTGCATAAAGCCATCAAACAGCGAGGGGGTCAGAACAGCGAGTACCCAGAGACCTAAGATCTTTGCGTGTACCCTCTAGAGTAAACGTTTACCCTCTGGTAAACTAACATAGCTATGGAAAATCACCATTTTTAATGGGAAATTCCACTCTAAATCACCATGTTCAATAGCTATGTTTGACATAACCAGAGGGTAACGAACTGGAAAATCCAGCCATTTGATGGGTAGATCAACTAGTTTGGCCACGGCTTGGCCCATAGCTCATTCCCATGAAATCCCATGGCTCGTCCCTTGAAAAATCACCATTTTCCATAGGTAAATCCCATAAAAAAAAAAAACATGAAAAATCACCATGTTCCATAGTGAAACATCAACCTGCCTTCACTGATGGCCTAAATCCCCTGAAATCATCGGTGAATAGGAATGGTCATCAGCCAACCTCTCAATCCGCCTAGGATCTGCAGATCCCTCACCAGTAGCGTTTTTATGGGATCCCCAACAAAATCCACCCGTGATTTTTCCAGGAGGCTACAGATTCTACGATGGATGCTATAGAGAATGAAGCTCTAGGATTTTTGGGGGGCTAAAGACCCTGTCGATGTTTACATTATGGCCAAAAAAATGGTACATTTACGTACCTCCATTTTAGGATCCTGAGTCTTTCCCAGTGATATGATGCTATAGATAATGAAGCTCTACGACTTTTTGGATCAGTTAGTTATAATTCAGTTGCTATGACTGGATGGTGGGATACATCTTCACAAAAGGTTTGTCAAGCCAAACCAGATGCCAAATTCTGGTATGATCTCAGGACTCAAAAAACACCAGTCGAAAACTCAAAAATAAATACCCTCCAGTGTCATCAAACATAACGTGCTGGAAAATCACCCATTTATCTGGGTAAATTATAATATTTCACTGACCTGAATCTTGCGGCCATTTGAGGATGATTTCCCTAAAATAAGCCATGCTTCCAGGCTTCGGGAGAACTGTGAGGTCGTTATAATTTACCCAGACAACCTTGATTGTTCGATTGTTTTTTGGGGATCTTCAAGCTCGCCATGATGACAACGCGTTGCGCGCAACGCGGAAGTTGCAACGAACGAAGCAGAGCCGTTACCGAAAAAAAGCTGTAGACTAGAGATCAATCCATGAACCAAAGATTCACTTGGCAATTTTACCCATTGCCTATCTATAGACAGCCTTACAAATGAAAGCTTTAAGAAAGGAAAATCATCAATGGGCCAGGTTTTCCAGCACGCCATGTTTGATTACTGTAGGGTTTACCAACATTTTCCATGCACGACTCTAATAGGATTTCATGGTGATAGAATGAGGATCAACCCTGTGGTAATGAATTCAACATATAGCTATGGAAATTGCCCATTTAGTTCGATGATTTACCTGTTAAAATTGGTGATTTTCTAAAGCCAGTAGATACCCCGTAGTCTTTTAGATCTTTTAGCCAATTGCTAAATATTGGAATACACAAGATTCAAGCATTACAGTAAACTGTTTGTTCCCATTGCATGCCAATATATCCCATTGAATCACCATGTTTGCCGATTCTTCATGATTACCCTCTGGTAAACTAACATCACTATGGAAAATCACATGTTTTAATGGTTAAATCAACTATAAATTGCAACTTTCACCAGCTATGTTTGACATGACCAGAGGGTAAACCCTGTTTGCCGATAGTTCTTTATTCAGAGGTTGGTCCAGACACGTCCCTGGCAGTTTTACCCAATCCCCCATGGATTGTGAGCATCCACCCCAAATCATCCAAGTATTGAAACAACATGAAACTACCAAGTGGTGACTGGGGATCCCCCATTTTAAGAAACCCCCAAAACATAGTGAATAGTGTACCCCTCGGTCATCAAACGAGGCTGGGAAATCCGCGCAGCGCGCATGTCATGTGTCGCTCCTGTTGTGCTTCTTGCGTATGTCCCTTTCCAAAGAGGTTGATGCCCAACGGCATGGCAACCACAATGGCCGGCCACACGCGCTAACCGCTGTGTGGCAGCTAGACGCAAAATATCACCGCTGTGGCAAGCGCACTACTTGTGTGTAAGGGTAAAATCCCAGGCTTATAGGCTTAAAGTATCTTAAAGTGAACATAACAGTATTCAAAAACTGAATACATACTACATTTAGATCTGATTGATCCTCATATTTCGAACCTTGTGACACTCATCAAAGACCTCAAGACGTGACACCGCGCGCATCGCTTCAACTAACTGCTGTAACCCAGCCACAGCGGCACACTCTGTTCTTCCCAAAATCCTGTTGATTTGTTGGTAGAGTTTCATATAATTAGTATGTGTCTGAAGCGGTGAGTATATCCCCAAAATGGTTATTGTGCTAGGGGAAATGACAATAATAACCCAGAATAACCAATGATAACCATCAAATTTGGGTCGCTAATCCCATCTTCACCATAGTAGCTGCTATGGACTGTCGTCACAGTCATGCTTCTTTGAAAAAAACAAAACAAAAAAGGATAAACAAACTATATTCTCTGATATATTTCTCAATTTATCCAAACATGACTATAGTTAACAAGATAACTCAAACATGACTATATTCTCTGCAACTGGGAAAATGGTGAAAAATCTCAACACCATCTTTTTTTTGTCAGTGTTTAACGTAGATCTTGAGATACAACCATACGATGAGCAGTGTCTGTCGTCCCTTTTGATCCTGGTTGGTTGAGAACAGGATTCCCCTGATGCCTTGTTATAATCCCAGTAAGGTCCCAGTATATTAGCTAGTATAATTTATAACCAGTGATGGCCTATTTGTGTGTGGCCACCCTGGGTATATAGGAACTATATGGGAAAATATAGGAACTATATGGGAAAATATTGGAACTATCAACCAATATGTTGTATAATACACTGATATACACTGGCACTGTCATCAACAGAGGTTTTGATGGTTTTGCAGCCACTGCTGTGGAAAAATCGCAACTTTCCTCCCCACAGCTGAAAGTCCAGCTGTTTCTTTTGTGCCAAGGCCAAAGTTCGCATCGTTCGATGGCGGCCGTCGAAAAGGCGATGTGTTGCTTGATGTGGGGTGAAAAACCCTTAGCAAAACACGTCGAAAACTGGGTTCCCTTGGGAACAACAGACAGAAAACTGCAAAGTGAGGCCCCAAAAGGCCAAAAGGATAGCTAAGTTGACTATTGACTTATAATTTGCTTGACTCTTGAGTTTATGGGGACATAACAATGGTTACATCGATTTTTTAAAACCTCCGGTGGTACCCGGCAGATTTCTCGTCAATTCCCAATCCCCATGTCTTGCCCCAAATGGCCATGGCTGGTTGTGCTTGACTTCGGAACTTTCCGTGAAAAGGTCAAAGTTGGTTCGCCTTTGGTTCACCTCGGCCCACAGAAAATGCTGATGATTTTTGAACCTTCTTCGGGCATCAAAAATTTGGGGGGTCACGGGTCACATCGTTCGTTTGTCCGGTTTCGTCGTCCAAATGGGAGTTGATGAAGTTGGATCATCTCAGTGCCAATTCCAGAAACTGATTTCGGAAAACAAGATCTTACAATTGAAAACATTGATCGATTATATAGCATTTATATCTGATATATACAGTATATATATATATTATATAATATATATACAGTATATACATAATATATATTGGATCATGATTGCTGTAGCGATTCAATTTTTATGTTTCTCTTTGAGAAGCTTCCAGGTTTTTCGACCGGCGACCGCGTCACCAGGATTTCTTCTCACTCACAGGCTGAATCTCCCGGTAAATCCTCATCACCTCAGCGGACGAAAGCCATTTGATTCGGCTCCACATTTCCCGAGGCGGTCAGCGAATATGTTAAACTCCCTGGTGAATTCATGTTCATGATTTCTACCTTTTTAGGATTCTGTTTTCAGGTTGGTTTGCTAAGTTCAGAAACATCATACAACACAGGCAGAGGTTTCGGATCGCCGGTTGACGTTTTCTTGTGGTGGTTCCATGTACAAGTGGAATGATGGCTATCTGGCTATCTTGTGTTCCTCGAAAAAAAAAAACTGGGAGTTACCCTCCTGTGACATGGACATGGATTCTCCATGAGTTTCACATGGGCATGGGCCTTGTGAACTGTTGGCTTTGTGGAAGATATAACATGATATGGTCCTATAATATTCATAGGGTGAATCTACACCAACAAATGCACATAGAAAAAATCCATGACAATCCGTGTTTCATCAGCATTTAAGTCACATTTTTCATGGGGGCCCCACCAGGGGGGTTCACCATTTTTTTCGCCTTGGCCTCCGCGCGTTTTGTCGATGCTCCGTAAAGGGGGATGGCACGAAGTCTGGGTACACCTGCGAAACGAGGAGAACCTGCTCCAAGCTTAACTGGGGTGTAGGTGAACGGGAATATGCTTATGTGATAGCTATAAGATACTACAAGTATAGAATTTCAAGTAGAAAATATTGATTGGTTTCTTGTGGATCTGAATATGTATATATATAGATATATATATATATATGTATATCATACATATGTATACATATATACATATATATACATATATATATATATACACATATATACACATATATATATATATGTATGTATACATATATATATACATATATGTATACGTATATATATATATATATATATTCATTGTGGATATATGTGGATATATATATATACACATGTGTATTATATATATAGTCGGGTGATTTAATGGATGTTAATGGGATTTAAACATATGTTTGGTGGTTCATAAATCCATTAACTATCATCAAATATCTCTCGTTCATCAATCCAGCTAGCCATTTTTTGTCAGCGAACTTAGGACCTATACATACCTAGAGCTCTATAGATAGTCTATAGTCTATAGACTTCTATAAAAATAAATATATATATATATATGTGTATATCCCCTAACTTGCTAACCCAACACTTCGCCAACTTAGGACTGTAGGATGACCGTTGTTTTTTGCTCAGCCTTGAGGATCAAGGAGAAGACCAACATGTGCCCTGGAGGCGACAGAGGAATCCTCGGCGAAAGGAGTTGACGAAGGTTTCCTGCAAAAAAAAAAATCCAATGAACCACTGATTAAAACCATTGATTATAGTGTATGCTGGGTATGACTATATATGGTGTATAGATATATATAGAGATTTTGATGAAATAAATATATTATGATGGGTATGATAGTGTGTATATTCTTGGATGTTTCCTTGCAAACCACTGTGAACATCTATAATTAAATAGATAGTGTATGACTATATTAGATAGTGTATAGATAGATACATAAATACTGATACTGCTTAAATAAATATATGTCTTGCAAATGACCATATAGTGTATGATAGTGTGTGTGTATATAGATTCACATGAATTTTACGATGAGTTTGTGATGATTGCCATTTCAGGTAGCTCAACTTGAGCTACTGGACCATATACGGCCATAGAATTTGGAGTCATGGCCAATCTTAGATACCCGGCAAAAAACTAAATTCTTCTTTGCTGGTGAACGTAGATAATCCCATTGATACCAAAAGACTAGTTAGGATTAGATAAACTACCCATCTAAAATGGACCTAGTATATATATAGTTATATAGGTATATATGATTGTCTATATTATTGTATATAACCAAATCTATTTTTCTATATAACCCATAGCTGGTTGGTGGTATACCTACCCCTCTGAAAAATATGGGTTCGTCATTTGGGATGATGCCATTCCCAATATGATGGGAAAAATCAAAGTCATGTTCCAAACCACCAACCAGTATATGTAAGATGGCGCGCCTCAGGCATCAGCTGGTTTATAAACCCACTTAACTATACCCGCAGAACCTAACGTTCGCTCAAGATGACATAATATGTCTAATTTTTTCCTACGGCAAACAACACCTGTTTCATCCGCGGTCCTCCTTGGATGGACGGTACACACACGGTGTGGCCCCTCGCCACGCGTATGACACGAAATTTGCTTCATGGCTCGTTTCAGAATAATTTGCGGCAACAACCCTTCGCAGGCTTCCTGGGGGTCCGTGAGAAAGAAGGGCCGTTTCGTGCGAGAAAACACATGCTCCGGTCAAACGTCCGGTTCTGTGCGTACCTATAGATACACCTAGCAGAAACCCAATTGCAAGCTATGCTACAAACCACGTTAGCAAACATGAATCAACGATCGACGATAATTCATTGTGTTTCTTGGTGAAACCCCCAAGCACCAACCAGTTCCCAGGAAAGCCAGCACCGAGCATCAGCAAAATGATGAGGAAGGGAACCAGCACCAGAAGGTCCTGTGGCGGTTATCATTTTACATACTTTACTTATATTGTTTGATGCTGCTATATATACAATATATACACAGATTCATATCATTTGTAATATGATTATGCGACATATAAATATACATATACATCTGTATGTATATATATATGTGATGTATATATTATTAATATTATAACTGATTATTTACAATATAACATGCCTACTTAATTATTCATAGAATATATATATATACATGTCATGTAAAGTCATATACATACATGGCTTGTCACAGGTTATGACCACGTAAACCTGAAAAAAATGCAGAAACGGTTTCCGGCATTCCCTGTTACCCTGGTAGAACCCTAATCCTAAAACCATATGGGTATGGATCAATACCTATTAATACCATTTTTAGGGGGATGAACATCCATAAATCCCAGCTATTTTGATGTGAACTACAGGGGTACTATTGGTTTTGACACACTGCCATATCAGTTTTCGAGGCGACGTATTACTTCTCCAATGTCCGGGGCCACTGCTGAGGATTCGACCGTTACAATGTGCCATGGAAAATGGCCGACCTTTAAAGATGATGTTCCCATTCACAGCTCCATTTATAGTGGATTTCCCATTGCTACGTTTGAGTAGGGGTGGGTAATCATTCTTGTATTTCTACATTATTTTACTATTTGCAATCCTCATTGAGTCCTGATCTTGGTCGGTTTTCTACCAGTCATTTCTAAATCCACCCACTTTGCCCTAGTACTCCAAATACC